AAAATACATTTTAAATACTTTGCAAGAGTCGCAGGGATAAAATAAAAGCAGCTGCAGAGACGAAAAAGATGACACAGATCCAACACGGGACTAAAATGTTCTATAGTGATTGATTTATTTAGTCTGGCCTTATTTTGAAATGTTAATTTTTCAAGATAACTCTTAGGGCTCTATTTTCATGCCCGCCGGCGGCATGGCGGAAGATGGTGGTGGTGGTGGTATTTTCGTCTGGCAGAGCCCGGTGCACAGCCAGTTTAGTATTTTCATAGACTGAGGCACACCGAGGTCCACCAAGCTGGGCGTGGTGGCGCGGCAGGGGGAGGTGTTGACATTAAACTGCTGGGAGGAGCTAAGTTAGGGAGGGGGGATACTTATGCCGGGGCTGCGCCGCTCACCAAAATACCACGGTTCCTATGCCGCGCCACCAGCGAGGCACGAAAATAGAGCCCTTCATGTTAAAGGTTGAATTCTGTCCATCCGTATATTGGTGAATATTTGGAGTTAAAGTTTAGGGGCAGACCCCAACGTTTCACACTTCTCAAGTGTCATACACCTTTTCTTTCAGAGATGCTTTGTGCAGCGCTTCAACATAGAGCAGAAGAGTATTTTTAATCAGCATAGAGCAGAAAGACACTTCAGAGACACACTGCAGCCGATCTGGAGGGATCACCATGTTAACTTAAGTGCCCTCAAACACCCCTAGTGGCCTCAGTGCAGACCGTTCCTCTCTACAATGATTAAACTTAGAGATATCTTTTCAATAAAGTCTATCTGACCCACACAGAACATCTCCTTTAAAGATATCTGCAGGTTCAGTCTGCTTCAGCCCTGCTGGACTGTATGTGCAGCTTGCATATTGAAAGTATATACACCACAGTTATTCTTGGAGTGATTTTTGCACCTTTTATTTTACTTCAAAAATGGAAAAGAAGTGACGTCAAATGAGGGAGTCCCGTCATTTAATTCAAATGCCAGTGTGGTCAATAAAGAGGAAGAAAATATTCAATTGCAGGAGAGTGATGGAGTTAGCAGAGAAACAGGTATAACATGGATCTCTCTTTGGTGTAATTGTTGAGCTTTTCATGGGGCACAATCTGTCCTGCACTTCACTGTGGGATTTTATACACCATCCACATAAGGTGGCCAACAACAGCATCCTGTAGCAGCCATATAAAATCCATGCTCAGGTCAGCAGAGGTGAAGAGCCCACCTGGTCTCCATCATCACTGCTGTTTGATTCTAGTTCAGCCTCTCTGAGCTGCAGTGGTTTAAACATCTTACACTGACGTCAAACCATGTTGATGCAGTTGCTTCAGCTTTTTTAGCAAGTCTTTTAATTATTTTTTTTTTTTTTCATTCTGGACTGAAGTTTTATATAGCCCCAACCCACAACAGTCATCATCCCAAGACACTCTCCAAAGAAACAGAGCAGGTCTAGACCACACTCATTGTTTGATTGAATATCAAGACCCAACGTAAAATGGGATTTGGCCCATCTTATCTAACATGAGTGACAGTGGCAAGGAGAAACTTTCTTTTAACAGGCAGAAACCTTGGGTAGGACCAGACTCATGCTAGACAGCCACGAGGCCGCTGCTGAGTTGGGGAGAAATACAGAGAGATTGTAGTGATGGGAAGAACAGTTCTTTTAACTGTACTGAATCTTTAGAATCTGTTCGATTCGATCAAAAGATTCGTTCACTGAATCAGTCAGTGCTTCGGAGCCCCATCCTTCCCGTGCAGTACACGAGTGAGTGACACAGCTGCGATTTTGTTCATTGAACGAGCCCCTCCCCTGCTGCTGAAGTCACAGTATTGCAGTGGTTTTCAAGTCCAGTCCTTGAGGCTCACTGTCCTTCATGTTTTGGGTGTTTCCCTGCTCCAACACACCTGATTCAAATGATCAGCTTGTTATCAAGCTCTGTAATGGCTTACTAACGAGCTGATCATTTGAATCAGGTGTGTTGGAGCAGGGAAACATCCAAAACATGCAGGATAGTGGGCCTCGAGGACTGGACTTGAGAACCAATGCAGTATTGTTCACTGGGTGACACATGTCGTTCATTCACCAAGTCGTGAAGGAAGAATCACTCCCCTGCCCTGAAAAACTCACCTCTCTGTGTATCGCTGTTGGTGAAAACAACACAGCAAGCAGCATGCCCGCTAAACAAGCGCGAGTCATTGTTCTTTTATATCGCTGAAAAGTGGAGCAATTAAAAATAAATAAACATCGCAGCTGTAGCGAGGATTCTGCTACGTTTAAAGATATCAAATAGAGTATTCCTTTAAATTGGCGGAAATTAAATCCTTCTTGCAGGAAAGTTTATACAGGTGTATTAATGTAAAGGCACAATAATGCACTGTTTTATCTTTGCCTCAGTACTCATTTGGAAGTAGTTTGTTTTGTTCACCATTTCGTTCACCATGTCGTTCACTGACTGACTAAATCATTCCGTTCACTTACTGATACATGTTGCTCAATGACTGATGTTTCGTTCACTGACGAATACAGGTCATTCACAGACGTTTCGTTCACATACCGTTTCAGGTCATTCATTTGCTGTGAGTGAATCATGAGACTCTGCCAGCTCGCTCGCTGGCTGTGTGTTGTTCGCCAAAGCGTCAAAGGCGGCAGTTGCACTCCTGACCGGCATTGCCAGGCTCGCGGCTGAGCTCAACTGAACTGAAAAAGGAACGAATCAGGTCTCGGAGTGATTCAGTTCACGTCGTTCACTCAGCAGTTCTGTACTTTTGAATGAAACGTTCATGAACGACACAACACTAAGACATAGGGGGAGAGAGAGACAGAGAGAGGAATGAACATCATTCTGGCCTTTGCAGATCTGGTAGCATACCTCACACTTCAGTGACATTAGTGGGAGATGAGACCAGCACACAGCTCTTAGTGGTCTGGAATGGTTCATTGTGGAAAGGATAGATGTTTCTTCTTGCAAATACATGTGTTTATCATGCGGGTTATTTTGTCCGTCTGATCAAAGACAGAGCTGAAGTTTAGATCTTGTTTTAACTGATGAATAGTTGAACTGCAGAAGAACTGATGAGCTTATGAACAAAGTTTTATTTCACTTTGTAATGAACCTCCTCTCTGCAGCTCATGCAAATGATCTCAACCCTCTCTGTCTTTTTCCATCTGCATCTCTAACTTCCTTTTTGTGCTTTTTTTTTAAAGGCTGATGAAAGTCAAGTGAGGTGAGACCGGTGGAGAGAGATGAGAGTGTCAAGATATCTTGTCTAATAGGCATTTATTTTGAGAAGTCAGCTTGTAGTTTCAGCTCCTCTTGAGTTGAAGGATTTCTCATGTGAATGTGATTGTCGCAGCTTGACTGAAAACAGCTGCTTTTCCCTTTAAAATGTCACCCTTATGCCTCCCTAAACACCAAAAACGAATATTTACCTACCCAGCATCTTTTTTCAGACAAAGTTATGTGCAAAAAAAAAAAAATCACCTGCAAGTTGCTCTTTCAAATTTGGGTCTAATCTGATCTTGTTGAGCAAACTCAAGGTTGCGTTTAAAAACAGATTTCCAAACACTGTTTAATTAAAGTACCGAGGCATAATTGAGAGAATGTGTTCATTTCCACCCTCACGGTCGAAAATGCGCGTGATGAGAAAATGAATCTCTCTGACAAAAGAAGCAGCGATGCAGATCTGATTCAGTCATTTCTAATTAGCGCCGTGTAAATATGTGAAGTTTTGTTAACAGTCTGATCCGTTTCTCTGTGGGAGGCCCAATGAGGCAGACGTACATGCAGCTGACTTACTGTTAATCACTCTACATATCCTCATAAGCTGTGGGAATCAGAGACGATGAAAACAAGCCCCGCTCCATCACTGCTAACACGCCCGCAGATAAACAGTATCCTTTTCTGATCAGCAGGAGAATAGTCCGCCCAAAGTGCTCCCTTTGTCTGGCAACGTGTGAATAGATTGCTTTACATAACACTCTGTTATCGCTGAAATGGAATTCACACGCAGGAAAATGTAATTTGTGAATATCAACAAGTCTCCTCCGAGGCAGAAAGTAAGAGAGCCAAGACGGAGCGCTGCCACCAAGCAACACTTTCTGAGCTGATCGGCTGCCAACGAATGAGCTGGCATGCTGCGTATCCAAGGTGATTTTCTGGGATGTGTGCACGTTTTCTGCCTCACAACGACAATAAAATGAAGCTTATTTGGAAGTGATAATTCAAACACTCGCAGTTTACAGAAGAAGTCCAGCGTCTGTTTCGGTGGAGCTGCTCCAGGCGGGCTCTCTTTGGGAAATCATGGATTAACTGAGAAGTTTGACATTGGAGGAAAGATGCACCGAGAATAAGATGTTAACAGAGAGTTGGTTTGTTTTCTAACCTGTGCAGAATAGCAACATGCTCAAAACTCCGTGCAAAGTTTTCTGGGTGAGCTTGAAGAAGTCTGGCAGAAGAACTGAGACCACAGTACGAGCAGGCGTAGCGATGACGTTAAAAAGGTGCAAAGGTAGGGTGACCATATTCAGAATCCTGGAAAAGAGGACATGACTATGTGAGGTGGAGTCACGGAGTCCCGTGTAGTTAATTTTGAGTTTTTTTCGGGTCGGACCGCATGTTTTTTATGCGCTTCTAAAGGTCCTTTCACACCGGGACTGTTTTTATTGTGCGATTATTTCGGATGTCAGTTTTTTTTCCGAACCCATATCCTGTCAATACAAGTGTTCACACAGGCGATGTTTTCCCGTCCTGCGATATTGCAGCATTTATTTTTTTGGATCACGGTCAATTTTTCTAAAGTTTCGCATACTGTGTATCCACTTCTGACAAATCAGATTGTGTGTTATTGCGACGTCAGATCCACCGGTACATCCAACATGGCCGACCGGCTGATTGTTTACGTGTCGGAGAACAGAGTGCTTTTTTATAAAAAACACAAATATTACAAAGATAACACACTGAAGGACAACTTGTGGAGAGTCATAGCATCGGATTTCTCACATGACGATGGTCTTTGTGCTTTAACAGTTTGCTAAACGTCTTTGTTTTAACTTTCATCTGTGCTAAGTAACTTTAGCTCGTAAGCTAACCTGTTCAGATACAACATACCATATGTATTTTCACTGTCTCAAACTCAATCACAGCGTTGCTGTCACAGCACCATTAGGTCTCGGTTGTTACCTTACGTTTATGGATTACAGTTTAATGTGCTTATCTGGTACTGGCCCCGACTCAGTACATGCTATCATGACAGACAGACATCTCAACACTAGTGTCTAATCAGAACTGAAAAACAGTCAGTCTGCTGCTGTGTCAGTCTTCTCGATTCCACCCGGGACACGTCTTTTTTCTCCCCAGAAAGTCACATTGGGCTTGATGTGTATATTGGCGCATCAAAATTGGCCTCCGAATATTTTGTAATTTTGCGTTCTATATTTGTGTAAGGACCTTAAATCATTAAGTCCATGCAACACAAACTCAAAACTTTCCTACAAAACCCTGCACATTTTAAGGATTTTATAAACTCCCCCGGACATGGCCGGACAGCCCCAAAAAAGAGGACATATCCGTGTAAAAGAAGACGCATGGTCACTTTAGTAAAGGCTCATTTAGGCTCGCCATACGCATGAAAATGTATGTGTCCATTTCAAACAATGGTTCCGTCACTGCTGACATACTTCCATGCATCCTTTACATTACTAAAGATAATGTATATTTTGCGAAGGAGACTGAAAAGGAGGCAGCATTGGAGGAGGCGGTGGTCAGTCAGGCCACTAAATGCCTCGCGGTTGGAGGACGGAGAATTCTTTTCTCCTGTAGTACCGATGAGAGAAATTGACAACGATCCTCAAAAAGCACTGCCATTGTCTAATTCATTTCTCTCTAGAAACACGTATCGAGTAATTACAGCAGCAACACTGCCCCCACAGTTTCCGGTGGTACTACTCCGTCTGGCCCATATCTGCAGAAATATGGGCAAAAAGAACACGAGGCACGAATGGAGAGCTCCGTCTGTATCCAGATCCATGTGTAATGTTGAGCATAAATGAGCCTTAAGTGGTTCTTATGTGGGATATAAAACGAGAATGAGTTACTTTTGACACTTCAGGAGGGCCAAGTACTCTGAGTCCACACACTTTAGGACGGTGTCTTCTAATCCTCTGAACACACACTAGATGATTCCATAAAACCACCAGACTATACACTGAACATTTGTGGTAATGAGATCTCACGGAAGAGCCCACATTTTTACGTGTCAATTTTGTAGAATATTTTCACGAGATGCCACAAAGGCTCTGGTGTTTTTGACATAATTTCAGGAGTGTAGAGCGGACTAAAGAATACTCTCACACAGTCTTTGGACTCTATTTCGCAGCTATTTTGATGCTGCAAATCAAAATGAATTCCAACAAAATATTCAATTTCTCTCCTTTGAAAAAAATACAAAAGTCCCGGAGCATCAGGACACACTTGTTGTACATTCTCTACCATGGCTCCAAGCAGGAAATCCTTCAGAGGCCGTCTAACCTCAGATCATAAATGTTACTCATGTTTCATATTGACATATCTGATCATTGTAGGAGGCGACTCAAGCTCTGAAAACCATCACCAACCTTCTGAAGACACGTGTCTGATCCCACCTCACACCTCTGTAGCTTGCATAGGCTCAGCTGATGCCCCCTAGTAGAGGGAAAATAGAGCAGAATCGAAGAGCTGACCATCGAGGGGCACTCAAAGAATAACAAATGTTTGCTTTATCCTCATTTTAAATTACAAACTCCTCGCTGAATCACACACCGTGACAAACTTCTGTTTTTCTCTTCACTAACTATATTGTCAGATATTCCAGGTTTTTACTGCTGATCCTTCTCTGTGATCCTCTGGCTTTGGATGTCCTTCCCTCCTCAAGAATCCGGTCAATAAACCTGTTTCTTAATCCAGGTCGGAGTCTTTGTCCTGTGTTTTGTTCCCTGTTAAGTGTTCGGCGGTGGTGGTATATTGTGGTTTTCTGTTGGAATACGTCTTTGAGAAACGTCCCTGGTGGACGCTCTGGACTTTTTGAGGCTTTCTCTGATTTCCTGCTTGTAAACAGGATGCACAGCTCAGCCTTCAGGCCTTGTTAGTCACACCCAATTAGACGCATTATTTCCAGCTTTCCACAGGGTTCAATTTACACCAGTGATTAGAGTTTGTCCAAAACCTTGGCGGCTGTGCTGATTTCCAGCTGTATATTTACTCAGACTGTTTTTTTTTTTTTCTGTAAATACCAGGGAGGATGAGGAGGTCTGCGGCAGTGTGTCCCGCTCAGATATGAATATTTAATGTGGCGCTCAGGGGTCAGTGCACGTCAGCCATGACAGCCACATAAATCAGCAGCCGTATCAAACAGGAAGATGTTCCTGAGGTGCAGCAGACTGTTAATGCGGGGCAGCGGTGACCCTCTCTGCTGCCGGCGCGCAAACGCGCAACAGGACCGCAGATAATGGGCCTCATTTATCAACACGTTTGTGGGTTTATTCCAGAGTGAAACAGATGAACTACAACACCAGCGCACTTCTCCTGCTGTGAGCCTGACGTGGGTTTGAACCACGCTGAGAGGGTGGATTTGAGTGAAGCATTAAAACGCATCAAAGAAGTCCGTTTCTCAGATTTGTAATTGTGACCATGATTTCTCTCTATCAAGACCTTCTCAGTCTTCTTTCACCCAGCATTTATTTTAAGCATTGGATAGGCAAACACCTGAGCCGTCATGAATATCTAAACTACGTCCCAAAGATCCCAGATCAGATCCTGTCACCGCTGCATGTCACCTTGAACTACGGATGTGAAGTCAGACTATGGTTAATTTCACCGGGAGGAACATACCAAGTGCTAATGGGGGTGTTTTCAGAGCACCCCCATTTCACAGGTAACAGCTTGTCTCAGAACACCTCCCTTGTTTTCACCATTTCTGATTTGCTCAACCAACTGGAGACTGGCTGGAGACAGGAAGATTGAAGAGCGTCTACGTCATTCAACGTCCAGTGGTTTATTGAATATTTATTTTTATTTTGAGTGTTTCAACTTTCCTTTTGCGTTTAATTGCCTTCTTGTGCTGATATCAGTATATTTTCACCCCTACAAGCGGCGCTCAGTCAGTTGCATGATATGAACCTCATCACTTCAGCCTTACTCTGCGGCTTTACCTGGCATTTTCCTGCCTTCTTCCTACATCTGCTTGGCCTTAAATTTACAGAAATTTTACCTGAGGCTAGCAGGAGGGCATCTGGATGAAGTCTGTTAGATTCAATCTGCAAATCTAACTCTGTTCTAATAAATGCTATCTAAATTGACATATCATTATTTTGATTAAATCACTGAAATTGTTGGTCTAGTAACATGTAATCTTCCCCAGTCCTGCATTTTTATTTCATTTGATTTTTTCTATAAAAACTTTCAATTTTTCTGAACTTTTTTAAAAACAAAGTCTCAGATTATTCAAAGATGCTGCCTGAAAAATGATTCAGGCCATCTTTGAATTCCTCTGTTTTTCTGATGATTACCTTTTTATTTTAGAAAAAAATAACCCACTGTCAAGGTGTTAAAATGCCATTTTTATAATAAAGTTTTTCTGTCTTTTCAAAAAATCTTTTCTCATACATTTTCAACTGCAGAATAACATAACAGCAGGGATCAGATTTGGTGATTGACGGGTGATCATGCAGCTCCGCATCCACCCTGATGCGATCATTGATCGTCTCTGCCGTCTCGGACAAAGAGGTGAGTTTGATTTTTATTGCTGCAGAGTGAATCTGGACCTCACATGTCATGAAATATAATAATGACGGACAGGTGAGCTCAGGATGATAAATGAGTGTTTTATAAGCTTTGATTACTGGAGATGGGACTGAGCAGCAGAGATTTTTTTAACACGAATGAATGAACGTACAGCTGTGCAGTAACTGTTATGGGTGTTATCACTCACAAGGTTGATAAAGAGTGTTTCAAGTTTCCAGCTATGAGATGAAGTGGAATTTCTACATTCGTGATTCAATGACTCACACAAGTCTCACTAGATTTGGTTTATCTCTGTTCACCTAACTGTTTTATTTTGAAATTTTGCACTCCTACTTTAAAAATCTTTACCACAGACCCTTGACTAGATCATCATATTTTGAAGCTTAAAACCACAGACCAGGCAAATCTGGATCAGATCAGGCCCTTTACTTTTTGCGCAAACTCATCAGTACCACCTCTGATCTATCTGAGCTCATGTGCTGCTCCTGATGCACATCCAGCATTTACAGTGAAGACAACAGCGAGTGATTATTCTGTTTTCCACTGACTTAGATTTTGAGAAACAGTCGGCCATACCGAGGCAGAGTCGTGCTGAACCATAAGCTTCTCTCATTTCCTCCAAAGGTTGAGGGTTAGTGATAAAGGTCATAGGAGATGGAAGTGTTTTGACCCATCACTCAGAAAAAGGATCATTTTCAGATACCTCTCCTGAAAATGTTCTGAAGTGAAAAATACAAAACCCAATTCTATTGAAGTTGGGAAATCGTGATAAATGTAAATAAAAACAGAATACAGTGATTTGCAAATCTTTTTCAACCTATATTCAAGTGAATACACTAGAAAGACAAGAGATTTAATGTTCAAACTCATAAACTTTATTGTTTTTTGCAAATAATAATTAATTCAGAATTTCATGGCTGCATCATGTGCCAAAGTAGTTGGGACAGGGGCATGTTTACCACTGTGTTACATCACCTTTCCTTTTAACAACACTCAATAAATGTTTTTGAACTGAGGAGACTAATTGAGGAAGCTTTGAAGGTGGAATTCTTTCCCATTCTTGCTTGATGTACAGCTCCGTTGTCGTATTTTATGCTTCATAATGCGCCACACATTTTCAATGGGAGACAGGTCTGGACTGCAGGCAGGCCAGTCGAGTACCCGCACTCTTTCACTACGAAGCCACGCTGTTGTAACACGTGCAGAATGTGGCTTGTTATTATCTTGCTGAAATAAACAGGAAGGGCGTCATGAAAAAGATGTTGCTTGGATGGCAGCATATGTTGCTCCAAAACCTGTATGTACCTTTCAGCATTAATGCTGCCTTCACAGATGTATAAGTTAGCCATGCCTTGGGCACTAATGCACCCCCATACCATCACAGATGCTGGCTTTTGAACTTTGTGTCGATAACAGTCCAGATGTTTCTTTTCCTCTTTTGCCTGGAGGACACGACGTCCACTATTTCCAAAAACAATTTGAAATGTGGACTCGTCAGACCACAGAAAATTGTCATGTGTTGCAGCCATGGAATTCTGCGTTAATTATTATTTGCAAAAAGAAAAAAAAAGTGTATGAGTTTGAACATTAAATATCTTGTCTTTGTAGTGTATTCACTTGAATATGGGTTGAAAAGAATTTGCAAATCATTGTATTCTGTTTTTATTTATGTTTATCATAATTTCCCGACTTCAATGGAATTGGGTTTTGTAAGATGATCTCAAACAAGGTTTTCTAAAAGTTATTCATGCTTGTTTTTATTCCTATTTTCATAATAACACATTGAATTTGATCATTTAAATGATTTTTGTCACTTGACCTCCTGCATTACCAAAGTTGTCACTGGGCTCTTCTGCTTCCTACTGTTGAATTCAGATGGTTTGGTCTCCTCACTCATCTGCAGTGAGGGATGAGATGGAAATGCAAACAGGCTGTCACATCAGCATGAAATATTGGACCTTTTTAGTCAAGTATCACGCCCTGTATTGGTAAAACGTTACTAATTATGTCCATTTATGAAGCCGCCAGTGTCACCGCTCTATTTTATGTAGATGGGCCCATCGAGCTGCAGATCTGCAGGGTCAATTAATTCACTTTGATTTGTTGGAGAGGGATCAATAAGTGCATTTTGTGTTATTACTTCACAGCAGATGAATTCAGACTCGGTACAGTACGACACTCAGCCGGAGACCATCATCCTTTAACGCCGACGCTGTCACATCCACAGATGATACAGTCATTCGTAATTCTCCTCCAGTTTATCCTCTGATTACTAACCGTGACACCTCCACAGGGGGGTGGCCCTGAAGCAATCAACACACACACACACATATACACACACACACACACACACACACACACACACACACACACACACACACACACACACTCAGAGCGCTATTTACATTGTGATGATAAGCTCGTTAACTCTCTGTGGCTGATGGGTATCGCCTTCAGCTGCAATTCCCGAGCCAACCATTTGTCCTGGGTGAGATATCAGCAATCACCATTTTAAATGAGGAGAGGTGATATGAAATGCTAATTCAGCAGAGAAGATCAATACTGCACGCCCAGGGGAATCAAGTAAGCCGGGTACCAGGTACAGGCTGCTGCCCTTGAGCCCTCAGTGACAGACGTGACAGTAAAGTAGAAAACTCAGGAAGTACCTGAACTTGGGACTAAACTGTCTGAGAGTTAGTTAACAGTTTTCTTTAAATCTGCAGCTACAGGAACTTTAAAGAGGACGTCAGACTGAGCTGTCCAGGACAGCGCTAAAGAAGCTGATAATATCTCCTCCTCTCCTTCTTTTTCAGTTTTCAAAGAAAGTCTCAGCTGTTTTTCTCTTCTAGAAAAAAGAGGGAAGTTTGGACGTTTCCAGGACATCATTGTAGCTGTTCATGCTCGCCACTTCTTTGCAATCAATCCTTCATGAAAACTAGCCTTATCTGTAAAGAGATAAAACAAAGCTGTGTACGGGTCCAGCCATCTCTATGGAGCTGTGAACAAACTTTAGAAATGTATTACACAGAATATGCATTTTTTTCCCCCCTGCTTGCTATGTTGACATGACATGTAGTTACAGTAATACTGGTTTGCGCTCAAGTCCTCTTTTTTTCCTGTACAGCTCCATTTTTAAAAGTTATTAGGGAGTTCAATCTTGGTGATCAGCTGTGAGCATATTTACTTGATCAAACATGGTGGAAATGTGCGTCACAACAGCCAATCAGAGTCAAGCTTTTACTGCTCACTTCTGTAAGCTACCGGAGAAGTAAATAGGAGAAGTAAACAGAATGACCGAACGTGGAGCTAAATGTGGAGCTGAGGACAGCAAAATAGATGTCAGCCATGACTTTGAGTTATTCTCCGGAGATGTTATTGTTGAGAAGTTGTTCAACGTCGGTTGTGTGGCGGTGGTTTGGGTATCTCCAAAGTGACGTCAAGTTATTAAGCCGATGTGTAAGGTATGTTGGCGGTCAATGCCCTCAAAAGCTGGCAACACAACAGATCTGTTGAATCATTTGAAGAAGTACTTCCCGAGTGATTTTGCAGAAAGCAAGAAAATGCGAGCGGAGTCTGCACAGCCTGTCACTGCTGATGGCACTAGTAGCATTAGCAGTTTAGCCACAACTAGCGGTGCAGCCACCAGACCAAAGCAGCAATCAATCGTAACATCTAGGTTTTGCATCTACAATTTGTTTATTTTGGGTCTTGCACACCTGCAAAAATACTCAGGACTGTAAACTAGTTCACTGTATTATTTAATATTTATCAATATTTGTTGTACTGTTGAGTTAAAATGTTCTTAAATTTCAAATGTATCTTATTTAATTTGCTTTGTTTTTTACTTTGTATGTTAATAAAATGTTGAACTAATTTCTAGTTACTTTAGTTTTTAGTACAGATACTTTAAAACTGGCAATTTAAAAAAAATCAGGATAATAATTGAGATCAGATAATACGACAAAATATTTTGTGATAATTTGTTTTGCCAAATCGCCCAGTCCTATACAACGCGACTAGTGGTGGTTCCAGGAAGTGGAGAAAATCCTGGAAATAGTACCGAGAGCAATTCAGCTTTAAATTCGTAGAACGACAGAAGGCGGAATCGGGTTGTCCGTGGTAAATACAGTCTATGGTTGCTCTACTTTCCTGTGCACAAACATGCAAAAAAAGTGCAGCAGGACTAGAAACTGGCATGATGATCAACAAAAAAAAACCTGCATTGAAGCTGGTATTCAGGTGGAGTATTGCAAAGGAACAGGAACACTCCAATACACAAGTATGTAGAGTTGACGACAGCGTAGTCTCAGCGACGCAGAGGCACAAACCAGGCTTCACTCTTGAGATTATATCCCAGTAAAATTATTTCCAATCATCCCTGAAAACCTTTAGAGACAACTTCATCACAATGCAAACCACAGCTGTAGTTGACTTCAAAAACAACTTCACTTTTTTTTAGCTAATGGGATTAGTTTTGGAGAATCATCATGATCTGCATGCTGCACACAGTTTAGACTTTTCACACCCTCCTCTCTCTCTGTCTGTTCTCGTCCACCTTCAGGAATTCACCTCGAAGTCAGGAGTGAACGTGTTTCTGAAATCCTGAAGCAGAGGGTCAGGTTTTGTTTTTCTCTTCTGGTAAGTTGATGATACCATGTATGGAGTCTGTTATGATGGAGGTGATAAGTCCTTTTTTTGAACATAGCGCTGAGTAACTTCCCCGCTCCTGTCCTGCATTAACGGTGTTGGATTGAAGTCCTGAGAGGCTGTAAGCACTCCACGCTCAAGTGTTTGTGGAGAGGCTTCCTCTCACTGATGATAATGATGATTATGGCTCTCATCTGGAAGCATCTTCATTTTCAATTAGGAGGTTGATTACAGGAAGAGAGAGTTTATATCGAGGACTTCACTATTTTGATCTTTTTAAGTTGGAGGGTGCACTACTGTGGGACTGGAAATTAAATCTGATTAAGAATTCATGAGTGAGCTTCCAAATAAGTTTGATAACGGCTCGAGTGAGAGAAGAAGCTGCAGATTTAGCAGAACAATGTGTCATTGTTCTCAATGTTACTCAGGTTTGTGTCCTGGGATTACTATAAAGAAAATGCCTCGAATTGTTCATTTTCACCTATAGGTTTAGTCAATGAACTGATGTGTATGAGTGTCAGGATGCTGAAGATGCAAACAAAATCTTGAAAGGGCAGTAAAATATGAGTCTGCTGATGTATTTCTTAATTTCTCTCACACAAAGAATTTTTTTTTCTAAAAATAAATGATTGCATCGGCTTTCTTTCTTTGCATTCAGATAGCATGTTGCAGACCTGAAAGGTCCTTTCACACCGGGACTGTTTTTGACGTGCGATTATTTTGGATGTCAATATTTCTTTTTCGAACCTGTATCCTGTCAATACAAGCATTCACATCAGCAACGTTTTCCTGTCCTGTGATATTGCGGAATTTATTTTTTTGGATTATGGTCAATTGTTCTAAAGTTTTGCATACTGTGTGTCCACTTCTGACCAATCAGATTGCGCGCTGTTGCAACTTCTGATTCACCGGTATATTCAACATGGCAGACCGGCTGATTGTATAGGTGTAGGAGAACAGAGTGCTTTTTGATAAAAGACACAAACATTACAAAGATAACGACCTAAAGGATAGTTTGTGTGCTTTAACAGTTTGCTAAACGTCTTTGTTTCAACTTTCATCTGTGCTAACGTAAGCTAACGGTTGTTACCATAGTTTCATGTGCTTATCTGGTACTGGCCCCGACTCAGTACATGCTATCATGACAGAAAGCCATCTCAACACTAGTGTCTAGTGTCTAGTCCTCTGCCTCTTCAAACTTGGAGCTAATTGTTTCAGCAGAACTTCAAATTGTCCAACAGACATCCAAAAATAGGTTCTGAAGCGACCGTGGTACAGTTTCAGCTCCTGAACCAAACATTGAAACTCACCAAGTTCTCTTCTTTTTTGTAATATTGGATGCACCCATGTGCTACGTTTCCTTTTCTTTTGAGAAAGCAAAAGGTGTACCAATTCACCATCACTTGAAGTTGAAGCAGACTACATTTTTGTCTTCTCGCTTCCACCCGGGATGCTGTAGGATCGTAAGGGAAGGTTCCGCCCTCCTTCGTTTGGCTTGAGCGTGTGATGACGTTTCCAGCTCTTCTAGCCAATCAGAGGCGAAGGAAGTGGGACTTTTCCCGGCAAAAGTCTTTCCTAGGATCCGTCTTTTTCCCCCCGGAAAGTCGCAAAATCACATCGGGCTTGATGTGTATAGTCAGTCGCGTCAAAATTCGCCTCTGAATATTTCGTGATTTCACATTCTATATTCGCATCGGCCCCGGAGTGTAAGGACCTGAAGACTGCAGATTCTACATTGCTAGTTCTTTAATTCTGAAAAGGGAAAAAGGATTGGTTTATAATCATTATTTTATTTTCACAACAGTGAACATTTTCCAGTCTATTTTCATACGTCACCTGGAAATCTTTATGCTGATTGGTTATCTTAACGCTAATTTTCGCTTGAGGTGAGATATTTTAAACTCTCGCGAATTCGCATAATTTACGCGAAGAACGCAAATTTGCATTATGTGCATGAATAACTCGCATCATTCGCATTGCCAGAGTAGTACGAGTGTCTAATCATGTCTGCATTGACTTTAAATGTAATTCATTTGTGCGAATGATTTTACTCATGCTTGGTGTGAATGCTCCATAAGACCTCTGCTATTTGCTGCATCATCCAGTCTACTGGATTGCCAAGGACCCGTGTCCAATATATCCATTTACACAGTCTAACCACAACTTTAACCATGACTGCAGCAAAACAAGGTCCATGGAGATGCAGCCCTCGAATTTGAGTCCTGAAACTGTCGTCTTGTTCAGTGTTTCTCAAGTCCAGTCCTGGAGGCCCACTGTCCTGCATGTTTTGGATGTTTCTCTGCTCCAACACACCTGATTCAAATGATCAGCTCGTTATTAAGCCATTACAGAGCTTGATAACGAGCTGATCATTTGAATCAGGTGTGTCGGAGCAGGGAAACATCCAAAACATGAGGACAGTGGGCCTCCAGGACTGGACTTGAGAACCACTGGTCTTGTTGATATTTTTTTAAATTCATTTTTGGGTGTGTAATTGAAACTTGATTAAATTTCTGCATTTGGACTACTGTACGTGATGCAGAGGGACCAAACATTGAAAACAACAACACCTTTAAATCCCAACAGTCCTCTTTTCTCTGCATGTCAGCCAGCTGTCACTCACTCGCAGTTGTTTGCAGCAGACTGCACACTGTTGGACTTTTGCTTGTCTTTGTTAAACTTAATATTGTTAAGATTCTGCTGGAGTGCTCACCTATCCTGAGGAGACCCAGTTTGCAGCAGCCTCGGGTTTGGAGGCAGAGATCCATTTAGAGACATACAGTATGCACAAAGGCTCTGCGTGTTTACTGCGGGCGCTTTGAAGCTGAGCCCTGACAGGTTTGTTGTTCCACTGCTGAGCAGTTAAAAGGAAAAATACATCCCTGCTTTTGCTCCACTTCATCTCCCCACAACGTGACTTTTGTCTTTTTGTTGTTGATGCCCTGCTTTAAATCTGCATTTTTAACTTCTGCTGCCTGCTCACTCACATTTTAATAAGAACAAGCGAACACAGTTCAGTCTTCACTCTGCAGACTGTGCTCACACTTTAATCTGTGTATTACCTGAAACTCACCTTTTAAATTATGTTTGGATGGCGCATCTGCATGTAAACAACATTTGCAATAAGCTTTAAAAGTGCCAGCCAGTCTGCAGTGCATTGTGGGTCATTTGGTGCACAGAAAGGTGTCTGCATATCAAACAACCTGCAAAGATAAACTCAGAGGACCTCAGGTGCGTTCCTCTTTTACTCAAAACATCAAATGGCATTAGAAAATAAGATCTTCAAATTCTAAGAGTACTTTCACTGTGCAGATTGTGTTCCTCATTTTTTGTGTTGCAGTTTCTCGACCACAAATTCTCCCTCTCTGCACCTCTCAGAGTTTTGTTGAATGACAATAAAAGAACTCAGGATCAGTGGCGGCCGGTGAGAAAAATAATAGGTGACGCATTCTGGTGCTTTTAAGGAAAATAATTAAGGAAACATACGATGCTGACCTACAAAGTCAGACGCGGTGGGGATACTGTATTTCAACTTATTAACAGGGTATTATAGCTGACACACAGCCTATCTACATACGATGTTATCCTATGATATTGAAACTGACAGCAGCATACTCTTACTCGTGTACATCCACCTGCATCTCAACAGGTTAGGCTACAGCAAAGGAGCACACAAAGACAACAGCAGAGAAATAGTGAAGAGCAGACCCACATTTATAACAAATCAGGCTGCATATCGAAGTGATCAGCCAAAGGAAAACAACACAAACATTTGCTTTACATACAGAACAGTTTTATTACATTTTTATAACAGTTTTATTACATTTGATCTTTCAGTTGAACTGAATTAAAACTGGGTGAACAAATACAGGGTTCCCACTCTTTTATAGAAATCATTTTCCAGGACTTTTCCAGGCCGTTTTCATCCTGCCTTAAAATTGATTGATTTCTAACATTGTGGCGTGAACATTGTCTGTTAGCTTTCTTTTTAGTCTGGCTTTTATGTCTCACTATAAAAGATTTAGACTAAAAGATTTTAATCTTTATACACTCTACTTTTCTACAAACAGATTTTGCTGATCGACTGTTCCAGTAGCTGAAATTTAATTTTGACAGCTTTATGATTTCTTTTTGTCACCATTATTTTACACGGGAAACAAAAAAGAGCCTTACTCTTTGGACTTTCAGTTAGCCTTTGTGCCTGTACCATGCTCTTGATAATGTCCGCGCTATTGTTTGCCCTTCTTGGTGGTTAGTTGCTGAGCGGTGATGTCTGGTCTATCTGGACTGAGTTTAATCTTTAGATTGCCCAGTCGAGTTCTTCTCTCAAACAGGACCTACTTGATGGACAGCACAGCGTTCTCTGGTAAATCACTCGGTAGGGGGTTTGTGGTCGCCATTCCCACGTCTTCCGTCATTAGCAGCCAAGAGCAGAGTGAGGGGCGGACCGGCTCCGAGTAGAGCAGCTAGCTACGTTCGACGCATTTTGTAGCTATGCGTCCGTTTGTGGCCAATCTGGTCATTCAAATTAGGGATGATTGGGCGCTCATCCCTGGCACCCCTTAAGGATTTTTTTTATTTGGCTAGGATAAGCTAACTTTTTAATGCACAACTATGACCTGAGCATGCGTGAGACAACAGATGTTCCGATTCCGCCCCGACCCTGGGTGGAGAGATCGCTACTGGACTGAAATACACATTTAGTGGAATGATTAATTTTATAGTGCCATTTCCTTACTTTGAGAATAATGTTCAGGGAGACAGCAGACATCTCTCCACTGCTCAGGACTCTGAAATCCCACAGGATCATAAAAGTGCTTAAGTTGAGTAAAATGTGCGATGTTTGTCTACCTGTACCCTAATTGGTCCGTTTTTAAAGTAATTCAGCTTTACTTAATCTTCAGGGCAGTCACTGACTCACAACAACACCAAAGCCTGTGGTGGGGAGAACATCAGAAAGGATCCTGGTACAGAACAGAGCAGACCCATCTTGACCCGTCTTTTACCAAGTTTGGCCTCTGCACACAATAGTGCAAACATACTGCGTGATTAAAACCAGCAACTTCTTCAATCTGCATGTGCATTTTTTTATGTGGCTTTAAAAGACTGATGAAAAGGAAATTTCAATCTTTAAAAAAAAAACAAAAAAAAAACGTCTCTCTCTTTCTCGCGGTCTATCTTCCCTCAGATTTACTGTTCAGTCAAAAGCGTCTGTTGGCTTTGCAGGGGGGGACTTTAATGACTGTTCCTTGTTGAAAGAGAGTCTTTCGTTGCCTCATTTTACCCTGTAATATGTAAAAATAGGCCCAGGTTTGAAAAACACTCGTGTACCCTGCCAATCATTTCTTCCCTGCATCTCTGAGATCACGTGAGGAATACAGAGAGGTAAACCAGAGAAATACGAAGGGTTATGAAAGGTTTAAGAGGTAACAAAATCAAACCTTGGATCACCGAAGGAGTGATTTATGGGTCAGATCAAAGCTGGACCACACTGACTGATAATGAGAGAGCTGTCTGTGCAGATTTCAGTCAGATAATTAGGCGGCACTGCAGCTTTAAAGCTCTGGATTTCGGAGCATCTCCCAGTCTAATGGCAGCTGTGCGTCTGCAGCGGTCCCACTCCAGAGGGAGATGTGAAAACTAACTAACTGTGTGTCTGCCTGTGATTTCTACCACTCCCTATTTATATCTACAGACACGCCGTTTCAGTCAGACAGCAAAGTGTCGCTCCGGGCTAGCTTCATAGCAATCTCCTGCTACTTCTTCCACACAGTCGTCTTTTTGTTGCTACGCTGATTTGCGGGATTGGGAGCATCAACGGGCTTGTACTTGTTTCTGCTGCTGCTGTTTCCTTTGCACTCATGACACCACTGGAGTGAAATAAAAATATTTTCCTGTCTTGTCAGGGATGTTATACTTACATAAAACAGAAAAAGCACAACTGTTTCATCATGCAATCTGAAGCTTCCTGTTCTGACTTCATGCTCCAAGCTTTGTGTCAGTCAGAGCAATTCCCTAAACTCTGCAATTTGGCACAAAGCACACTGGTCCGGACTCAAAGCCTGTGTTTCACTCTCTCTGTCCCCCAATTAGACCTGAAATCCATAGGCTCATTAGATCGCCCAGGTTACAGGGTTCTCTCATTCCCCCGACATCTCTTTCTCACTAACAAGACAAACTCTGTTAACATGGAGCTTCCAATTATTCAGAGAAATGTGGCAGCGCGGCTAACAACACAGCGAACAGCTTTTTGTCAGTAATTTGCAGCAGCTCGTCTCTGTGACACACTCAGGAGGACGGAGATGTACATCACTGAATCTTAACCCAATAAAATGTTGTTATTCAGCTGTAGTAGAGGAGCATATACAGGCCGCTCTCTGTCTTTATGTGCAGAAATGAGGCTTTCAGGAGCTGTTGATTTTCTCTGTAATGAAACCAAATAATTGAACTTGTAAAGGTCAGTTTATGTGAGCCGGAAAGGTAATAAATGTTTGTGTGGCTCTGGTAGAAACACGGCTTTAGCATCACGTCACTCTTTTCCCCAGATCTTTCCTGGCCTCCTTTAGAGTTTGTTGGTCTGGCTGGATTTTTTTTCTTTGCATCTTCTTGCACCTTTCCAGGGCCACAGATAGCTGAGTAGCTTTTCATTTTTCTCGTATTCCCGGACATGTAGATGTGTTTGCATATTGTTTGTTGTTAAACCGCCAGCATTTCTCTTTTCTTGAAAGGCTTCTTCACATCAGATTTAAAATCTTCTGAAACATCCACATTTTCAAAATCCAGCTGTTACTCCATTTTTGGGCAAAAGATGATGGGCAAGCAGAGGTTCACACCCTAGTCCAGATCAGTGGTTCTCAAGTCTAGTCCTCGAGGCCCACTGTCCTGCATGTTTTGGATGTTTCCCTGCTCCAACACACCTGATTTAAATGATGAGCTCGTTATTAAGCCAATACAGAGCTTGATAACGAGCTGATCATTTGAATCAGGTGTCACTTTGACCTTTAAGGTCCTTACACACCGGGAACGACACAAAATTACGACACAAAATCACGACACAAAATTACAAAATATTCAGAGGCGAATTATGACGCGCCTGACAAACCCCCTACCGAGTGACACGACTTTCCGGGGAGAAAAAAGGCACGTCCCGGGTGGAAGTGAGAAGACTAACACAACAGCAGACCGACTGTTTTTCAGTTCTGATTAGACTCTAGTGTTGAGATGTCTGTCTGTCATGATAGCATGTACTGAGTCGGGGCCAGTACCAGATAAGCACATTAAACTATAATCCATAAACGTAAAGTAACAACCGAAACCTAATGGTGCTGTGACAGCAACGCAATTGAGTTTGAGACAGTGAAAATACATATAGTATGTTGTATCTGAACAGGTTAGCTTATGAGCTAAAGTTACATAGCACAGATGAAACCTGATTGGTCAGAAGTGGACACACAGTCGTCTGTGATACGAAAAAATAAATGCCGCAATATCGCAGGATGGGAAAATGTCGCTGATGTGAACGCATGTATTAACAGGATATGGGTTCGAAAAACATATTGACATCTGAAATAATTGCACGAAAAAAAATTCTCCCGGTGTGTAAGGACCTTTAGAATGGAGATTTTTGCTTGTGTGCTTTCTTCTCTGCAGAATATAGTCTACTTACCTCCGTGAACAAAACATGCACACCTGAATACACTGTGAGTTATACATGATATGCCTCACTGCACATATTAACTCATGGTAATAAGAATGACTAACAGAGGTATTGCTAGTCAATCTTGCTTTTTTTTCTGGCAAAGCAACACATCGTATCAGCACATACAAGGGGTAGCAAATAAAGATCCGCCTTTCATCATTTTCAGGCAACCACAAACTTAATTCCCATAACTGCAGCATGGGGCAGGAGAGCAAAATACAACCAGCATCTAATGATAGATTCAACTAGAATAAGTGTAATAAACTTAACCTGATTAAATTCAGGTAATCAAGGGTGAATTCTTTTAATTAGAACAAAAGATAAATGAATCCTTTGAAAACTTGTTAAAACTTTAATTTGTCATGTCTTGAAAAGGATTTTATTCTTTACCCTGCTCAGTCATAAAGACTTTGATTTATTTACTTATTTTTAAACTTAAGATGGTTGTCTGAGTTACTGAAGACCTTGGTCAACCTCTCTAAAGTTTAAGTTATTTTTTAAGTAATTTTTAAGTTATATAAAACCGTTAACTGTCCAATAGGTCTTGTGCAACTCGATAACTAACCGATAAAAAATTAACTTGATCAAAAGTTAACTTTGAAATTGACTACAAACTTCATCTCCCATAACACAGCGTTGGGACGACAAAAAACTATCCCGGAAAAAAAGCTTACGCTATGACACCACCAAAATATCAAATTATACAATTGTATTTTCATACGTGTTTCAACCTGTTGTGAAGTGTCTTATAAAGAGCAGAAAATCATTTTTGCAGCTGTTTTGATGCTGGACAGAAAGGTTGGGGTTATTTTTTGTTTGTCTCCTCACGTCATATGCGCGACACGGACCGGATCTCTTGAATCAAACATGTCTCTGACAAGCGGCAGCTACAAACCCGTGAGCTATGTCCTCTTCGACATGGATGGACTGTTATTAGGTCTCGAAACATATTTTTTGTCTCTGTTAGTCATCTAATGCGAGGCTACTCCAGTGCCATGGCTGCAGTGAAACAGAAACTCACTCAGCCCGCAATGTGCAGCCTCACTGCCGAACTCTATTAGAAATATTAGAAGTTCTTGATTTTTTGTATATAACTAAATGAGCTTATTATACAAAACATTACTTAAGCGGTATTGGACATGGAATAGGCTAATATTGAAATCGGAATAAAATTTTAAAAGCCATCTGCTGTAGGAATCACAAATTTTTGACTTTCACGTATGCTGAACCTGGTTGACGTATGTGTATGAACTACCCAAATGTGTTCAGAAGAAGCGTGTGTCTCAGCTTCACACTTAAAGAAGTTGTGGTTTTTCTGTCATTTAAAACGTCCTTATTCAGCTTCAGACACAAGCCGAATGGAAGATGTTTGATAAATTTACACATTTAAGTTTGAACACTTAGTGCATTGAAATTATTTGTTCGCTTGTAATTCTGTTTAGAAAGAAACTAATAATTTTAAAGGAAGTTCAACTCTACGCCAATGAAACATTTTGCCGTCTTGTCTTAGTGGCACTCCTCATTGAAAATCATGTAATGTAATAATAACTGCAATTGTGGAATTTTAATTTTATTTGCTTCAGTTAGGCAGCAGCTTTTTAAGTATATATGTTAAAGTTTGAGGTCACATCCAACTTCTGTAGTCATGCCCATGTATTTTGTGGCATAAATAGATTATAATTGGTCTATCGGCACATTGAATTCACTTTCTTTATTTTATCCCATTCCAGACACAGAGCGGCTGTACACCGTGTCCTTCCAGGAAGTCTGTGACCGCTTTGGGAAGCAGTACACCTGGGACGTGAAGTCGACTGTGATGGGGAAAAAAGCTCTGGAAGCTGCTCAGATGATTCGAGACTCTCTGGAGCTTCCCATGACAGCTGAAGAGCTCCTGACTGAAACCAGACAGATACAAGAAAATATTTTTCCCTCTGCCAAGCTAATGCCAGGTAAACCTGATTCTCCAGGCTGGTGTTATTGAGAACACACAAATATTGAACCGGGAAATGCAGCTGATTTGTTCTCAGCTGAAGAGAGGACTATCATTAGCTCCTGTGTGGGCTGATGTCCTCTTTATTCTGAGTGTGGGAGTGCTGCTTCCTCTGTTTGTGTACATGTGTGCACACACTCGGTGATATTATGATCTAATATTTAGCTTTGATTGAATTTAACCTTTATTTTCTGATTGTGTAAATCTTTCCTGCAAAATTTAAGAACCAATATCAGAAACAAGTTGAATAATTTGAGTTTGACAGACTTCAGTGCCATGAATACAGTTCATCATGCTGTCATTACTCTCTCATGGTGTCACACATCAATATAATGATCATGCAGCAATAACTGCGCGTGTTGGTGTTATATAAGAATGGTTGATGATTCAGCTGCTGCAGCAGTCTGATAATTTAATTCCATAACTGATCCTGATTTAAACCTTAAAATGTCATGTCATCATCGAATTACCATCAAGAGCATTAAACCTGTGCTACTGATGCTATTTTTAAGCGCATGTGACGCATGCTGGTAAATGACGGCACCTCGAATTACGCTTTCTGAGTATATTTAATTTGCTTTTGTAAACCAAAGCGGATGTTGTCGACTGTTTAAGAAGGAAATCTCTTCATGCAATGGCAAAAAGTTTGGGAGATATTTAAGAGCAGGTTTTACCCCTCCTATCAGCCAAGTAACAATACACAGTTGTGTGAAACAAAATGTGTTTGTGGTGTGATTTGATTAGACAAGAAACTCTCTTTTGGAGCAGTCCTGTACAGCAGCCGTACAAAAGCAAAAAGATAGAAATGCATGAATATTTGAAGCTGCATGGATGCAAAATGAAGTAATTCTACATTGAATTAAAAAACACATTACTTATAAGTAATGTATAAGTATAAATATTAGTTCAAATGACGCAACCCAGCTAGCAAAAAAACTTCAAAAATGATTAACTGGCTAGTAATTCTGGTGCCAACTATAAAAGATGATGATTCCCCATAGACATATCAACAGATGCAGCGCTTTGAACTTCATGAATAAATTACAGGTACTGCACAGCGAATATATGAGTTGCACATGCTATTGCCTTGCCAGAAGGTTCCTTGTCCAAATCCAGACCGGGGCTGGGTGGATTCTCCCAGTGCGTGTGCAGGTTTTTCTCGTGCATGCACAAGAAAACCTGCACATGCATTTTTATGTTGTGTCTATTCATGTGCAGATTCTCTCTGTGCATGTGTGGTTTCTCCTTACACATGCATGGGTTGTCCTTGTGTGTGTGCAAGTACATGTTCCTCCTGCATGTGTGGATTCTTTCTATGCATGTGCAGGTTCTCCAAGTACATTTGTGGGTTCTTTCTGTGCATGTGTGCCAATCCCTGGAGGCTTTGGCTTCCTAACACAACCACCAAAGACATGCACATTTGATTCGAAGGCTGCTCTGAACTGCTCACAGGTGTAAATATCTTTATGTGTTAAGGTCCTTATGCAACGGGAGCGACACAAATATACGACGCGAAATCACAAAATATTCAGAGGCGAATTTTGACGCGCCTGACTATACACATCAAGCATGATGCAATTTTGCGACTTTCCGGGGAAAAAGACGCATCCCGGGGAAGACTTTTGCCAGTGAAAGTCCCGCCTCCTTCGCCTCTGATTGGCTAGTTAAGCTGGAAACGTCATTACAAGCTGAAGCCAAGCAGTCAGCACTTATAGCCAATCAGAGATGATAAGATAAGCACATGAAACTATGGTAACAACCGTTAGAATACGTTAGCACAGATGAAAGTTAAAACAAAGACGTTTAGCAAACTGTTAAAGCACACAAACCATCGTCATATGAGAAATGACTCTATGACGCTATGACTCTCCACAAGTTGTCCTTCAGGTCGTTATCTTTGTAATATTTGTGTCTTTTATCAAAATGCACTCTGTTCTCTGACATGTAAACAATCAGCCAGTCGGCCATGTTGGATATACCGGTGAATCTGACGTAGCAACAACACACAATCTGATTGGTCAGAAGTGGACGCACAGTATGCGAAACTTTAAAAAATTGATCGTGATCCGAAAAAATAAATGCTGTAATATCGCAGGACGGGAAAGTGTCGCTGATGTGAATGCTTGTATTGACAGGATACGGGTTCGAAAAAAAGTTGACGTCCGAAAAAATCACATGAAAAAAACGGTCCTGGTATGTAAAGACCTTTAGTCTTAAAAAGTGCATATCCGTGTGTTTAAAACAAAAAAGTACATATTAGTTAACCGTACACATGTGGTCCTTTAGGTGTGGAGAAACTGGTGCACCACCTGAAGAAGAACAACGTCCCCATCGCCGTGGCCACCAGTTCAGCAGGTGTGACGTTTGAGCTGAAGACCAAGAACCACAAAGATTTCTTTGCTCTATTCGACCACATCGTTCTGGGAGACGACCCTGAAGTGAAGAACGCAAAACCTCAGCCGGACTCTTTCCTGGTCTGTGCCAAAAGATTCAACCCTGCAGCTCCTCCAGAGAAGGTAAGCGCAGATTAAAGGTGGTGATGTTGAGAGCAGATACAGATTGGGACATAAGAGGTCAAACCTGAGGTGTAGTTTTTTCAATGTGGGTTTTTATAGTGTTTTTTTTTCTATTCCTCATCTTGGATTTGTCTGAATTGAAGCTCTAGTGGTGAGATTTCTTCGATTTGATAGATGATTGGTCAAATATTTAATCACCAGATATCACAGTTGTTGTGTTGGTGAGTTCTCGTTCATATCTGTTGGTGTACATCAGCTTTGATTTCAAGTGTCACTCTTTTTAAAGAAGCATCAGTCTGACTCAAGCTTTGAATAAACCCACTGTGAGCTGAGGTGAACTCAGAGCTGTCAATCATCTCCACTTCTACCTAAATCACAGCTACACACTCACCTCACCTCTCCTCTCTTCTCGGTCTGTTTTTATTATTCACTCTGTTTATAATATCTTTATAACAGTAATCCCCATGCAGCTCAAAGGACAGGTTCATATTCAAACCATGATTCTTTATTTATCAGACGTGTTTATCCGGCTCTTCTTCTTATTAAGCAAACAGGAAATGGGGTTTGGGGACGTGCTAGTAGGTCACCAAACTCTGAATGAACTTAGCAGAGTGTGACAAAGCAAATAAATATCATCTTATATATGATGCAGAGACGCCGGGTGAAGAAGTGACTGAGGAAAACTTTCATATTTGCACAGCTTCTTAATTCAGACGGCGGCAGACACTCTTCAAAACTACAAGTTTCAGTTCATGCAAAAGTTGAGGATAAGCGAGCACGCTCAGTGTCTGTCTCTGTCTGATGAAATGAGTTTGTGCTTTTAACTTTTTGTGGAAACTTTCTGATCACTTTAGAGGTTACAGGTCCCACAGTTTGTTATATACCAAACCCGTGTGTGTAACTGCAGAGAAGAGCCTCAACAGTAAACATTTGAATTATTAACAAAACCAAACACGACTTCATCAGAATTCAGAACAGCGTTTCTGATGCATTTATGGCCTCTTGTTGTTATGCATTGATCTAACCTTTGTCTGTCAAGTTTATGAATTGTCTTTGAGTCTGAGCTTTGGTCCGGGTTTTGGTTTGGTGATAATTAAGCCTTAAATGTTGGTTCACTGGTTTGCAGTAGGAGACATATTTGGGGTCATATTTAATCAGCTTCTAGAGGTACAAGCAAGAGAGAAGTTGGTCTTTAATTCCCTGTTGTTGTTGAAAATGAAAAAAAAAAGTTTATGTTGGGCATGCACAGTGTGGATTAAGTTTTTTATGACAGTGTGCTTGACTGTTGTTGAACTTTTACTTATTTTATTTGGGTTCTTGAAACGGGAATTAGCCAGAAGTGATGTCAGGAGATCAAAAGATGGTTCAACTGGAAGGTCTTTTCTTTTCTTAGTCTTCAAATCCTTAGAATGTGTCTCTTCTGTGTCCCTCCCTCTTCCACTGATCAAATTATGAGCTGTTGCATTCTTGTGCATGAAGTCAGACAAGTTTCTGGAGCATGCTGGCTTCTTGTAGGGTCGATGCTTGGTGCAGATCCTGTTTGTGATTGTGATCCACACAGACGGCATCTAAAGGTGTGCCTAATGGGAGAAATAATTTGAAGATGAGCATTTTAATCCAAAATACTGATCTGTACTCAGTAGGGGGGGCAAATCACCAGTGGCCCCACAACGCAATATTATCTTGATACTTGGGCTACAATATGATATTTGATTTTTAACATTTTGCAATACAGTGAGTATTGCAGTACCATATATTGCAATTTATACAATGTTTTAAACTGTTTAGCTCTATGTCTTTCCTTTATGTTTGTGTTATTTACACAGTGTTTTATTTTCAAGTAGTAGGGCCCGACCGATTGATCAGCGAGCCGATAAAATCGGCCAATTTTAGCCTGTTTGAGACTAATTGGTAATTGGCCAAAACTCGCCGATTTTCACCAATATTTTCAGAAATAAAATGCGGAGAAAAAGATTCGGTTTCACTTCGAAAATGTTCCGCCATTTAAAAAGTTCCCCGACTTATCCTGTAGATGGCGCAGCGACCTCATGACAATCTTCATCCACTAACTACCTCACAGCACAGTGACGGATCTGAAGCAGGCAGCTCAGGGACGCAAGGAGGAGAGTGGTCCACCTCAACGGTAAATAAACCAGTTTGTGAAATACACAGTAAGATTCAGTTCAACCCACTTCACCATGTTCCCCACTGTGCTGGTCTCGGTCACGCTGAGTTAACGGTGAAGCACCATGTGATATGCAAGCTAAAGTTAGAGTTAGCCACCTGCTATTAGCCTTCCTACGCTGTTAGCCGTGCCAGTAACGGTAGAATAAACAACAGTACACATTACGTGATCGAGCTGAGACCGGACCGGAATTGAGTAACGTGAGTTAAGACGTGGAGGCAGTGATTGGCGGAGGGGGCTAGTAGAAAACTTTTCTGGTCTGAGCTCAATCAGTCAGTCTTCCTGTCGGCGTGAAGAGTAGTAGCCTACAGTATATATAAATTTTTTGTAACTTCATAAAAAATTTTAAACATCGGCTGATCAATCGGTAATTAGATATTTTTCCCCCTTATAATCGGTATCGTCATCGGCCTCAACAAATCTATATTGGTCGGGCCCTATCAAGTAGCACATCTTGCAAACCTTACAGATATATATATTTATTGTACTAACTTTCTCCTGGTTTATGATTTTGCCTCTGCCAACCTCACTGAACAAACAGTCGATTTTATTTTTCCATTATCATTGATTTGACCTCAATAGCAATTAATTTGAAAAAATTGATTCTTGGTAAATGAGACAATACGATATAAAATATCGCGATACGATGCTGTATCGATTTTTTTCTCCCACCCCTACCAGTCTTTATAAAACTATTCCACGATTAATCACATAGTTCATTTCCCTTCAGCTGGATGCCCTGCTCTCTCTGCAGAGTCACTGCAGACTCATAACATGCTAATCTGACTTGGAAAAGTTTGCACTTGACTTCAAATTTTTATTGGTTTGTTTTTCTTGTCAAGCACTTTTTTTCATTTCAGACATTTCAGATGGAAAACAAACACAGTGCAGTCAGGCCCAGATAGAAAGAATGAATGTTTCAAATCAGATAACAGCGGCAGAAACTTTTCTATTTTTCATCAAGAAAAGGTGTTCAAGTATATGAAACCAAAGACTGATGTTTTTTTTTTTTTTGGGATGTCTGAATTGAGGGTCCCGTTGGCTTCTTCAGGCTTTGACCTCCAGTTTGCAGCCTAGAATGAAGTGGCTGTGATGAAGATCTGAGGCTGTAAATCGTTGCCTGTAACAAAGAGTTGCTGCCTCCAGGTGGGGAGTAAATCTCTGCCATCAAAGAGCAAGCCCGGGTGTCTCTGGGCCTCGCTCATGTGCGAGGGTAAAACTGATTGTTAGGTTAAAAGGTGATTTGGTGTGGCATCAAGAGTAACAGGGGACTGTTAAAGTGAAGAGGAAGCTGAGGCTGAGGGCGGAGCTTTGATTTATGTCGATCCACATCCCATCTTCAGCTGTGATCATGAGTCTGGAAACAGAATGAGTGATCCAGGATTCAAGTAGCCAACATCTGCAGAACTCCACATTGAAAAGACTCAGATGTGGTTGAAAAGGAATCTGGTGCCACCTAGGCGCCTCCTTTTGGAGGTTTTGTAGGGATTTTCAACCATGATGAGGCCCTTGGATTGACCCTTACCCTTTTGGAGGGATTGACTTGTTTGACCTGCCGCCCTTTCTAATCCATAAATGAAAGCGTCACAACATCAGGCACTTTAGAAATCACAAAGAAAAACACAAAGCTGTGCAGACTGAGGAGAAAAAAGCTCCACGGCATGTGCAGGAAATTACATAATGGAGTGTTGTTAGTGTCTTCAAAAGTGTGACTACTGTTTGTCTCAGTGGGTTTTTTGCACATCAGGTACATTTCAGAGACTGATCCTGTTTTCTCTGCGAGCTGGGAGCTTTTTGATGTCACTTTTCAGAGGCGTCTGCATGTCAGCAGCATGTCAAACACTATGTTTTCTCTCCGCTGCTATTTAGCCTCTTGTGCGTCAGCAGATTGCTTTTCATTTACGGCTAACATGTTGGCTTCGCCGTCACGCAGGCAGGTCCTGATGTCAGCCGCTCTCTCACACTCCCACACTCCCACTGCCGCCGCGCTTTGATCAGAAGTGGAGAGCTTTCAGAGTTCACGGGCTGTGTAAGAGATATTTACAGACACTCTGGAAGTCTTTCGCAGAGTTGAGTCAGTCTAAAATAGCTGCCAAAAATCTCTGTAAAGACACCAAATGACAGTGTGAGTGCTGACCTACTTTCACTGAAACACTCGCTCTGAAGACCACACGCTAAGGAAATGGTGGAATTATGCTGATTTGAACAAATTCACTGTGAATCATTGATCAGTACGAGATGTGCTTGCTGAATAAGTGATTCAGTGACGTGCTTAGCTTAGCTTTTAGAATATGATTCTATAAAAATCATATAAACCCTCCAAGATGTGCTGTTTTTAAACTATTATACGGCCTTTATTACCGTGGAGAGTTTTCTAACATGCTCCGACATGATCGTGCCATAAAATTACAGGCGGTTTAGTTTTATTAAGCAAGATTCCCGAGGTTCCTTTCCATAATTCATGGTGCCATGTGACGCCTACACAGAAGGAATCACAGTTAAATCATTAACAGTGTTGGTCCATATTGACATGATGGCATCACACAGTTGCCGCAGATTTGTCGGCTGCACATCCATGATGCGAATCTCCCGTTCCACCACATCCCAAAGATGCTCTATTGGATTGAGATCTGGTGACTGTGGAGGCCATTTGAGTACAGTGAACTCATTGTCATGTTCAAGAAACCAGTCTGAGATGATTCCAGCTTTATGACATGGCGCATTATCCTGCTGAAAGTAGCCATCAGAAGTTGGGTACATTGTGGTCATAAAGGGATGGACATGGTCAGCAACAATACTCAGGTAGGCTGTGGCGTTGCAACGATGCTCAATTGGTACCAAGGGGCCCAAAGAGTGCCAAGAAAATATTCCCCACACCATGACACCACCACCACCAGCCTGAACCGTTGATACAAGGCAGGATGGATCCATGCTTTCATGTTGTTGACCCCAAATTCTGACCCTACCATCCGAATGTCGCAGCAGAAATCGAGACTCATCAGACCAGGCAACGTTTTTCCAATCTTCTATTGTCCAATTTCGATGAGCTTGTGCAAATTGTAGCCTCAGTTTCCTGTTCTTAGCTGAAAGGAGTGGCACCCGGCGTGGTCTTCTGCTGCTGTAGCCCATCTGCCTCAAAGTTCGACGTACTGTGCGTTCAGAGATGCTCTTCTGCCTACCTTGGTTGTAACGGGTGGTTATTTGAGTCACTGTTGCCTTTCTATCAGCTCGAACCAGTCTGGCCATTCTCCTCTGACCTCTGGCATCAACAAGGCATTTCCGCCCACAGAACTGCCGCTCACTGGATATTTTTTCTTTTTCGGACCATTCTCTGTAAACCCTAGAGATGGTTGTGTGTGAAAATCCCAGTAGATCAGCAGTTTCTGAAATACTCAGACCAGCCCTTCTGGCACCAACAACCATGCCACGTTCAAAGTCACTCAAATCACCTTTCTTCCCCATACTGATGCTCGGTTTGAACTGCAGGAGCTTGTCTTGACCATGTCTACATGCCTAAATGCACTAAGTTGCCGCCATGTGATTGGCTGATTAGAAATTAAGTGTTAACGAGCAGTTGGACAGGTGTACCTAATAAAGTGGCCGGTGAGTGTAGATTCCTAATAGAGTGGTGCAGTGTTGATAAACTGTGGGAAACACCTGCACACAAGCTAGGCTACAGTTTCCTGCAGTTTCCTGACTCTACTGTGGAATGGTGTTCTTTTTTAGAAACTCTGACACAGCTCGTATTCTGGTTCAAGTGCACACTCAACTGGGAAATCTTTAGCACTAAGGGTAAGAATCACCAGTGGCCCAGCAATACGATATTATTACAATGCTTGGGCTACAATAGGATATTATCACAATTCTTGGGCCACGATATGATATTATCACGATACTTGGGCCACAATACGATATTATCATGATACTTGGGCCATGATACAAAATTATCACAATACTTGAGCCACAATACGATATTATCACAATACTTGGGCCATGATATGATGTTATCACGATACTTGGGCCACAATACGATATTATCATGATACTTGGGCCATGATACAAAATTATCACAATACTTGAGCCACAATACGATATTATCACAATACTTGGGCCATGATATGATGTTATCACAATACTTGGGCCACAATACGATATTATCAAAATACTTGGGCCACAATACGATATTATCACGATACTTGGGCCGTGATATAATATTATCACAATACTTGGGCCACATTACGATATTATCATGATACTTGGGCCATGATACAAAATTATCACAATACTTGAGCCACAATACGATATTATCACAATACTTGGGCCATGATATGATGTTATCACAATACTTGGGCCACAATACGATATCAAAATACTTGGGCCACAATACGATATTATCACGATACTTGGGCCGTGATATAATATTATCACAATACTTGGGCCACAATACGATATTATCACAATACTTGGGCCATGATATGATATTATCACAATACTTTGGCCACTATACAATATAATCACAATACTTGGGCCATGATACAATATTATCACAATACTTGCGCCACAATACAATATTATCACAATACTTGTGCCACAATTGATAGTATCACAATACTTGCGCCACAATCAATTTTATCACGATACTTGGGCCACAATACGATATTATCATAATACTTGGGCCATGATACAATATTATTGCGATTTTTAACATTTTGCAATACAGTGAGTATTGTGATACCATAAATGGCAATTTATACAATTTTTTTCAACTTTTTAGCTTATTTAGCATTTGTCTTTCGTTAATGTTTTTCTTATGTACACAGTTTTTAATTTTCATGGAGCACTTCTTGCAAACCTTATAAGTCAGATCCATCTCATTTGTGCCCTGCATTCCCAATCTTTTCCCCTTGGTGGCGCCATATTTGTTGCACTAACTTTCTCCTGCTCTATGATGCCATCTCTGCCAACCTTACTGGACAAACAGTTGATTTTATTTTTCCATAATCATAGATTTGACTTCATATTAACTATAAATTTGAAAAAATCCATACTTAGTAAATGAAACGTTAAGATGTATCACCAGACAAAACATCCCAATACTATGCTGTATCGATTTTTTCTCCCACCTCTATTTTGCACTTGACTTTGCCATCAGACAGTCCATTTGTTCTCGCACTTTTTGCTGTTATCACAGATGTGCGTCCTTCTGCACGCAGAGCTCACTATTTGCACTATTGCATCCAGATTTATTTGCACTTAAAGTCGCGACAGCTTTTTAATAAGTGCCATCTGTGAAGAGATTTCTCTGTCTTTGCTGGCTGCATGATTTAGACACAATCAAACTCACTGACTCACAACTTGACACAACCATACAGTGTTAGCTAGCAGTTATTAAGGACAGCGTGATTCTGTGGTTGAGCACTACGGCAGAAAAGTGTAGGGTTTTGATCTGAAAGAAACTTAAATAACTCTGTTTGAGTTCAGGCATTTGGCATATTTTAAGGTGGAAGAAGTTCCCTAATATTAGCTCTATGTCAAATACACTTTTGTTTGTGTTTTTTTTTAATAACAGAGGCTTTTTTCCAAATCCTGAAGATTGCAAACCTGCAGCATTTTGAAAAGTGACTCCTGTATTTTCTATGCTGGTATAAACACAACAAACAGGCCTGCTGATAACTGTCTTCTATGGTGACTTAAATCCAGATATTTACTGCTATTAAACGTTAATGTAAACTACAATAAAGTGAAACAGCCCGAGGATATAACCACAGAGAGAAACCAGGAGGATCATCATCAGCTTTCTTATGAGTCTCTCAAGCGGCTGTGAATGTGTTTCTAGTGATTATAAATGCACCGCTGGACGCTTTTTATTCCGTTGACCTGAAGCTGAACTCTGACGGGTTTATTCAGACGTTGTTCAGCCATTCAACGAGCTGAGGAACTGGACCACACACTATTCATGTCCTTTTCTAAGCATTGCCTTCAACTAGCACATCCTCTTTATTCAGTTTTGTTCATGACGGCCGAGCACAAAGATTGAACTGGCAATGTGCCCCTGCAACATGAACCTTGTGAAAAATTAATTGAATTTTCAAAAGTGAAGAAACATTACTCCCATAGGCCGCCCACGCTCACATTACTCACTGCATTTAATGTGAATGCAAACAAGCCTGGAGTAGATTACCTTAAGGTTTACATGATATACGTTTTATTATTTGAAAAGATGTGCAGGCTTGTGAACTCCTGAAGTCTTCACAGGGGAACAAATGATGCCTGAATACAGAACTAACAAGGTTAGAGTGTGAAGGTATGTAAATATGAAACAGGAAACATAAAAACAGGATCAAAACCATCTGTATGTCTGTAGCATTGAATCATCTCAGTATATTCAACAGTTAAAAGGTCCCATATGACACTCCTTTTCAGCATGTTTACATAGGTCTCAGAGGTCCCAGAAAAGTCAATTTGAAGTTTGTTGTCTAAAAACAGTTTTTTTTCTGGACTTCAGCCTGGAAACTCTCTAGTAAGCTTTACTGAGAACACGCTGTTTCTATGTGCTGCGCCAGTACACACCTCCTTCAGCGCAAGCCACGCCCCTCCATGTCTCTCTGGAAGAAGGGGGTGTGGCTTGCGCTACGGTACCATACGCTAATGTTTACACAGAGTGCCGGGTATGGCGCAAAAGCGCTGTGGTCCAGTCATACCAGCTTGATCCAGAGTCTGACCCAGAAGGAGAGGCTCATGAAGAAATTCTAACCCTGTGGCTGCAGCAGGATGTTTCTGAATGGTTAAGGTCCTTTCAAACCGGGAACGACGCAAATATACGACATGAAATTACGAAATATTCAGAGGCGAATTTTGACGCGCCTGACTATACACATCAAGCGTGATGAGATTTTGTGACTTTCCAGGGGAAAAAAAGACGCGTCCCGGGTGTGAGCGAGAAGACTGACACAACAGCAGACCGACTGTTTTTCAGTTCTGATTAGACTCTAGTGTTGAGATGTCTGTCTGTCATGATAGCATGTACTGAGTCAGGGCCAGTACCAGATAAGCACATTAAACTATAATCCATAAATGTAAAGTAACAACCAAGACCTAATGGTGCTGTGACAGAAGCGTGATTGAGTTTGAGACAGTGAAAATACATATGGTATGTTGTATCTGAACAGGTTAGCCTACGAGCTAAAGTTACTTAGCACAGATGAAAGTTAAAACAAAGACGTTTAGCAAACTGTTAAAGCACACAAACCATCGTCATATGAGAAATCTGACGCTATGACTCTCCACAAGTTGTCCCTCAGGTCGTTATCTTTGTAATGTTTGTGTTTTGCTATCAAAAAGCGCTCTGTTCTCTGACATGTAAACAATCAGCCGGTCGGCCATGTTGGATATACCAGTGAATCAGACGTCGCAACAACACGAAATCTGATTGGTCAGAAGTGGACACACAGTATGCGAAACTTTGGAAAAATCGACCGTGATATGAAAAAATAAATGCCGCAATATCGCAGGGTGGATTGTTTTGATGGGATACAGGTTCGAAAAAAATACTGATGTCCAAAAAATCGCACAAAAAAAACGCTCCTGGTGTGTAAGGACCTTTAGTTACATATACTATGTGTCTCGATATTTTTCTTTTTACTTTGTTCAGGTGTTGGTACACAGTGACTTACATGTAGCTAGGTAACATCCCCTCTTCTTTTGGTGAATGCGCAGTATAGTAAGTGTAGTTATTTCTTGAGACTATGTTTTTGCAGTCTACGAAAAAAGGTTTGCCGTCAGAGGACTGCTACTAGCCTCAACTACTAGCCTATGCTCAGTTAAACTGCTACAAGCTTGTAATGTCGAGACTGTGATCGATGCTGACCAAGCAGAATTAAGAAATCTTACTTTTATAAAGTTTTGGGATGTTTTAAGCAGAGATGTTTAGAATAGCAGAAAATTTGGAACATTTTCAGGGGGCAGAACAAACATCTTGGGCAGGGTCACCAACCTGGTGGGGTGAAGTTATTGTCGTCCATGACGTCATGGAAGGTGATAGTTTCAATCTGCCCGTTTGAATGGACATTTTCTGGAAGGTGGAACAAGCAAGAGAGGGAGAGGATCGAATTTTCTCATTTTGGGGGGGTTTGTAGACAGGCTGGGGACGCATATTTTTGTTAGAAAACCATTCCAAAGTAAATTATGCATAATATAGGACCTTTAAAGGCAAAACCCTGAAGTCCTGAACCCTGAATTTGCTTCATGTGTTTTAGGGTTTGAAATTAGCTCCAGTGCATATCTTTAACCTGCAGCCTTGAAACAGGTTGTAATGGCAGCAGCTTTACCCTCCAGGGCAAATCCAAGTGAGCCAGACTACGGTCACATTTTAGACTTAGGTTGCTACCTTAACTCTACCCATCAGTCTACCACCATCAAGTTTTGCGCTCTGATGAATAAAGCTAAGAATCATTTAAACCCTCAAAATAACAACAATACAAACCAAGACTGTGATCTAAGAGGAGAGACCAGCAACAAAAGGATGAGTCTGGTGGCCCAAAAAAACAAAACGTCTGACTGTTTGTGCAAAACTGAGCAGCTTCTATGACGAACCATATGACTCTGGTAAAATCAGACACAGCATGAAAAAGGAGGAGCCAGGGCGGAGGCGGGTTGCAAAGCAGCTTCAGAGGAAACAGGAAAAGAATTTAAGAAGATTTAAACTCTTGTAGTTTGAGGGTTACATCCATTTTAAGCGTCTGAGTCATGACATAGCTGTAAACTTTCTTAGATTTGCAGACGGTGAACGAGTCTGTGAAAGTAAACGCCCTTATTATGCAGATGCCTGTAAAACTTTTGAATACTAAATCTGCAAACAGTATGTATTCTGATTTTTTTTCGTCTTGAAGAATTTATTGTACTTTCTAAAACTTTTCTTTAAAAAGCACCTTTCCACCTTCAGGCTCAGACAGGGAGGCTGAAACATTGAAATGGTGTTTCTACAAAGATAGACTCACCATGTCCAACACCCTCAGTATCTCAGGTCAAATCTCACCTCCTCTCGGCTCTCTGCCGCTGCAGAGTGTTTTGACCTCTGCTGCTAGGAAAAGTACAATGCTTCCCCAGAGTCCTCACCTCTGCTTCCTTTATGGAGGCTGTCAGTCTGTGCAGGGTGGAGGGGGTGGGCTGTAGTTTTAAGTCTGGTTTTCTATTCACAGCAGGTTAGCTCAGTACCAATGCTGTGTGCATAGAAGAAGACCTTAAATCCATAGATGCAATGCATATAACCAACCCAGGAGCTCATTAGTTTGTTGTAGGTGGAGGCTGCATATTTTACAGCACAACTTGTAGTTGCAGCTACAAAGTTTAAGAGTCGTGTTTAGTAGTTGTCCTACTGCAGTAGCAGTGAGTTTTATTCAAATTGGTTATTTCTGTGTGTTTTAGTACTAGGGCCCGACTACTAGGGGGGAAAAAATCTGATTACAGGATAAGTTGGGGAACTTTTCAGATGGCAGACCGGTTTGGAAGTAAAACAAAATCTTATTCTCCGCATTTTATTCCTGAAAATATCGGCGAAAGTTTTGGCCAATTACCGATTTAGTCTCAAACGGGCTAAAATTGGCCGATTTAATCGGCTCGCCAATAAATCGGTGGGGCCCTATTTAGTACCAGACTGTAATGTCATCCATTTGTTTTTCTTTACCACAGTTTTGAAGTTCAGGTTTGAGTCAAGGGACCAGGATTTACAATCCCAGTTCTTCAGAAACTTGCATTTTAATTCAAAGGTTGCGGAGGCGTATTGCATTCACCAAAAAAAACTTTTCTTCAGGACAGTTTATTTTAATGTTTTTCAGACAATTTTTCTTTTCTTTTCTGTTTTTTTGGAATATTTTCCCCCACTCTTCAGACTAATTTTTCTGTTTTTCAGAGTACTTTTTTTGTTTTGTTTTTCAGACTAATTGTTTTTCCTTTTCTCTGGGAACATGATCATTTAAAAACAGACGTTTCACACCCTCTGCTTGATAGAATAGTCCGAAAAACAGAAAGACAAAAAAAAAAAAAAATAGTATGAAAAACAGAATAAAATTTTGTCTGGGAAACAGAAAGAGGGGAAAAATATTAGTACAAAAAACAGAAGAAAAAAAATAGTCATAAAAACAGAAAGAAAAAAATAATTAGTCTGATAAAATGAAGAAAAAAAAGAGTTACCTTTTTTTTGTAAGTGAATGCTATACACTTCTGTATATCAAATATTAAAATAAAAATTAAAAAAGAAAAGATTATTGTTTTATTAACAATATCTGCTCATTTTGGGGGGCACAGTGGTGTAGTGGTTCGCACTGTCACCTCACAGCAAGAAGGTCCTGGGTTTGAATTTGGGTCAGGGCGTCACTTTCAAATTGCCTGAAGGTGTGAATATGAGTGTGGGTGGTTGTTTGTTTCTATATGTCAGCCTTGCGATGACTTGGCGACTTGTCCAGGGTGTCCCCTGCCTTCGCCCCAAGATGCTTGAATAGGCTCCGGCCCCCCAAGACCCCCTAAAGGGATAAGCGGTAGAAAATGGATGGATGGGTATCTGCTCATTTTAATTAAACATCAGCAACATGTTTCAAAAATCTTTTCAGGAAAAAAACAAACAGGTAAAAAGTTGTTATCGGGGAACAGGGATTACACCGGCACGGCTCTGTTGTAGAAGGGTCCTGCTGCTAAACAGGCCTGCCTGCAAGAATTTGGTTAACCTTGCTCTGTCCTCACTTATTTATTTTATTTATTTAATTTTTTTAACCCTATGCTGTCTCAAAGTTAAAATAAACATCCTAACTCTAGTAGTATTGGAACTGTTTTGAAACTCAAGCTTGAGACTAAACTCGTGTTCACTGAGGGGGTAAATTTAACCAAGAAGCGAGACTATTTTCTCCTCCTTTTTTACACAGTCATACCTCTTCAACAAACTCTTTGACAACCTTTTATTGCTTCAATCTAATGGAAGGTGCAAAGATTTGAGAAAAAAATCAAAGTTTTGACTTTTTATTATCAGGGTCAGCTCGTCTACCTCCCCCTAAAAACTTACAGCTCCGTCATTTATTCATCATTCAGCTGCTTCAGTGCTGTGATAATCTGTAACCTTAATAAAAATGATAGGCATCATATAACCCGTCCCTGCATTTGCAGATGGCTCCTGGATAATATAAAAACTGAGGTGCACTCAAAAAGAGATGGCTGAAAAAGTCAGCTATGATTGCATCTTCCTCACACTGCATTTGGATATTTGCAGCCTAATTTAACAGGCAAATCTGAGGCATCCAATAGATATATTCTCGCTAACTCCTCTGCTCTGGCTTAAAAGGCTTTTTGCTGCAAATAGGTCTGCCTGTGGCACCGTGCACCTGATTTTTTAATCTGGAGCCAGCCACGGTTCGAGCTGGCATTTTTCTTGATGAGATATGAAACTGAGGCTCAGAGGGGGAATCGACAGAGTGTTCAGTAGAATAACGAATGATGATGCGTCACTCCCCGGCTCCCACTCCGTGACAGAGGGGGAGGAGGAGGAGGGGAGAAGGGTGTGAGGAGGAGAGCAGACAGAGGCAGAGCTTGAGGGAGGAGAAGGAGGAGGGTGGAGAGGATGAGGTAAACAGAAGCAGCAGCTCTATGGTAATGACATACATCCAAATGTCAGCTCTTCCTGCCCTGATTTACACTCTGATGCAAACAAAACAAGTTTTTTAAGTCTCTGAGGGAGAGGAGGAACAGGCAGATGCATTTGTTTCACACACACGGACTGATAACTAAAAGTTTTCCTGTTAAATTCACAGATGAGCCATTAAATTAAGAAATGTTAAAATGTTAGGATTAGCAGCTGCGCTTTAGTCTCAGGATTTGCACAAACTTTGAGGCTGTTGTTTCATCTTCAGTGTGTCTGTTTGGGGTGTAAAGTTGAAGAGGATTGCAGTAAAATGAAGCAAAAGATCATAAAAGGTTGAAATTTGGCATGAAATCTGATTTTTCAATATGTGGAAGTTATTGTGCACCTTTAAAATGAAACTTTTTAAAATGATGCTCATTCTCCCTGTGCAGAATTAGGCAGCGCTGGTCTGGTGTTGTTGGCTGATTTTGACCCTCAGGGTTGCATTCATGCCAAGTTTGATGTCCAAGTTTGGAGCTGATGTTTTTTTTTACTCTTCCATTAAAGAGATAAAATTAAAGTCAGAGAAGGAAAACTAGGGGTGGGAATTGATATGATTTTATTGATATAATGCTTATCAATTCAATTCTTTAACGATTCCCTTATCAATGCCTTTCTCTGATAGGTTTTCAATGTTAACTCAAAATATTATTGAGTCTTTGATAAAAGAAAAAGATGTATGCCACCTTCATTAAGTCTAAAAATAATTAAACGTCAAACTATTCATACAACATGTACTTGGTCGGTATTAAGTCAAATAAGGGTGACCATACTCTGGATCTCCAAAAAGAGGACATGGCTACATGGGCTGAAGTTGCGTGCAAAATGTTGAGGGTTTTTCTGGTCAGGTTGAGTATTTTTTACGCTCATCTGACACAGTTAGTCCACGCTACACAAACTCAAAACTTCCATTCAAGACTTGTTGCCGTCTTTCTTAGTAAAATGACACCACGCTTTAAATCGTTTCTGCCTACTTTTCGTACCATCCGCCATGTTGTTTCCTCAAAGTCTCTGTTCTCCTTAGACTGCCTCTCACAAGAACGTTTTCATAAACACCTAGAAGACAGGAATCGTTAAGGGAATCATTAAAATGAAATGTAAACGATGTCGATGGATTGAACCATTTGGAACCGGTTCTCAACAAGAACCGGTTCTTGAGTCCCATGTTTAACGAAAACAGCAGAAATCACTCATGCCAGTTCACAAGAATGAGCATCATGATCATCCAACAATGACCAGATAGACATTTCTAAAACTACTGCTGGTTGGGGACCAATAGGAAATATCAATGGTTGTTTTGGAATTTATTTCTACATTTTTCAAAGTTATGCTCCTTAAAAATTTAGCAAAGAAATAACAAAAAAAAAAAAAAACATAAAAAAAAACAGTTATTTTCAGTTTGGCTGGAGCATCAAAAAGTTCTGCTTCTTTTTGCCACTTTGGCTCCAAGTCTAAACTTTTTTATTTCTATTATTGCAATAAAATTTTATTTCAGCTACTTTATACTTTGTTGTCACCAAAACTTTTTTTCTGAACTTTGACTCACACCAACACAGATATGTCAACATCTGTAACAAGCAAAACTCCATCACAATCTCAACTATCAAGAGTCGGTTTGGAGAGAGAGTCTTGATAGGATGGGAACTTTGCAACTTTGATTTGCAGCATGAGTCTAAAATAACGATTATGAAGATATTTGGTATTTAATTAGATTTTTTATTAATGTAAAGTTATCTCAGGCTGTGTGTTTTCTTACAAACACACTTGTTAAAATTATTCAGCTGGAAAAAGTTTGGCTTGCACTGTCAAACTGACAGAGTAGTTAAAGATTCTTTGTTGCAGATTTGTCGAACAAAATATAATATTTACACCCTCCAAATTCCCAATAGCTTCCCCAGAGTACTCACACCTGTCACAGTGAGGCATAGGATGAAACGTCTGCTCACTGCGGGAGAATCCCAGAAAAATTCAGCCCTTCATAAACCGAGCTTAATTAAGGGAATACATTTGAATAGAGCTGCTTCTGATTTGATGCACATGAGGTGCAATCTAATACTGACCTGGTAAGATTGAGGATTGGCCCAGCTCCATGAAGGACATGATACTAGTTTACAGAACCCAAAAATCAATGCGTTTAAGCTGATAAATCACATAAATTGGCTGATAAAGTTTTAGAGTAAGTTGTAGAGTTTTAGAGTAAATTGGAATGTTGTTCCTGATAAAACTGTCAGCTGTGAAAAGGTTCAAGTTTTGGCTATTTTTACCAAAAGACGAAGAGGAAGTCAAATGCATTCCATGCGGCAAAATTATTCCTTTAAACAAGGGAACAATCATAGACTCTAGATAGAATGGACAGTGTCTGCCTCCTTGCTGGGTGAAGCCACAGTGAGAACAGCACCCTCTGGTGACAGGCTGCAGAATAGGTCATAAATCCCCCCTGGTTGCGATGTTGACATGTAGTTTTTGTAAGACTGGTTTGTGCTCAAGTCCTCTTTTTTCTGTACAGCTGTATTTTAAAAAGTTATCAGGGGGTTCATGTTTTCTATGATTGACACTTGATACAGCCTATGGGCGTATGAAGATTGCGTTGCTCACCCGGGAGATACGCTCTTTGAGCCGAGTGTCATCACAGCGACTCTCCCGCCGAATACGTACAGTGCTACTGCGCTTTGCAATGCGACTGAGAAAATCCCGGAAATACCAAGAGCAATTTGGCTACAAATCCGTATAATGACAGAAGGCGGAGCCAAGTTGTTCATAGTATATACAGCCTATAAGAACAACCATGATTATTGAGCGTATCAGCATTGTGCAACTTCAACAAACTTAGGCTATGTTCACACTGCAGATTAATGGCGATTTTTTAACCATATGTGACACAAATCCCAATTTTTGCGAGACAGCCTTTCTGAGCAAAGTAGTCATGAGTTCTGAAACCTGCAGGTTAAAAGCTGTTTAGCTAATTAAACGAGGTGGCATTGTGATGCAAGGTCAGTAAAGCAACTAATGGGAAAAATGCGAAGAAAACGTCACCCTGAAATATTCAATTCTAACCCCATTAAAAAGAAGTTTCAGTTTTTCAGTAGATAATTTTTGAAGAGAAAAGAGTATTTTGCCAACTGTATTAAATAAATGGTACACCGGTTCTGTCAGAAATGTCTTTCTTCTAAAAGATTGCTGAAGACTCAGCAGACGTGATTCTGCAAATTGAGTGAAAACATTTAGATAAATCCTTCTAAAGTCATTTAGCACCAGTCCATGGTTTATTGTTTTACTAGTTGACTCATACTGCTGCAGGATGATTTAGTTTAAAGGACATTTTAGTCTCTTTTGAGTACGACATTAACAGTTTCACCAAGGCTTATTGTTAATATTGTGAAGGGCCAATGTGCCAGCCATCATTAAAAAGAAAGATAAAGACAGCAAAGGTGAATTGAGAAAGAGAGAAAGCAGTTTTTTTTTAATGAAAATTTAATTAAATGAGAATTTTTCTGGGTAAATTATTCCTCTTGTGTTGACTGGCTCCTGACAGACGAGCGTTGGGGGCTTTTAGCACACGACTGCTGCAGTGAAAGAAGAGTTAGAAAAGTGTCCAATTCAGAAGGACTTTATGAAAATGTCCCCTGCAGCAAAGCAAATACATTACAGGATATGATTTAATGTGATGCGGAGAGCGCCGGGGGCAGAGCAGAGAGAGAGAGCGCTGCAGCTCGGCGGCCTCACAGGTGAGTAATGTGGTGTCGACGCCGCTGTCTGAACTGACCAAAAGTGAAAGAAAAAGCGCCGCTCTCTTTTCCTCAGAGAGAGCAGAGACATTTTTCACAAGTCCAAAGTAACAGTGTTGATGAGACAGGAGATTTTTACCAAAGGTGTGCTCAGCAGCCTGAAGAAGATTAATGAAACATGAAAGTGAGCTAGTTCATGCTCACGCTGATGGGGAGGTAGGAGGGCAGGAGGGGAGCGAGTTCTTCTTCTGTCATTAATCATAGGAGGCATTACACCAAGGGAAGCCTTTAAAGTCCAGGTATTCAAATCAGGTACAATTGAGACATGAACACTCCTCTCTGAGCAGTAAATTGGACCATTACTACTCCAACAAAGCTGACCAGGTTCACCCTGTAGCTCCCTAACACGCACACCAGAGCCCTGATTTTCACATGTACAGTCTTATGGCGTTTTCATATGGAAATGTGAAACACGCTGGAGGTAAGAGGTTCAGGTCACTTTTTAAATGCTAAGTGCTCATAAAGGGTTTCTTCACTCCACTTAGAAGAGCCGGCTCCATATTCCTACATTTACTACCAGGCTGCACTGGGTAAAGATTGTTCAGGTCGTTTGTCGAACCGGCGGATTTATTAGGAGCAGAAACCTTCTAACTGCAACCTCCTCTGTGAACATGTGCTTTGGTCTTTCCAGGACTGGACTTAATAACATATTTTCTGAGAATCGTATCTAGCCAACAGAAACAGCCCACAGCACTGGCAGTGGACAAAAGGATAATGTCATAAAAATTATTCGCTTTGTGAGGTAAATTTGACCGCTTGATTTGGTATTTGCTACAAAAACCCGCCTTGCATGCAATGAACATCTGGCGTGCTTTATGCCTTTTCTGACATGCAATATACATTATCTTATGTGTGATATGCATTATTCAACTTGCAGTTAACATTGTCTAACATGCAGATCACCTTTTCTGACACCCATTTTACATTTTTAATGAGCAATTCACTTGATCTAATTAGAAATCTATATTATTTATATCGCAATATACATTATCTAACATGCAACATTCATTATGTGAAACAAAGTGCATCTTTTTGAACATGTGATATACATTATTTGATATGCATCATACATAATCTCACAGCAGATAAACAATCTCTGATGTGCAGTATTCATTATCTGACATGCTATCCATCTTTTAACATAGGATATATGGTGGCTGACATATATGTGTGTATATATGTACATATATATCTAACATGCAAAGATGTGTTTGACACTTAGTTTGCATTTTTTAACAAAGATAATGTTGTATCTAATGTGCATTATTGATTATCTAGTTTGCAGTATTCATTTTCCAATATGCAGTCCATTTAGAATGCATTTAAAAACAAGTAACATACATGATCTAGTTAACTTATATTATTTATATTTAATATACATATACAAAACTTAATATACATTATCCAACATGAAACATACATTTTCTGACAAATATTTAGTAGCGTCTAACATGAAAACTATATCGTCTGATGTAAAGTTTACATTATCTAATATGCAATATATATTATCTGACTTCTATTATACAACATCTGACGTGCAGAATACATTATCTGCTGTGTCATGTACATTATCTAATATGCAAAAAAAAAAAACATCCAACATGTTTCAAATATGATCTGACATGCAACATACATTACATTCGCTGATGTGCAGTTTGCATGTTCTGACATATACATTAGCTTTCATGCAATATATCTGACACACACTTTGCATAGTCCAACATGAATTATACGTTATCTTCTGTGCAGTTAATACATGCAATATACATAATTTTATATGCAGTAGGCATTTCCTAACCTGCAATAATTATGATTTTGTGCATTAAACATGGTCTGACCTGTAATATACACTTTCTTACATGCGATTTACGTTTGCTAATGCACTGTGTACCTTATTTTACATGCAAAATACATTCTCTATCCATCCATCTTCTACTGCTTATTCGGAGTCTGGTCGCAGGGGCATTATCTTATAAATAATATGCATTATCAAACGCCCAATTAACTTTCTGACATGAACAATATGCAGAAACAAACTGTGCATTATACATTTTTACTGCATAATAGACATTATCTGCTGTGGAATAAACATTTAATGTGCATTTTTTTTTAAATGGTCAGGTAATAACAATTTTCACTTAGCAAAATTATTTAGCATTGGTTACCTAATCGCGGGTTTGCAATGCACCTGCAGATAACTGGATGTCATGCACTTTAGGTTTAGCATGTCTATGTAAATTTTGTTTTTATTGTTAAATGACAAAGAAGCTTTCTGTTTGTATTACATCAAAACTCTTTTTGATAAAGACAGGACTGTAGGCTTAAAAAAATCCGGACTATACACATCAAGCCCGATGATCAAGCCCGATGATTAGACTCTAGTGTTGAGATGTCTGTCTGTCATGATAGCATGTACTGAGTCGGGGCCAGTATCAGATAAGCACATTAAACTATAATCCATAAACGTAAGTTAACAACCGAGACCTAATGGTGCTGTGACAGCAACAAGATTGAGTTTGAGACAGTGAAAATACATATGGTATGTTGTATCTGAACAGGTTAGCTTACAAGCTAAAGTTACTTAGCACAGATGAAAGTTGAAACAAAGACGTTTAGCAAACTGTTAAAGCACACAAACCATCGTCATATGAGAAATCCGACGCTATGACTCTCCACAAGTTGTCCTTCAGGTCGTTATCTTTGTAATATTTGTGTTTTTTATCAAGAAACACTCTGTTCTCCGACACGTAAACAATCAGCCGCTCGGCCATGTTTGATATACAGGTGAATCTGACGTCGCAACAACACGCAATCTGATTGGTCAGAAGTGGATGCACAGTATGCGAAACTTTAGAAAAATCGACCGTGAAACAAAAAAATTAAATGCTGCAATATCGCAGGACGGGAAAACATTGCTGATGTGAATGCTTGTATTGACAGGATTGGGTTCGAAAAAAAATATTGACGTCCGAAATAATTACACAACAAAAACTGTCCTGATGTGAAAGGACCAAGGACTAAGTTTGAACAGATAACTAGGAAGTGCAATGTGTGTAATGAAAAGTCACCCAGGACTCCTCCCTCTGGATTCTCACTTTAATTTTCAATCAACATTTCTAATTTACTTTAAGTCTACACAGTTTTATACTTTTCACAGTAGTAATTAAACTTGTATTAAGCATTTCTCTGAAATAGGGGAGGTTTAATTAATATCTATTTATTATGAGTATCAAAAAATTCTCACTAGATGTCTAAACAATAGCCAAAAAGGTTGCAAGACACATGCTGAGAGAAAAAAGACGCAAATTAACTGCTGAAGATGAATTAAACGTGAAGTTACCAGGAACCTCCAGTGCTGTCATACTCCCAAACTGCAACCTACCTGGAGGGTCCAGAAGTACAAGTGGTTCAGTGCTCAGAGACATTGCCGAGGTCTGTTGTCGTTAGATAATAAAACTAGTCCTCAAAAGTGCATCTGACACCGAATGAAGTCAGGAGATGTTAGTTTTTCACAGTGAAACACGGTAACTAAAATGTAACAGAGACATGTACGACAGAAATACTTGATTATGTTGTCGTCTTGTATTTGTCACTAACACTTTTATTTTGTTAAACTACATAAATCATTTTCAAACCTCACAGTTCAGTGCGGGAGCAGTGAATTACGAAAAGCTTGCAGAGACAAGTCAGAGAGAGTAAGAGAAGGTTTTTCACACAGGGCGGATTGAGTCTGTGAATTCCCTTTAGGTCCAGGAGAGCTTTGGATGTTCAGATAATGATACTGCAACAACACGGCAACGATGATTCAGGACCTGCCCCGCCCACAGACTTTTATTGGCTTTCATCCCTTAGAAACCATCAGGGCTTTACAGGGATTCACATAATACAGAATCAACTCAGTGTTTCCACGCTGCAGTCTGCAGACCTGGATTCATTTATCACTTCCACCCATTTCATTTCCTCTGGTTTGATGTTTTATTGTGTCACACTGCCGGGGTCGGGGCCTCTGTTATGACAGAGGAGGTTTAAAAATGATGCAAAGTTTGCAAAGAGCTTTTAGGCTAAGAGATTCACTTTATGTTTCTTTTTTTTTTTTTGATCCCTAAAATATTCAGGACCGGGAGCTTTTGGAGTAAACGGGCTACATATTAGGGGTCGGTGGCTGGTTTAAAGTGCACTGATGGCTGGGTTGATTTAAAACCACTTAGCTTGCTCTTTGCACCCCTCTGCATTTCTCTTATCTAACGTAGCGTATGACTCGCTCAAACTAGCATCCGTACACACAGCTTCGCTCTCCGCCCTATTTGTGTTTCCTGGCTGGATATTTTATCACCACAGACTTCAAATGTGTGGGCTAAGCCTGCTGCGGGGTCCTCCTTAGATCACAAGCAAAGCACGGAGGGCAGGAGGGCTGTGAGATTTGCAGACACTCATTTTAGCTCGATTGTGGTATTTTTGATTAAGTCTTCTGGCTGTGCATGCGCTCGTCTTTGAGCATATCTCCTTACACCCAGCGCAGGCTAAGTTATCTCATATTGAAATAGTCGGAGGGAAAAGGCTGACTGTGTTGTAGCTGCATTGTGTCAGGGGGTAAACATTTCAGGCTGTGGTTTTTCTCAGTTTCATGAAGAGCTCAAAGGTAAACATGCTGACTCCAAACAGCATCAATAATTAAAGCTAATTTCCATATTGTTTGACCTCGACTTTTTTTTTTTTTTTTTTTTTTACATAACTGAAGGCCTGAGTGACTAAAAGGTTTGAAAAGTTCTGGAATCAGCCTGATAAGTTGGCAGCCTGCAGCAGTAAAACAGGCTGTAAAGGCTGCAGCATCATGTTTTAGAGCAAATGCCCCAAATTAAAATATGTCTAATGGATGTTAAGAGGTTTGAATATCAAATACTTAAGAAATACTCTGCATACTTTTCAGGCCTCAAATTTGATACCTTTAATAATGACTGTAGGGAAGTTCAAAAGTGCTTGAAAGTGGATAAAAACAGTCCTAAGATATGTCATACATTATCCCCCTGCGAATTGTACATTTTACTGCACATTAAACATTATCTTCTGTACAATTTACAGCTTTTCTGTGCAGTAAACATTATCTCCAGTGCATTATTAGCATTTAGTGCATAATCTTCTGTGCAACATGTTATATGTTCACTGTATAATATGCATTATCTAAAAAACAAGATCATTTTTACATTGTCAACCTATATCATACATGATCTCCTGTGTAAAGCACATTTTTTAGCACATTATACAAAATTTACAGTACAAGATGCACCTCGATCAGACAATAAACATTATCTATGATGTAGTATACATTATCTGCCATGTAATATACATACATATTTTCTGAGCCATAAATATTATCCCAGTGCAATTTTATTTAAAAAGGACATTATGCAAAGTATAGTGCATTATGCTACTAATTAATAAACTGATTTTTTTGCATTATTATCTCCAGTAGTATATGCATGTTTATTTGAAAACAAATACATTATCAAACATGCAGTCAATTATTTATTCCGTGTAACATACATTGTTTTTGCATGATTTACATGATCATTTTAATAGCCATGCAACATGTGGTGCATTATCTTCTGTGCAACAAATAAGTTACTGTATTATATACATTATCTAAAAAAAAGGAAATTTATAGATTGTCAACCTATATCATACATGATCTCCTGTGCAAAGTACATTTTTTTGCGCATTATACATAATTCACAGTACAGGATGCATGTCAATTACACAGTAACATTATCTACTACAATGTAGTATACATTATCTACCATATGATACATTAATATTTTCTGTGCAATAAACATTTTTCGTCATGCAAAGTACGGTGCATACTGAACTCTTTCATAAACTGATTTTATGCACTATTAACATTATCTACAGTAGTGTATGCATGTTTATCTCACAACATATACATTATCAAACATGCAGTATGTTTTTCCTTCTGTGCAACGTACATCATTACTGCACAATCTATATTACCTTCAATTTTAGAACTAATTACATTATTATCCGTGCAACATGAGGTGCATTATCTTCTGTGCAACACGTATGGTAACTGTATAATATGAATTATCCAAAGAACAAGATCATTCATACATTGTCTGCCTATATCATACATGAGTAAAAAGTAAATTTTTGCACATTATACATAATTTACAGTACAAGACACATCTCAATCAGACAGTATACATTATCTACCATGTGATACATATTTTCTGTGTGATAAACAATATCCCAGTGCAATTTGCTTTTAAAGACTAAACATGAAATGTACATTGCACTACCTCTGATACAGCATACATTTCTACTGTGCAATATTCTAAATCTGCAGTGCAATTTGCGTCTCATTAAACAGTATCCAACTAAAACCTGTGAAATCTAAGTTCTTTGGTTACTTACTGAATACTTGATAAATCCTCCATTCCCAACTTGTCATATTTTTAGAGTTATTTTTGCACGCATATTGGAACCAGACACAGAGCAAGAAATTCAGACAATGCTGCAGAAAACATTCTTGGCATTGTTATTTTTGAGAGATTTATTGACAGATTAACAAAATTTAACTCACCCCAGGTTTTTCTTGTATTGATCTGCTGTGAAACTGTAACAGATTGTCAGTGTGGAGTGTTTTTATGGCCAAGAATAGATCTGTATAAACTGAACATCCACCCCGCTGCCAACTGAAGAGGAAAACTGCTTTTCTTCAAACTGTTTTCACTCCTACAGGCTTCCAGCTCAGATTAGAAATACAAGTGTGAGAAATTAAGCATGTTAAAGTGAAGTAGGATTGTGTTTGTGAACCTGGACCCTGCCTTTAAACGTGCTACTGGGGTGATGATAAGTCAGTTACTGTTTGTCTTAATTACTAAAACTCATTTCTGGAAATCTTTTCACACCCTACTCTAAAACCCATTTTTTCAAACTACATTCATAAAACCTCTGAAGCTCAAAATCAAACACTGTGTTCACATCATACTCACAACAGTCAGAATAAAAGTAGGAATACAGCACTGAATGGAGAACGCAGTGGTCAGAGATCCCACTGGAAAAACAACATAATGTTTTTTGAGACAACAGTTTGCAAGATAATCAGTTTTATTAAAACGATTGATGCAGATACTAGACGTGCAGCTAAATTTTGCAAAAGAAATGAACAGTATGTGTAGCTGGACAGTTAAAGATTAGACACATTCAGAGTCTCTGTGATCAAAACTGTCTTCAAAACAAGCAAAAAAAGCTGCTTCTGGTTTAAAAAAAATCATTATTTTTCTCCAGAGATTCCTCTTACAATGTTGTCAGACACTTACAATAAAAATTTTAGCCTGTCAGGGACGAAAACGAGGACTCTGGTGCGGATGTTGGTTGCCTGAAAAGATGACGCTGCAGTGGCTGCAAGGTCATCTTTTGAGGCAACCAACATCCGCACCAGTCCTGGAGCATTTCTGAAACCTTCTTTATTCTGCATTTAGGCCCAAGACTAGGGATGGGCGATATGGCCTTAAATCAATATCACGATATATTGAGCAGTTCACTTCGATGGCGATAAATGGATGATAACTACTCCACATGCTGCTCACCCCTTCCCACATTAACTTTGTCTACTTCAGCCGCAACAGCTTTTGAACTGTCCTCCATCTCCTCAACTGTCTTTCCCTCTTTGTTACGGACTGGATGGGGTGGAGTCATGTCTCTGACGTAGGACAGCGTCTTAAAGGGACATGAGACCATAGCCCACCTACACACATACAAAACCAACTTTTATTTATGTATTTTTTTGTCACTGAAATTGTCAATATGGGCGAAATGACGTTGGTTATTGTCTTAATTATAGTATCTGTAAATTTTCGGTTTATCGCCCAGCCCTACTCAAGACTATTGAAAATTAGGCCTAGATTTAAAAACAGAGGAATAGTCCTTTAACTGGCAATTTTATAAGATCTGGGATTTCGTAAGAGACATTTGTACCATCTTTTGAACATTCAGTTTGACATCAGCTGTGTCGTTTACGCAACCAGAGCCTGGCCTGGAGGACGCTGAGGTTTTTCTGGCCGATCCTGAATTTCATGCTGTTTGTGTAGCAGAACACACACTAACACACACAAACACACATTGTATGCACACACTCTCCCCTTGTCCTCAGTTATAAGGGTCCTTCTTTCATCAACAGTGGTTGTATTTCCGCTCTCCACAATCGAGAGGATGAAATGCTACACATCCTGTGCTCAAGCTGCTCGGGGCTGCACCATCATTTAGGAGATGTAGTCAGCAATCTGTCACTGTCGCTTACTCACTCTGCGCTGCTCCCAGGACACAGATACATGTATGATGCACACACACATACAGATGTAGAGTGTGTTTGACACAAATCTTGGTGCGTCAGCTCGTTAAAGCCGTGTGCCGCGCATCAGCCATGCATCATAGCTGTTACGCTGTAAATAAAGGCTGATTTTATAGCTGCTTTTATGTGATGCGTCGTTGCTTCATGGCTCTTCTGGGAACTAAAGCAGCGGTGTCCCTGAGTGAAGCACATGATATTTTTATACATCATCTGTATTTCAATCCCTGGGGACTGTGACGGTGATGTATTGTAGCGAACATTTTTCATTGGTGGAGATGATAACTCTCTTTGTGCATAACATAAACAACTCCACCTGTTTGTGAACCGTACCGTAGAGCAGCATCATGAGAGAGCGGCTACTGCATAACACCTAAATCACCTTTAGCACACTAAACTCTGCCATTAGGTGAAGAAGGCTTCGGAGCAGGTGGAAATCTAAAGCAGAGCTCTGCATTTGCAGACATTAAGGAACAAAATATTTTCTGTTTGGCTCTCTACTTCTAATACTCATCTGCTGCCCATTTACAGACCACAAAGTGAAGAGAGGCCTGACATTTGTTGCAAAAAGGGTTCGTCATTCGGTAATCTGATTTGGATAATCTGTAAAAGTGAAGCAAAATCTGATCGATCCTAGCCTCTGAAATATGACAGCTGTAAGGCTGCAAGATTTTGGCCCAAATAAAAATTTTGATTTTGATCTTTTATTCAGTGACAACTTTACCAAACTTCACTTTAAAGGTCCTTACACACCGGGGCTGACGCGAATATAGAACGTGAAATTACGAAATATTCAGAGGTGAATTTTGACGTGCCTGACTATACACATCAAGCCTGATACGATTTTGCGACTTTCTGTGGGGGAAGAGACGCATCCCGGGGAAGACTTTTCCCGGGGAAAGTCCGGCCTCCTTCGCCTGTGATTGGCTAGAAAAACTGGAAACGTCATCACATGCTCAAGCCAAATGGTCAGCACTTATAGCCAATCAAAGATGACAAGATAAGCACATGAAACTATGGTAACAACCGTTAGCTTACGTTAGCACAGATGAAAGTTAAAACATCGGCGTTTAGCAAACTGTTAAAGCACACAAACCATCGTCATATGAGAGATCCGACGCTATGTTGTCCTTCAGGTTGTTATCTTTGTAATATTTGTGTCTTCATAAAGCGCTCTGTTCTCCGACACGTAAACAATCAGCCGGTCTGCCATGTTGGATATACCAGTGAATCAGACGTCGCAACAACACGAAATCTGATTGGTCAGAAGTACGAAAAAATAAATGCTGCAATATCGCAGGATGGGAAAACGTCGCTGATGTGAACGCTTGTATTGACAGGATATGGGTTCGAAAAAAAATTATCACGTCTGAAATACTTGAAAAAAACGGTCCTGGTGTGAAAGGACCTTAATGATACTTTTTCCCATCATCTCTCAAAACAAAACCACTAAAAACGATGTAGTGCGTATGCCAAGCCAGTAAGAAGCGCTGTAATGCTGCCAAGGAAATGCACAAAGGACAGAAGTAGAGTACAGAGCATGCGCATAAAGGTTGTTTTGGCCGGACACGAACAGGTGCCATAAAAGTGTTATGCTGCATGTCATATAATCGCTTCGAGAGATGCAGATAGGCATCCACACAGAGATAAAATGGTAGTCGTTTATAGATTTATGCACTCTTGTCTTCAAGTGTTTTTAAAAATTACTGTTTACAATCGCCCAAAATGCCCAAATGTGTTTACTCCTGAATTCGTTTCCACTTGAACAGGTTGATACCGCCTTCAGACAGACTTTGCAGCGGGGAGTGGTTTGCACTTGATTTGAAACTGTGAAGCTGTACCAATTCCACACAACTGACTCGCTCTTGTCCTATTTAGCCATAAAATTATCGCCTTCCTTTGCAAATACCATGTTTGTTTACACTGGTGTGTGCTCGACGTGAAAACAGTGTTTGATTCTGAGGACAGATGGAGCTGCTCTCATGTGGAGAGTGTCAATTTTCCTGCAAACGAAAAGTTTTTCTTTTCTTTTTTAAATATAGTTTGAAAAATGGATTCTATGTTTAGAGTTAAAAGAAAACATTGGAGGGTTTGCAATAAAAAAAACAACTTTTTAACCATTATGTCATTTTTTTCTGCGCTTGATAGAGAGGAAAATTGATTTTTAACATCGTCATAATCAAATAATCCGATTACGATTTAAAATCGATTAATCGTGCAGCCCTAGATATTCAAGCATGAGGATCTAGCAAACCTCTGTGTCATTTTGAGGCTTCCTTGTATAGATGGTTGCTTTTAATAATCAGTAATAACAAAGCAGGCTGTAAGAGAGTTTGAAGATAGGCAGTAATAATCAATCCCTGATTACAAAAAGAAGATCATACTGAGATTTCAACATGCAGTCCTTTGAAAATTTTGTTGGCTTTTATTTGATTTTTCAAAGATTGAAAAAATATCTCAAGTCTGATTTCAAGATATTTTCTGACAAGAGTTAGAGTAGAGCTAAGGATAAATACGATCATGGTTTTATTACTTTTCTTAACGAAAAATTGAACAAACTCAGGATTAAAGTTTGAGAGATTTAAACCTGTAATAATAAGACCACCCAGATGCTAGAAAAGAAGCTGCCAATGTAAGTGGGTATTAAGAGGAGGAAAGAGATGGAAAACAGCCAATCATGACAGAATTACAGGCATTTGGAGCTGAATGGAAACACAGCTGTTGAAGGAGAAGGCCCAACGGCTTACTCAGCTTCAGCTGTTTGGAGATATTTTGACTATTTACAGTCAGACACAGCAGAGAACACGGCAAACTGTGCCCAAGACGTGCCAGCTAAAACCAGCACAGCAAACACTACCAGCGTTAAAAGAGGAGTGACAGTGTCTCAGCTCACACCCTTTGAGATTAGCACTAGGGCCTGACCAATACCAGTTATTAGGGGGGGAAAAAATCAGATAACTAACCGAGTCTAATAGAGGTCTCTTGCTATTATGAATCCTGTGTAAACACTGCTTTACACTCCAAAAAAACAACACACTTTTATCCCTCTCTTATGGAATCTGTATTTTTCTGCAGCATCTATTTCTACAGATTGTATTTCCATAAATGAGACGGTGCCGAAGAGACATGGTTGCTGTCATGATATGTGCTGTTAGTTCAGTTTTCTCCTAGTTCCCTATTGTTCCCTGTAGTCCATTCTCATGAGTTTTCAGTTTGTGTTTGACCCTGTTTCTCTCCTGTTCTCAGTGTTTTATTCTTTAAATCAGTTTTCAGTGTTTATTTCCTGTTTTATTTTGTAGTAGTTGATTTCTTGTGTTTCTAGTCTGGTTTTACTCCCCTAGTTTTCCCTCCTTCGTTAATCACTCATGAGTTTCACCTGTGTCTCCTCTGCCACACCTGTTGCTCGTTAATGCTCGTTACCCTGTGTGTATATAGTCCCTGTCTCCCCCTGTTTCTTTGTTGGTTCCTTGGTTGGGAAAAATACACAGAAAATGCGCTCAAATAAAACCATGAGAAAACTGAATAAACAGCCTATCATGACAGATGCATTCACATTACAACTCAGTTTTCACAAAAATCATACTTCAGACATCAGTTTTTTCCTTTTTTTGTTGCTCTTTGACCACTGAGCTGGCTAAGACAGGTTCAAGACAGCATGAGTTTCAGCAGGTCAGTGTGCAGCTACAGGAAACGCAGCAAGGTTTGCACAAAGTCTAGCTAATGGGATTCATTGTTTTCATCTTAAATGACTTGTAATGATATATCTGTTGGTCTGTTGTGCTTTTTGTGTTGTTCACATGACTGTTTTTTAACTGGCCCATGTTTGACCACCTTAACATGAGTTAAGGTCTCTGGACTAGGGCCCGACTGATATGGATTTTTTGCGGCCATTGCCGATACCGATTATTAGGGGGAAAAAAATCTGATCAGGCCCTAATTAGCACCATTTTACTTTTGGAATGAAGCATCTGGTTGGTGGGAAGTTCAGAACACAGCCTCTGATTGGCCAGGAGAGTTGGCGAAAGCAGTCTGGAGTCTAGCCAAATATTTTAGTTTTTTCCTGATAACTGGAAGGAATAAAGTTTTCAGATTCATTTTGGAATCTTGCAGACTTAAATGCAAATGTTTGAGCAGCATCCTCAACATATGAGGATTGATATTATATCTGAGGAGTGAATTTAGTGATATGCATGGGGAAATGATACGATTGGTTGTATTTGTGCAGAAGTTGCTGTGAACGGCCCAAACTGCAAGATTACAAAAACTGTTTGCAGGATTAAAGTTGACTTTACCTGACTTTATCATAACACCAAAACAAACCACAAGAGAGTAGCATCCATGAACGAAACAACTGCCATCCTGCGGGATCATATTCAATCAATCATGGCTGTTAATCAAGCTCCAATTATTTAACCTCTCAAGTCTTTATATTTAGACTTAAGTCTGGAACATAACTCGTCTGACTTTTTGATCTTATCGTGCATCTTTGAGGGATTAAAGAACGCACTGCAGCACTCCATATTTTACCCAAATGTTCCCTGCGAGCTCCAAATTCCAGTCCACAGTCATCTCCGCTGGGTGTTTATGGGCAGATGTCAAAAGGATGAAAACGTGGCAGCTGCATCAAACAGTCCAGCATTTCTTGAACTAAATCCCAGTCCACATAGACTGGTTATCAGACCAGGAGCTGGGAGCCAACTATGGCAGTACAAAACCTGCTGAAAAATTAAAACACGCCCTAACGCTGCCAAACACATAAAAATAAGAGCCAAAAAGTTACAGCAGAGAGAAGCTGCAAAAACAGCGTCTGTCTTTGCATCCTTGATTTGAGAGTGTATGCATATTAGCACAGAGTGTATCCATTCTCTGTCAGTAAGAAATCATTAATGTTTACACTACAGAGAGTGTTATTAAATGGTTTGTGTGGTGAACGTTTCCTACGTGACAGATTCATTCCGCGGCTGTGTTAACTGTCAGGCAGACACGCTGTCACATATGCAGCTGACACATTGACTTCACCTCAGTGTCAAACGCTGACATAACTGCGAACATGAACGGGCTGTACGTCAAAAAGGCCGGATAGCTCTGTGTCATCTGAGGGAAAAACGACCGTTCAAGATGTTCTCATCAGAAACACACACAAACAAAACAGAAGAAAACAGCAAGACAGATCATAATTAAAGCTGTAATTAGAAAAAAGGTGATGTATGAAGGATGCAGCTGCATAGATGTAGGTGTTTGCTTCTGTAACATCTAGGTTTAAGGGTTAATATGATGTATAATTTAAACTTTCATCAAGTTACAGATGGTAAATACTGCAGAAGAAGTATGAACAATCTCTGTTTTTTTGTTTGTTTGCAACATATCCTTGTTTTCTTTTAGGTAAGTTTTTTAAATTCAGTCATATCCGCAGCCTCTCAGTTTCTGACCTCATCAGCCATGCAGTGATCTGATTCTGCTTATAAGGAACTGCGCTGATTGAGACTAGGGCCTGACCAATATGAATTTTTTGGGGCAGATGCCGATAAAATCTGACTACCGATTAATCAGCCGATTTTTTATGAAGTTATAAAAAATATATATACACTGTAGATATTTACGGTAAACTATATACTGTAAACAACTACCCACCCGCCGCCGCCGATCGGTGCTTCCGCATCTTAACTCACGTTACTCATTTCCGGTCCGGTCTCATCTGGAGGCATGCAGCTGCCTCAGTAAGAGAAGTAGCTTGATCACATAATGTGTACTGTTGTTTATTCTACTGTTACTGGCATGGCTAACAGTGTAGCAAGGCTAATAGCAGGTGGCTAACTCTAACTTTAGCTTGCATATTACATGGTGCTTCACCGTTAACTCGGCGTGACCGAGACCAGCACAGCGGGGCACATCGTTAAGCGGGGTGAACTGAAACTTGTTGACTTTTGTTGTGTATTTGTTGACATTTGTATTGTGTATTTCACAAACTGGTTTATTTACCGTTGAGGCGGACCACTCTCCTCTGTGCGTCCCTGAGCTGCCTGCTTCAGATCTGTCACTCTGCTTTGCTGTGAGGTAGTAAGTGGATGAAGATTGTCATGAGGTCGCTGCGCCATCTACAGGATAAGTTGGGGAACTTTTCAAATTGCGGAACATTTTCAAAGTGAAACCGAATCTTATTCTCCGCATTTTTTTTCTGAAAGTACACACGAAAATTGCATGAAAAACACTTTTTAAAAATTTTACGCACCACTCCGCCCCAGGTAGTAGGGTCGTCTTTTTGGGGATTCAGAATATAGTCACCCTAAACTACATCAGTACACTACACAATTCATCCAGATCCTGATCTCGAACAGGGAGGGAACTGATTAAGAGATGCGTAAAACTGGAGTGTTTTTCCATCATTCATGCCTTTTATCAACCAAACAGACTGGCACCAACTGCAGCTGCGTGTTGTTTTTTGTTAGAAATAAACAGAAGCCACAGTTTTCTTTAGTCCTGCAGCGCTGGGACTGAATCCAGACGTTTGTCTTTGTTTCTGCAGCCTGCGACAGAGCTTCTGGCTCTAAGCTTTGACGTCTTGACTCTGCAACACCAGAGCAAAGCCAAAATAGTGAAAGAGGAAGCAGAGACACTTCAAGCTATTTTTGAGTAGTTTTGCATACATGTTCATATCACTCCTGTCGTTTCGTCACCACAGGAGCAAATTAAAACCTCTTTGCAAAAACAATACAAAAGCTTTCTCACCCCCACATCCTCAGCACTGCTAGTCTAAAGGATGACTTAAGTACATATGTAAGAAAAAAGGTTTTTTTCATCATAATCCTTCCTTAATCCTTGCTGGATGTTGGTTTCTTTTGAACTCTCTGTGATCCCACAGTAGAAAATTGAAATTACAAGAGGAAAATCTTGTAAAAGCTCCTCAAATGGGCTGTTTTGATGTGAAATACAAGGACTGTAATTCTTTTTGGAACCCGTTCAGTTTTCTGACCCCATGGTTACCAGAAATTTACAGTGCGCCAAGAGACTGGATTGAAATCACAATTCTCCATCTCTCTTCGGTGAAAAGGAAAAAATCTCAAGCACATGAGACAATTTTTTTTAACTGACAGAAACACAACTTTTTTTCTGAACTGCCTTGTTTTGATCATTTTTATAACAGCTGGTGCGCTCACACGCTTGTTTTGCAGTAGGGGGTGAAAATCTGACCGCACAGTACTTATTTTGTGTTGGAAAGATTGACTTTGAAATTAAATAAAATACAAAATTATCATAAAATCATGAACAGCTGTTGCTGCTAAATGCAGCCATGGATAAATCAGTGAGGAAGAGTCTCAAATAATATACTGAAGTCCTTCAATAATGAGTATTTCTTCGTTGTTTTCTGGACTTATTTATCTCATATGTGAGGATAAGAAAGGGCCCGAGAGCCGATTAAATCAGCCAGTTTTAGCCCGTTTGAGACTAATCAGTAATTGGCCAAAACTTGCCGATTTTCGCCGATATTTTCAGAAATAAAATGCGGAGAACAAGATTTGGTTTCACTTCGACAATGTTCCGACATTTGAAAAGTTCCCCGACTTATCCTGTAGATGGCGCAGCAACCTCATAACAATCTTCATCCACTAACTACCTCACAGCACAGCAGAGTGACGGGTCTGAAGCAGGCAGCTCAGGGACGCACAGAGGAGAGTGGTCCACCTCAACGGTAAAGAAACTAGTTTGTGAAATACACAATAAGTCAACAGGTTTCAGTTCAACCCACTTCACGATGTTCCCCGCTGTGCTGGTCTCGGTCACGCCGAGTTAACGGTGAAGCACCATGTAATATGCAAGCTAAAGTTAGAGTTAGCCATCTGCTATTAGCCTTGCTACACTGTTAGCCATGCCAGTAACAGTAGAATTAAAACGCTTTTCTGGTCCGAGTTTGATCAGTCGGTCTTCCTGTCGGCATGAAAAGCATTAGCCTACAGTGTATCTACAGTGTAATATAGTATACTTTAGCTATCTACAGTATATATATATTTTTTATAACTTCATAAAAAAATTTAAAAATCGGCCGATTAATCAGTAATCAGATTTTTTTCCCCCCTAATCATCGATATCGGCAACGGCCCCAAAAAATCTATATCAGTCGGGCCCTAGTTTTCACATTACAAGATAGGGCTGTACGATTAATCGATTTTAAATCATAATCAGATTACTTGATAATGATGATGTTAAAAAAAATTAAAATGGTCAAATCGATTTTCCTTTCTATCATGTCTCGTGCCTCCAGGCCACCGTAGGCTCCCCCTTCCCAGTTCCAACACACACCAGTGTAAACAAACATGGCGTTTTCAAAAGGAGGCGATAATTTTGTGGCTGAATAGGACAAGAGCAAGTCAGTCGAGTGGAATTGGTACGGCTTCGCAGTTTCAGATGAAGAGCAAACCACTCCCTGCTGCAAAGTTTGTCTGAACCCATCCACATGGAAACAAATTTAGGAGTAAATGCACAAGTTTTTTGTCATGCAGCCCTATTGCAACAGATGAACTAACTCGTCCTCTGGAGGTCACAAAGCTGTCCTCACACTAATAAGATCATTTCTTTCTAATCTGAAACAACAAGACACTCCAGACTAAGAGGTGCTGTATTGTCATTTCGAGTTTAGATTATGTTTGCTCGCTTATGCTACTCTAGAGATATGAGTACAGGTCGGCTAACATCCATATCTCCTCAGAAATTGACTCATTATCAGGGAAAATGGGCTAAATAAAAGAATGAATACATGTCTGACAGTAATTCAGAGAATATCTCCCCTCCATGTTGTTTAAACTTTTATTTTCATTGCAGTGATTTCTTTGAGTGTTTCTTTTTTCCTGGAGTCCCTCTGCACCATTCCTCACATCTTCTCTAATTTCACTTTAATGCCATCTATAAATTGTTGTAAAACTTCATCATTTTGCCGGCGGCTCCCATCCCTCCACTTTGCATCTTATTATAAGAGCTCACAGATACTTTCAGAGCATTAAATCCTGCACCCAAGTGACAGCAGTGTTTTCTGAGAGTCCTGGAATAATGTGAGATTTCCAGGGGAGTGCTAACAAAGGTTCAAGCCTGACTGTAAAGCTGTTTGTCTGCTTTCATTTCAGTGCCGACTCATCTCGGTGCATCAAACAGATGGAGTAATGTACAGAACAGAGCACATGCAGCCCCTCGGGGTAAAACCCTGCGTCTGATCCTCGCCTGTAAAGGAACAATCATGTGATCATGAGCGCCTCAGAAGCTGGAGCCTCCCCGTTAGCTTCCTCCAGTAGTATTGAACTGTTGTCCGCAGCCAAACAAGGTCTGGATCGACTCCAAATCACATCACACGGCCATGGGCTGCTGTCATCTCGCCGCAGCGTGCTTCTCTAAAAGGCTTTACCCTATCAGTGTGTGTTTGGACAATAGCAGAGGTGTGTGTGTGTGTGTGTGTGTGTGTGCGCACACCACACTCACACACCTTGGTCTCTCTGACTCAGGTACACAGTGAATCCAGATCAGCGGGCTCTGATGAATCTTGCATGTGTCTGTGCGCCAGCCTGAGGACGGGCTGTAAATCTTAAAGAGAGGGATCGCTGGGTCCTCGCAGTCTCACTCTGGAGTTAGAAACCAGCCGGCACCGCTCAGACCCGACTGTAAAACACAATAAATCACAGACTTTCACTCAGTCACATGAACACACAGTTTACAGTGCAGACGTGGATGAAACTAAAACGACAATTTTTATCACCTCAACATCGAACAGACTTTGAATATCCAAGTTTCCCTGAGCAGCAGGTGAACGTAATCTTCGACGTGTCCACCAAAGCCTGGCTCACACTTTCAGACACCTTAAGATGTCTTAGACCCCACACATGACCACGGATGTTTCAATAAACACAGCACACCACACGAATAAAGACCCCTTTCAGCAGCAGCCAGAGCTCTGACCGCCACAACCGAAAATCTTGCAATATTTCTTGCGGTAAAATGTGACTTCAGAATAAAAAATCTGGCAGACTATGAGAGCAACCTTCAGACGCCCCCTAGGAACACTTTAACTTAGGAGGATAGTGATGGGCACGGCAGTTCGTATGGATGTACTGAATCACTACTCAGTTCACTAAACAAGATTTGTTCAAAAGATTTGTTCAACCAATCACAGAATCATTCAGTTGGTTTGTGGGAGGAGTCTGTGACTGAAAAATGTGTCCTACAGTTTCAAAATTTAAGAAAATGTTTAAACGCAAAGTAATGGACAAGTATAAAACACTATAACAGTACAATATAATACCTCTCAAGATTTTAATTTGTTGTTGCACTTGTTATTAACTAGTAACAAGTGTATTAACAACCAAATATAGCAGATGTTTTACAGCACTTCTTTATTGTTTTTGACTTTTTGATTTAGACTAGCAGAGAATTCCAGGAAATATTAGTTTGTTAGTTAGTTTGTTGTTCTAGTTAAACAACATGAAACCATGTGTCGTACTATCTGTTCGTTCTTTGTTTTTTTTGTTTTTTTTTGTTGTTGTTTTTTTGTTGTTTTTGTTTTTTTTTTGTTTTTGTTTGTTTTTTGTTGTTGTTTTTTTTGTCTTTCCTTTTGTCTCACATTTAAATGGGGTAGGTGCTATAAGCTCTTAGCTTTAGCCTATACCCTTTCGGCCAAACAGTATGACTACTGAAACAAATGTAATTGAAATGTCATGGAATGGAATATACCTTGTTTCAAAGTCGAAATAAACTTTAACTATAACTAACTATAACTAACTCTGACTCCCTGAACTGATGAACTGAACTGAACTGATCCCTCAAACTGCTGGTTTTATACACGACTTGTTACATGCTGTGTTCGTCTGTACACAAGTTGTTGTTAAAACAACAGGGGAACAATGGTCGCTATGAAAGTGTATCCCTCATACAAAAATAATTCCAGAGACAGGGTTTCCCCTACATAAATCATGTAGGGGACGAATGCATGAGGCAGGTGGAGAGAGGAGGGCAGGGAGAGGAGGCAGGTGTGTGTATCTGTGCCTGAAATGCTAAGGGACCAGAGAAAGGCTGTATTGATCTAACTGCAGCTCTAAAAGGTGAGAGACATTATCCCAAATGTTGAGTGTTTGGTATTTTAAGTTCTTCTGCAACCCTCTACAGAAAAATGTCTTGTGAACAGCAAAGAAAAGTGGACAGGTAGGGTTTTCTGCCAGCAAAGCATGGTCTAGGTCGATGATTCCTTTTCAATTTTAATTTTAGAAATGTCTGAGAAAGGCAAAGAAATAAGACATCACTGTGGGCTCTTGAAATGTCCGACGAAAAACCCAAAGAGCTGTGCTGATGGACCCAAGAGAAAAAGGAAAACTCAGCAGAGACCAGTGTCTGGAGAATCAAAAATCTCAGTTTCTGTTTCCACTCTGCAGAGCTGGGCATGTCCGTCAAAAGTGTGTTTGCTCAGTTAGTTCACTAACTGGAGAGAAAATGTGGAAATGTGCAGTTTTATGTGTGCATATGAATTGGAGAAATGATTCTGTATGATCCCTAAGAGCTGCTTATTGATGCTCTTGGACAGCAGCAGCGTTTCCCCCCATGTTCCCCGTTCACATCAGTGAGTACTCTGGCGCTGACGCTCGATGAATTTGGGTTATGAGGATTTTTGTTGGCATGAAAAAGCAGTTAAAGTGTTTTTCCCTCTAAAATGTTGATAAAGTGAGTTTCTGTGGATTTACCTTGTTACATTTTTATGAGGCTTTGTTGCTCTGTGGCAGGGTGTTTAACAAGCAGAACACCTCGCCTCGCTGTGACAGCCGCTGTCTGAAAATGGGTTTTGGTCCGGAGTCAGCAGCACTCGGGTGCTGAGGCTGCTGTGATCCTCGCCACGGTCACATGAGGAGCAATTTGCACAATAAACCGAAGCGCCTGACTGTAACAGGTGGATGAATAAACCAGCTTCATTTACCAAATGAAGCTGGTTTATTGTTACAACCTGAACCTTTTCACACAGAGGCTCACTGATGCATTCATAAACAGCTGCAGGGATGGTTCAGAGGACTACAGTGAAAAACCTGCGACATCTCAGAGCAGGAGAAGTAAAAACTAGGGATAACGGTAATATTATCTCATTTAAAATAACACAAATTAATCAAACCTTCTGTATTTTTGCACTGCAGAACTTTTGGTTGGTTTTTTGTTCTAAAAACAATGATGGATGAAACTCTGGATGAACCAAAATCCATGTTACAGCTAGCGTGGAAGTTAACGTTAGTCAGACTCTGAGTACAGTGACCCACATCCGACCCACACTTGACCAGATGGGAGAATCTCTGAAATTGATTCTGTATTGTAGGGCTGAAACGATTCCTCGAATACCTCGAGTACCTCCATTATAAATAATGATCGAGGAATTTTCTCTGCCTCAAGTACTCGTTTATAAGCTCAAATCATCACTGTTTCACACGGATTCCTTTGAAGGTGACACAATGTGCTTACGTCACCACGGTAGGAGGAGTAAGTGCTGTTAAGGTTTTGCAGAGCAAAAAAAATAAATGATGAGAGGAACTTTTCTTGCAGTGTTGCCAATTTAGCAACTTTTCAGACCCCCCTGGCGAATTATTTTCAAAAAACGCCTAGCTACAAATCTAGCAACTTTTTCTGGAGTTTTGAGGCTATAACATGAAAGCAGGTATCATTATGACTCTTCTAAAACACAGACATAGACAGACACTCCAAAGAAAGACACATCTCCGATGCAACGCGATGATGTCATCTAGCGACTTCTAGCTACTTTTACGACAGCCACTAGCGACTTTCCTTACTGAAGAGTTGGCAACACTGTTTCCTTGTGCAGAGCTCCAGTAGCTCATTAGCACTTAGCCTCTGAGTCGTGGGTGGAGACAGCGCTGCTCTGCACACTTCTCTTCACACTAGCTTGTAGCCTAACGTTGCTAGTGTCGTAGCAGAAGCAGGTCACATCGGAGCTGTTCAGCTCTCGGACACTAATGTCTTTAGAGGCATGATGAAAGTTAACATCATAATTAGCTTTCTTACGAGCATCGCAATCCGCTAGCGCACACGCTTGTTCCGCGATTGTCCTCTATTTCTCCGAGTCTGGCCTTCATAGGAAAGCCTTCATAGGGTATAGGAAATCTAACTTTATGTGAGTCTGCCGTTTGGGTCCAATTACTCGAGTAATCAATGGAATATTCGATAGAATACTCGATTACTTAAATATTCAATAGCTGCAGCTCTACTGTATTGTTAATTCCTAATATTGCTGCTTTTAATGGCATTAAATAAGCACTGATCTGTTTGTCTTGGCTAAGTATCACCTTGACAAAATAAACAAGGTTTTGTTTGTTTAAGCTTATGTATTTATTCAGTTCACTATTTATTGATTCACTCGTATACCATTAAAAAAAAAAATAAAAATTCTCACTGTTCTCAGGTCAAATATTTATATGCGATCAAAATGCGATTAACTGTGATTAATTGATAACAAAGCCTCTGATTAATTAGATTAATTTGTTTAATCGAGTTCCAGCCCTAGTAAAAACACTCCTATCCTTGCTTATGCTTTTGTATGATATTCAGCCTTAAACTGACTTGTTTGAGTTGATGAAGGGCAAATTGAGTACAATTTTTGAAGACAATGCAAGCCAAACATGAGGACTTGTCCAAGTCATGTCAGCAGTGAGGAGTGTAGAAGATCAGGGTGTATTTAAAACCAGCTCAATAAAGAAGATATTTGTGATACTGCTCTTTTATCCTCACTTGTCACTGTGCATTTTAACACACATCACAGTGCATCTCATTATTGAATCCTGATTTCTGTAACACAAACCCCTAGACATACCTGAGCTCCAACAGTGATAGACTTTGATGATTCAGCCCAAATGCACCTCATTAAATGCTAAAGTCAGGGTCAACTTACAGAATAAGAAGTGAAAATTCAAAGCACATATGAGTCAGTATGTCTAACCTTCTGTATGCAGTCATGTAAAGTCTCCTCAGTGTAGCCTTTAGATCTGAATCCAGTGTAGAGATCAGCATCCTGTTCTTCTGTTTTATAGGCGTTATAGTATGATTTGTCTCCAGCCTCTTGCTCTGTAGCTCTCTGTCGTTTTTGTAACAGCTTGATCTGTAGAAATGTGTTTGTACAGATTGGATATGAATCTACTGGCTAATATTTGCATTTGTTGTGTTCATGTATCTGAAGGAAGTTTAAGTTTACAGTAGGGCCCTGTTTGGTTTTTGGTGTTTCAGAGTCTAACAGAGGTCTCCTGCTAATTTGAATCCTGTGTAAACACTGCTTTACACCCCAAAAGAACAACAAAACACTTTTATCCCTCTCTTATGGAATCTGTTTTTTTCTGCAGCATCTATTTCTACAGATTGTATTTTCATAATACATAATAATATGATAGTATTTTCATTTTCATTTCCTGGTTCCCTATTGTTCCCTGTAGTCCAGTCTTGTGAGTTTTCAGTTTATGTTTGACCCTGTTTCTCTCCTGTTCTCAGTGTTTTGTTCTTTAAATCAGTTTTCGGTGTTTATTTCCTGTTTTATTTTGTAGTAGTTGATTCCTTGTGTTTCTAGTCTGGTTTTACTTCCTTAGTTTTCCCTCCTTCGTTAATCACTCATGAGTTTCACCTGTGTCTCTTCTGCCACACCTGTTGCTCATTGGAGCTCGTTACCCTGTGTGTATATAGTCCCTGTCTTCCCCTGTTAAATGACTTGTAATGATATATTTGTTTGTCTGTTGTGCTTTCTGTGTTGTTCTCACGTCTGTTTTTTAACTGGTTCATGTTTGACCACCTTAGAATGGTCCATTTTGGGAGGAAAGTTTGGGTACTCTGCTTTTGGCTCACTTTAACATGAGTCTGTCTCTAAGCTGTGTAGCTGCAGTTATAAATTCCTCAAGGGTGCTTTCAAACCTGACCTTTCAGATCTGCTTGTAAACTTTTGAAGTGCCACTGTAATTAAGATGTTTTATACCCTTGGATCAAGCACATGTCTGTTTGCAGATGATTTTTTTTCTAATTTTCATAGAGTCCGTGCCTAATCCAACCGAGCCATCGATCCGCTGTGAGCCCCACATATCTTTGTCTGTTTCCTTCGTCTAAATGCGGCACATTGGAGGCAGATTAAAGGGTCATTTTTCTGCCTCACTGGCTAATTAACAGTTTTAATTGCTCCCGATCAGGGGAATTAGCGGCCGGCCCTCCGTTGTGTACTCTCAGTGTTTCCGCCGCCATTGTTCCACATCCTCCAGTTTCCGTCTTAGTGACAACACAGAAGTCAATTAGGTTTGAAGAGAGCGGAGGAGCCGTCTTTGTTCTACCTGGGTATTAGAGCTGACATGAACAAAGGTACTTAAAGCTTCCTCTCAGACTTATGTGGATCTTTAGACTCATTGAACGTCTGTTTGCTTTATTCTCACTGAAGAGCTGCTTCCCAGCATAAACTTAAAGCTGCGTTTCACTCAGTAATGAATTCACTTTGCGCCGCACTTGATAAAAACAAAGACCAAACAAAGATGCATTTAAATTCAGGTTATACCTCCGTTTGCTAAAGATTTCTGTCATTAATTAAGAAACAAACACGCAGGGTGCCCACGTAGTCCTGCAGCAGGTACGCCATGTAACAAAGAACATGCAAAAAATAAACCTCAGAGGATGACGTGCAAATGGAGATGACTCGATAATCGGTTTCGTCTGCTTGTAACTATTTTAATTGTTGCAGTGACTCAACAGGAAAACACACGTCTAGTTTAATAGAATGATGATGACTAAGATTTCACAATACAAATCTTTGACATGCAATTAACCTGTAAAATTACTCTGAAGAGACTGACAGAGGCTGGAAATAGAGAGAAAGCTTCTGTTCGTTTGTCTTTTTGCAGACTATACACCACCAGCTTTCAGCCTTTCCTGCAGTTTAGAGTCCACACGTCTGTACTGGTTTCTGGTTTCTCATTGAGTGTTTTTGACCACTTTATGAAGACGCAACCTAGAGACAAATGTACCTCCAATTTTTAGATCAAAATACTGACAAACATCACCGCACCGTGAAACAAAGAAAACATTTACTTTCATTTCCTGAGGCTATATTACTGATTTATTCTGTTAGCAAGGATTTTTTTTCAACATCCTCATAAAGGAACTGTGTTTATTTGTTAATATTGGACCATCTGCTCAGTGCTACAAATTTACTTCTGGTGTTGGTATTACCATAAACCGGGAGTCTTATTATCCTGACACAGATTCACAAACTCACCGCAGAACATCTGCCCAAGGATCCAAACTCATTGGTCTCATTGTACAGGGAGCAAAGACTTTATAGAGAATGGACACCGTCTGCCTCCTTGCTGAGTGAAGCCACCCTGAGAACAGCACCCTCTGGTGACGGGCTGCAGTATAGGTCATAAATCCTGCTGCCTCCAGCAATCCCTATTGAGTTGTGGACAAACATTTGAAATTAATTTCATAAAATATAAATGTTTCTTCCCCCCTGGTTGTGATGTTGACGTAGTTACTGTAAGACTGCTTTGTGCTCAAGTCCTCTTTTTTAGTGTAGCTCCATTTTTAAGAGTTATTCAGGGGTTTGTTTTTTTCTATGATTGACACTCGATACAACCTATGGGCATACTAAGACTGCGTAGCTCACCCGGGGATATGCTATGATTTAGCCTCCTTGTCTCATACTTTGCTTGTGTAATTGTGTCCATTTCTAGTCCTTAAACACCGGGAACGACGCAAATATACGACGCGAGATTCCGAAATATTTGGAGGCAAATTTTGACACGCCTGACTATACATATCAAGCGCAATGCAATTCTGCAACTTTCTGGGGGAAAAAAGACACGTCCCGGGTGGAAGCGAGAAGACTGACACAACAGCAGACTGACTGTTTTTCAGTTCTGATTAGACACTAGTGTTGAGATGTCTGTCTGTCATGATAGCATGTACTGAGTCAGGGCCGGTACCAGATAAGCACATTAAACTATAATCCATAAATGTAAGGTAACAACCGAGACCTAATGGTGCTGTGACAGCAACGCGATTGAGTTTGAGACAGTGAAAATACATATGGTATGTTGTATCTGAACAGGTTAGCTTACGAGCTAAAGTTACTTAGCACAGATGAAAGTTAAAACAAAGACGTTTAGCAAACTGTTAAACCACACAAACCGTCATCATATGTGAAATCAGATGCTATGACTCTCCACAAGTTGTCCTTCAGGTCATTATCTTTGTAATGTTTGTGCACTCTGTTCTCCGACACGTAAACAATCGGTGAATCTGACGTCACAACAACACAGAATCTGATCAGAAGTGGACACACAGTATGCAAAACTTTAGAAAAATCGACCATGATCTGAAAAAATAAATGCCGCACTATCGCAGGACTGGAAAACATTGCTGATGTGAACGCTTGTATTCTTGTATTGACAGGATACGTGTTCGAGAAAAAATATTGACGTCCAAAATAATCGCCTTAAGGACCTTAATGTGAGCGCTTCTGCTGGAGGCCCTGCGGTGCAGCCTGTGTCTTGACCATGGTTAGATAAATGTTTTTTGTCTTTTTTTGTTTTAGTATTTTCTTTGTGCTTGTTATCATGATTAAATTTGAAGTTTCATCTGTCTTTAAAACCCTGAGTTGGTGCAAGTTTATTCGCATCAGGTCTGAGTCTGAAACAGCTGCAATTTTATTTTATTTTTTTCTGACAAAACACCAGTCATCTCATCTGGTCTGACAATCAAAATGTTTGATTTAATCCAAAAGATTCACATCCCTGATGTGTTATTTCGTGATATTTTCTTGCCAAATTTGAGTTAAATCAATTCAGACCTACATTTGATGAATATTTCAGTCGGTGTCATTACCTGATGTAAACTGTCATCTGCTGCATTATAAGCAGTTGGGCCCAAATGTGTTTCTTCACTCTGAGGACACTTTTGCGGATATTGAATGAGGGATTTAAATGAAGAGGTTGCAGTGGGGAATTAGCCAAATTCAGCAGAAAATAACAGGAAGAAGGAAAGAAAGAAAGCCAAGATAACCTGCAAATTCAGCACTAAGTTTTAGAAACTGCTGCAAACCTTTTAGGGCCTTTTTTAGTCTTTGTGAGGATGTTTGAGAATCACTGCCATGCATCATGCTGTCTATACCTCTGCACAGTATATTCTTCTACATATTTCTTCTTCTTCATTTCTTGACAGCCAGCTGAACTCTGTAACCGAACACTTTGTGCATGAATACCATTTATGCTTTTTATTCCTCTGCGTTTTATTCATAAGTCTCTTAACAGAATCCGTCTCTATTTGATGAAAATGGCTCTTTTGGATCCGCTAATTCACTCCTCTTCAGAGCGAGTCAGAGTCAAGGACACTTCACTTACCTCCTAAGCAACCAAACATGTTTTTGTTCAGGGATTGGTCTTCCTGTGCTTTCAGCTCTGTGAACAGGTAATAAAACAGACACACTGACTTCAGCAGCTTGTGTTCCCACTGCTGTTGGAGCTGACTGAGACCTGTGGGTTGAAAGTTAGACTGGTTTGACCCAGATTGAATAGTTACATTTCTGAACAAGTGTTTTTTTTTATTTTTTTTTTTGTCCAGTAAATTTACTCTCAGGATCCTCAAATGTGATCTATAACTCATAGCCTTTGCTGTGTGCATCACTGAAATAATACAAGAGTCTTTGGTTGTTATTTTAACAGATTTTAGCTCAAAATGACCTGCATTAATGTCAGTTCATCCCAGACATTCATTCTTCCAATGCTAGATTAAAAATTGGACTGCATGCAAATAAAATATGTAGGGACGTACCAATCCAATATCAGATATCTGTCCGATTTAAAAAAAAAAAAGAAAAAAAATTCAGATTATATTGGCCTGCATCTGAAGTCTGTAGGCCATATGGCAGTATTTTTCATCTAATTCCGAAAAAGACGTTGTAGCTGAGGGCAAAACTAGTCATGCACAAGTTTGTGCTAATATTGGATACCGTATTTTTCGTACAATAAAGCGCACTTAAAATCCTTTAATTTTCTCAAAAATCCTCAGTGCGCCTTATAATCAGGTGCGCCTTATGTATGAATTCTGGTTAAGCCTACTGACGTCGAACCGATTTTATGTGGTACACAGCGCTCAGAAATCTGTCAAAATGTTTGATTACGACTTTGGTAAGCTACAAAACCGCACAGCCTGACGGCTTGTCGGAGCACTGCAGCTACCGTAGCCTCGCAGAGTTACTAAATGAGTTAAAGAAGTTTGACTTATCTGACTGTTTTGTTTGGTTTAACATGCTTTATAATCTGGTGTGCCTTATAGTTTGAAAATAGACGCGAATAGACACGTTCATTGATGGTGCGCCTTATAGTGCGAAAAATCGGTATCGGTATCGGCTAGTACTGAGGGCTACTATGTCGATATTGTATTGGAAGTAAAAAAGTTGTATTGGGACACCCCTAAAAATAGGACCATGTTAGTTTGTAGTAATTGTGCAGAAGAACTAAAGCTACTGTTTAGTTCAGGTCGTGCAAATGTTTGGACATGTTTGAATTTCGCAGTTTTATCAGTCATGGTCTTTTTCAGCGCAAACACAAAAGCCAGTCATATGGGGTTAAACGCTTGTGGGTGGTGCCTCCTCCTCTGCTGCCCCTTACGTTGAAGGCAAGCCATCAGGTGGACCAATGAGTAGATAAGATTAGATAAAACTTGATTGGTATTTTTTGGAGGGTTGAAAATTTGTTGCCGTTAGTATGACAGTTGCTTCTACATGCAGTCCTATTTTGGTGTCGATCCTGGAATACCCCCACACAGCACTCCTTGGATGATTCAGTGCTGCTTTGCTTCACCACAACCTCCATTTTTGTAGGATAACATTACTATTTTAGTTTCCTGAGGTCAACAGTGTCATTCAGTGGTCAGGTTACGATGAGAGTGCCCTTTTTTTGGATCATACAGAAAGCAACCTCATGTGTCCTGATTTATTGGGAGACTGTATCATAATATTCCATTAAAGTTGCTCATAAGCGCTACCCAATAGCAGCAACTAGGTACTACTTGAAAATATTATTGTATATTATATATTATTGTGTTTCCCTGTTGACTCAACAGGTATAATATATGGTCTAAAAATGTCATGTTAGTTTTCAAATATCAAAACCAACTTTTTTCATCATGATCTAACGGCAGCACTGTTGTTTGTCTGCAGCTGACTCATACCTGTAGATTGACATTATTGCAGATACATTCTGACTCTTCCAAATGAAGGTATCTGTATGAGTAAATATTAATGTCTCTGCCTGTTTGCAGCTCTGGCTCTTGTTGATTAGTTGGTATTAACTCCCCCTCGCCCTCCCCTCTTCCTGTCTGCCCTCTCCTCTCTCTGATTATCGGAAACTGAAAAATGATTAACCTCCTGCTGCAGGTTCAGACGTATCAATTTACCGCAGCTGTTTCAATGTCCTTGTCAAACATGTGCAGGAATAAGGAGCTCAAACCACAATAAGCACCAATGTTTTTCCATGTTTCCTCTCAGCGTGGCATACCGCGGTTACACAGTTCTTCCTCATTTGTCTCAAAGACTTAAATAGTCATGATTCACTGCAGCAGCAGCAGCGTGTTTGAACACAGATTTCACTCCGAGGGATGGTTTTCTCTGACTTTGAAGAGGATAAAAAGTTTCCTCCCTGCTGCGAAACCCACAAGTCGCTGGAATAATCTCCTATCTTTGGTATTTCATGCAGTGATCCTCATTGTATAAGATTATCCAGAGTGAGATTTCACAAAGAACTTGACAACATTACAGAACACCTGCTGTTCCAGCAAAGATCTTGAGCTTAGGCTGGCCACAAGTTCAGTTTTACCCACAGTACATCAGTCCATGTCAGCTGACAGCTCAGCTGATTTCCATCAATAAAAGCAGCTGTCAGATATAAAAATGTTGGTTCTAGTTGAACAGTTTTAGCCTGTCTGCTCTTTGCTGCTGCTCTCCCTGTCGCCAACACCAGCTTTCCTTTTCATGCTGTATGATTGAACCAGTGTCATTTGGATTGTCATCAGTGATAGATAGATAGAGAGAGAGAGAGAGAGAGAGAGAGAGAGAGAGATAAATAGATAGATAGATAGATCAGTGTTTTCCCTAGAATTTTTGTGTTTTGGTAATCGTTGTTACCCCCACTTTCTTGCCACTCCAGGAGCTACGCTGTTACATTCACATTACGTTACCCGCGATACTCGCAATATAGACCGTGTATAAGCTTAAACGTTACCCTTCACGTTAGTGGAGGAGGGTCCGACAGGATTTGATGCGCTCGTTGATGACTCATAACAAGTCGAAAATAACGGCGTGTGTTGTTGGGCTCACACAGCGCGAGTAGAACTCAGTAGTGCCGCATTGATAATAATGCTACTAATGCTATTAATGCTACTTGCTATACAGAGCATGTTTAAGCTTGAACGTTACCTTTCACGTTGAAGGAAGAGGGTCCGACAGGATTTGATGCGCTCATTGATGACTCAGAATAAGTTGGAAATGTGCGTTGTTGTGCTCACACAGTGTGAGTACATGCTATGTGAGATAAAAACTAATTTTTTTAGCCGTGGCGGTGCGCCAGGATCAATTGCATGTAGGGGGAAACCCTGGAGATACTTATAGATCCCAGAGGGAAATTCAAAGTTGGGAGTTGGTGGAAAAGGGGACCTGACCTGCCAAGGCCCGAGAAAGGAGAGGGGTACATGAAAATCCTTTTTTTTTTTCTTTGTTATTTTTGTATTTATTTATTTTTTTGTGATGTTTTTATTTCAAATGAATTGGGCCCTCCAATTAATTGGTGTCAAAATGTATTTCAAAATATATTGATAACATTAAATGAGAGAATTAGATTTATCTCACAGTCCTCCCAAGATATTGGACATACTGGGCGCCCCCTCTTGGAGGCGCAAAACGGTTTTGTCTGACAGCGACAGGCGATAAGTGTAACATCAGTGTGTATTTAAACACAAGCACGCCAAATGCATCAATTCAGGTAGTGAATGAAAGAACTGCTCATCAATTCAATCAATCAAATCATCAATCAATTAAAACCCTATTTATGCTTTTATATTGTAGATAAATACCCCTTTTTCTTTTTTTTTTCTTTTTTTTTGCCCACGCGCCTTGTGCATTGGCATGGATGGGGACCCACTGACATTGAGAGTGTACAGAGCCCAGAATTTGGTGCTACGCCCCTGATTGCCACGAATGCCAGCTCTGGAGAAATGTGAGATTGAGCAAAATTATCGTCTTCCCTGATAGGCAGTTCAGCCAGCTTGGAAAAGTTGGAGTCCCCCCCGCAGCTCGTGCGCAGTCCAGGATGTGTTTACCGAGCCAGGTTTCAGTAAAACACGGGGTGGCTGTGCGGCTCACAAGTCCAGATATATAACAATGCAGAGCTCGCTACATGAAACTTATGAAGTGGTCCTGACTGCAGATACTTCTGATTTTTTTTTTTGTTAGTTGTAACTGTTTTCAACTGAGCATCACAAAAACATTAGCTTGGATGGTCCTCCACAGTCCAGGTGTGTTTTGGAACCGTGTCCAACCTCAGCACAGATCAGGTCCTCCAAAGAGCAGCAGCCGAAGATATTGAAGTATAAACAAAGCAGATGAAGAGGGGCTTCGGGGGCAGCGCTCTCCAAATCGTGGATTAAATGGATATTTCAGTGCAGAGTTGAACTCCTCTAAGGAATATCATCAGACTGAAAATAGAAAGCGGCTGGTGTGTTTCTCCTGTGTTTGTTGAAGGTGTCAGCTCTGTGAAATCCTGTAGACCTAATAGGCTTAAAGGATAATATCACTTTGTTTCTCCTCTCTTCTGTCCTTGCTCAGTGTCTGGTGTTTGAAGATGCTCCAAACGGTGTGAAGGCTGCGCTGGCGGCCGGGATGCAGGTGGTTATGATTCCGGATGACAACATGAACCCGAGCCTGACCCGGGAGGCCACGCTGAGACTGCGGAGCATGGAGGAGTTCCAACCGCAGCTCTTTGGACTCCCAGAGTTCAGCTGAAGCAGGAACCGAATCTTCAAATGAGAGTGAAATACAATCTTTGTGTCAAAATTCAGCGTTTGTTTCTAGTCTTTCGGTTCTCTGATACACTGGGGTCTTTTTGTTGAAATCAATCACCAGATTCATATTTTCTTGCAGGTTTATGTTTCCAATTAGATAGTGATGTTGATATTTTTGATCCTGGGCTGTATTTTTACATATTTTTGGGTCCTGATAGCTTTCAGCATTGACATATGCTTTGTCGCAACCTGATCCGTCTCGGAAACCCGATTTGTACCGCGCATGTGCGAAATGTACGTCACTTCCTCTACTGGCCATCTTTGCGACAGCTCAGCAAGCTTTTGCCCCTTGCGGTTTACGATGGCTTCAGCATCAATGTGAGCTTGCTTGCTTCAGTCAGAATGGATGCTTCATTTTATCACCAGCTACATGCTTTCTCCTGAGCAGAGTGCTTTCCCTGGCTGAAGCAAAAAGTCAAGAGTATGGCGCCCAGTTTAACGATTAAAGGTTCCTACTACTTGTAAAATTGCAACGTAGTTATAAAAGGCTTGAATGAAAGTGAATATTTCAATTGTTGAAATTGAAACTCTGTATAAAAACGCTGAAATTCATTCTCCATAATGTTTAGGCTTCCTGTTAATTAGTTTAATTTATAAAATAAATGAAATTAATCCCCCCTTGATACTTTGAAAAGTCAGAAAACAATAATTTTGACCAGTTGATGGCGCTCTCCGTGGCCCATAAGTTCTCACTGTGCTGGGCAGGAGCTCAGGGGAATGCCTCAGCATTAGCCCTGGAGCCTGCAGCTAGCAAGCCTGCCAATGGCTAGATGGTTTCTGAAACCGATTGGTAGTTTAAATTAAGTTTTTAAGGTGAGGTAAATTTGCGCTTAGGATTGGGTAGGTAGCAATAGTAACGACTAACTGCTGTAAAATGCATCGAAATACGAGGAGAGGAAGTGATGCACGTTTCGCACATGCACAGTACATATCAGGTTTCTGGGATGGATCAGGTAGCGACAAGCTTTAATGGCTGCGATGCAAACCTATAAATTCTTTTGTGATGAAGTCAGTAAAAATCTGTCTAAAACACACAGTGTCGGATTTAAATGAGCATGGACTAATGAACTTATACATGGCTTTCTTTTTGTCTTCATTTAAAGGTCCTTTCACACCGGGACCATTTTTTACATGTGATTATTTCGGACGTCAACTTTTTTTTTTGAACCCGTGAATCCTGTCAATACAAGCGTTCACATCAGCGACGTTTTCCCGTGCAATATGCGGCATTTATTTTTTTGGATCATGGTCGATTTTTCCAAAGTTTCGCATACTGTGTGTCCACTTCTGACCAATCAGATTTTGTGTTGTTACAACGTCAGATTCACTGGTTTATCCAACATGGCCGACCGGCTGATTGTTTACGTGTCGGAGAACAGAGTGCTTTTAGATAAGAGATTCAAACATTACAAAGATAACGACCTGAAGGACAACTTGTGGAGAGCCATAGTGTCGGATTTCTCATATGACGATGGTTTGTGTTCTTTACAGTTTGCTAAACGTCTTTGTTTTAACTTTCATCTGTGCTAAGTAACTTTAGCTCGTAAGCTAACCTGTTCAGATACAACATACCATATGTATTTTCACTGTGTCAAACTCAATCGCGTTACTGTCACAGCACCAATAGGTCTCGGTTGTTACCTTACGTTTATGGATTATAGTTTAATGTGTTTATCTGACTCAGTACATGCTATCATGACAGACAGACATCTCAACACTAGTGTCTAATCAGAGCTGAAAACAGTCAGTCTGCTGTTGTGTCAGTCTTCTCGCTTCCACCCGGGACACGTCTTTTTTCCCCCCAGAAAGTCGCAAAATTGCATTGCTATTGATGTGTATAGTCAGGCATATCAAAATTCTTCTCCGAATATTTCGTCATTTTGCGTCATATATTTGCGTCGCTCCTGGTGTGTAAGGACCTTAACTCATATATGTGCAAGTTTTACTACTGCAGGCTGCAGAAACTTCCTGTGCCTACTACACCTTTTTTCTGACAGATTTTGTTGACACTATCATGGTCAGTTTCAATCTACAAATGCAGCTTTCAACATTTAGACCCCAAAATATGTAAAAACAGACCCAGTTACAGTCTAAGATCATATAAGAACAAGACTTAAAAGTTCATTTATTTTTGCTTGAAAGAGACCAGAACCGCTCAGAGGGTTGGAGCTCGTACTCCACCGTCCTTGTTCGTACTTTGTGCCGGGGTGGTCTTATTGAAATGCCAAAGTCACTCCACCCTCTCGGTGTAATCCGGTAAAGAGGCTGAGAGTTCCCCTCACCCTTTTATCTCTGCTCATGACGACTCACCTGTCCCTCCCACATCGTCCGCCCTCGTTCTCCTGCTATGCAGGCTTTAAGATGAGGACGCAGGTGGAGCTCTGAAAACAGGATTTAAGTGCACTCACATTCATGTTTAAACCATGTTTCTGTGGCCTCTCATCGTCATCATCAGAAGGAGAAGGACTTCCTTTTTTAGTGACTTCTCATCACTCTGAGTGGTTCCTCTCTTTACACTTCACATACGCCTTTATTTCAATCTCTTTTATCAATCACAGGATGCATAGAAAGAAAACCTAATCAGACCTGACTTCTTTTTCTGCTCAGTTAATGTTTTATAAATGTATTAAAGACATCTATAAAACAACTCAAAGCAGAAATTTCAGCTCATCTTTTATCTCTTTCCTTCAGAGCTTTGATTTCAGATTCAATTAGGCTCTCAGTTATGTTCAGACACATCACGTTCTTTTTTTTCCTTTAGATGTTTAGAGACCAAAGTCATATATGAACTGCATTTAATCAAACTTAAATGATCGTCTCATGAGGAGTTTTTTAAAGTTGTGCAGTCAAATGTAACCGTAGAAGAACACTCACTCCAGTCTGGTATAAGCCATTTAGAAAAAGGTGCTAAAAAAATCTCAAGACTTGAAAAGCTCCTTCATAAATCTTTTTTTTTTACTTCTAAAATCATCATCTGCACCTCTGCTCTGAGACTAATACTTATTTTATCATTTGCATTCTACCTTTTTGAATACTGAGCTTGTGCAAGGCCAAGATTTCAGCATGATTTGGTGAAACATTCAGTCTTCTGAAAGGGGATTGAAAGCTGGTCCTACAAGAACCCGACTTTGCATTGTTTAAAAACTGAAAATCAATAATATTGGAGCTGGGACTGAACTAAAAGTCGTTTGAGCATTGAAACTGCAATGTGTGAAGTTGTGAGATCAATGTGTGAGATCAAGACAGCAACAGTGATAGAAAGAGAGTGACTGATGCTACTGCAGGCAGGACCACAGCAGCAGGGTGTGTGACAGCGATCCAGAGGAACCTACGGCATGATGGAGGTCAGGGATACATGCAGAGGAAGAACTCACAATCATGGTGTTTGTTCTGCAGATTATATAATAATAATAACAGATAATCTTAAACACCGACAGGAACTATTGATGACTTCCTAATCAGTCTGGATTTATTATTAGCTTTTAAGAAGTTTATAAAGTTATGTCACTCCACCTGTATCCGCCTTCTCTTGGGTCTCTGCCTCTCCATGCAGGTGAGGGTAAAAGCAGACAGCAGAATAATGATAATTATATTTATCATGATAACAATAAAGATAGCTGAATGTGTAGAATCTGGCTTCATATCACCAAAGCTAAAGTTAATAAAGCAGTTTATTTTTGCTCTTTTTCCTTTGACTCTGTGAGGACTCGTCTGGACCACTCCAGTCAGGACCACTCAAGTCAAAAACAAAGGGGTCATTCCATGAAATAGTTGCCTTTTGCGTCCCCAAGAAGTCATCATTCATAAAATTATGATAACAACAAATTAATATGTAATTTAAAAATATAACATTACCATGTCTTCTCTCCTTAATATAACATCAAATTAAAGTCAATTAAATATCATTTTAAATGATATAAATTACTTTTATGCTGATGTATACAGGACTTTAAATTTGTAAAATGTTGGCAAAATGTTGAAATTTTCACATTTACAAACTGTTTTAAGTATGATCTTATTGTTAAACAGTGTTTCTGGTAATAATATATATTAGTCATTATAAATATTTACCAATTTATCGGCGTCCCCTGATTTCATGTCAACCCTGTTACCCTAACTAAAAAACTCTAAAAGAATATTGGTACATTCCAGATTTGACATGATTGACAGGAGGTTGCTTCCCCCCTGAGCCAGGATGCTAACAGCTCAGTGACAATAAAGTTTCTCTCATCTCTGATGTGCTATTTTTGATGCTTTTTCAAGGATTAACCAGGGGGGACAAACATACAACGTCAACCCTGTTACCACTTTTTAACATATAAACCTAAACAATTTTCTATTTCTCAAAATATAATCAATATCTACAAGTAATTAGCTTTCAAAGTACCTAGCTTGCACTTTAGCTAGCACTTATTTAAGCTAGCCACAGGCAGATTAGCTTAAAATGGTCAACCCTGTCAGCTTTCCACAGTAACAGGATTTGAAATGTGAGTAACAGGGATGACATAGAATAGTGTTTACCCTCGTTGTACTCTCTTTAAAGGTTCACCTTTCAAAATCAAAACATTTTTAGGTGATCAAGTGAACATTATTGAGCTAATAATTACTTTTTCTATTGATTGATTGATATGCTGGTGGAGAGCCAGTTACTTTGTGTCCAGTTACTTTTACTCTTGTCAGCCCTGTTACCATGACATCAATCCTGTTGTTGTCATTACTTTGATTAAAATGTAAAAAAAATGACAACTCAAATGGGCTTTCAACACTCACCATCATAATTTAAATTACATTATATTTTAGATTGGGCCATTTTTCAACATTTCTCTTCTAAAAAATATCTGATGTATGTTGAGACATGTGATCGCCATGCAAAATTAGGGTAAATTTGATCATCTGAATGACAAATATCTGATTGGAGAAAAAAATCCACAAAATAAAATAATCTCAATGGAAAGAGAGACTAAAGTACTGCTAATATATGTACCATATATTGCATATTTCTAATTAGAAATATTGTATTTTGTTAAGTTTATGTCGGTAACAGGGTTGACAAGATTATGAAAACAGCCAGGAGAAAAACGGTTATAAAATATGAAATAACACAGCCTGAGATGGCACTATATCATTTCCTGCCATTTTAAACATTCTTTGATTCCGGGGTACTTAAAAATTAACTATTAAATATAGTTTAAATTTTAAAATTTCCAAGCTGAAAAGGCACCGATTTCATGGAATGACCCAAAGATCATTTTCATGCACTAAGTGATATTTGGCAGTGTGTGGCAGTTGCAAATGCTCCCCTTTTTTTTATCCATGGAGCTTGAGACACAAACTAACAAAAATGCACAGAAGAATTATGTGATGTGCTGCGTTATCCACGTCTGTTTTTGGAGACCACCAGGAGATGCAAACATAAAATGTTCAAAACCAGGTCACCTGCGTGCCGTCTCCCTACAGTGTCTGGTGTTTTCTGACTTTGCCGTTTGAGGAGCGGCAGATAAAATCCAGATATAAACTCTGACGTTGAAGATGAATGTGTCCCACAGCCACTCTGTCCTATCAGTCTGCAGCACAGACGGGGACAGTAAGAGGAGGGTGGGGGCTGGGAAACATGTCAGGGAGCTATCTCTGCTGCTGCCCTCTGCACTCGCAGGCAGAATTAAAGCTGAAAAGGTTTGCGGCGAGGATAAAAGACAAGCATGATTGACAGAGACGGGCGGGACGCAGATTTATTCCTGCAGAAGAAGAGGGCCGTTTTTAGGCTGCAGCCTCCAGCGCTCTTATGGATTTCAGATCAGTCGGGGGGGCATTAGGATGGCTGACCCACCTTGCCGAAGGGCCTAAATATAACCGCCTATTTATCGATATCATAGCATGACAGAAAGCCGTGCTGGAAATGATTTAAACTCTCCACAGGAATCCCTGATAGAAAAATGGGTCATGGAGGAAAGAGAGAAGAGATGGCAGCTCTCCACACGTCTGTTTTCACTTCCAAAGAGATGCAGAAAGGCCTCAATGAACTTCTGAACACGACACACACGCAGACATTTCCTGAATCAATCAAAACACGCCAGACACAGACTCATGTAAACATGTTTCATGCCAAGACAAGAGAGACCGTCAGAATCTCTCCAAGTCTGTAACACCACCTCAGAGCAGAGCTAAAGTGGAGGAAGAAGAGATTAAAGGTGCTACTCTTTCTTCTTTGAGTGTAAAAATTCAGCTTCACAGCAGCGTTCCCACTCTTTCCCTGCAATACAGCAAAGCAGTAAAGCGTAAATCTCAGAAATCAACCAGAACTTTGAAACCCACTTGATTTTCCTCCTAGTTTTGCTCTGAATCCAGAGTTGGCAGAAGTTCTCAGGTTTTACTCCAGCAGAAGGAGAGAAACTTCAGTGAAAACTCTAATGAAAGCAGAAATTAGGATTGATTTTGCTTTGTGCAGTTAGGGTTTGGCATTCGCCCTGGAAATGTCCTCACTAACGATGTGCACCACTGAAGAATTAAAAGTCCCGAGTCAGCACCAAAATTTCAACTCTGGTTTAGCAGATTATATACTTTTGTTAATGTAGGCCCAAATGGGGTCTTAGATGCAGCAGAGCCTCCCTCTATAAGCCGGTGCTGTAGCTCTGTCAATCACCCCTGTAATGATACAGTAATGCCCTAGGATCAGGATGTAAAAAGTTGAGTCCCCTGTCTCTGTGCCTCCTCTTTACTCCATCAGAACTTTTCATTCTGCATGAATCCACCTACTGCACAGCAGAATGATGCAAAGGGAATAAGCAGAGGCGTGCAAAGACTTTCTTAACTGGGGTGCACAGATGAGTTATGCAGGGGTGGCCTGATAGATTGATGGAAATAGCCAATCAGACAGATGTTATTTCTATATATTTATCTATTTGTCTTTATTATTATTATTTTTTAAAATTTTGGAACTTGCCCTTGGCAAATACACCATTCGGGGACAAAAATAAATAAAAAATAAAAATTTGGCATTTTTAGAAGAACAGAACTAACGAATGTAGAAAATTATAAATGAAAAATAAGATTAAAAACAGATGAAAACTGAATTGACACTTTAAAGGATGATTTTCAAAACTACAGTTTCCTTTTTTGATTTAGAAAGTATCAAAAAAAATTGGCATTTTCGCAAAACTTTAAGATGAATTGACTAAACAGAACAAAAAAATCGAGAAACTTAAAAATGACATTGAAAAGTAAGATTAAAAACTGATGAAAATTGAATTGACACTTTTAAGAGTGATTTTCAAAACTTCTTTGTCTCCTCTTTTGTTTGAAAAAGTATTAACAATTTTTGCATTTTCATAAAAATTTTAAGATGAATTGACTAAACAGAACCAAAAAATTAGGAAATTTACAAATGAAAATAAAAATTAAGATTAAAATCAGATGAAAATTGAATTGACACTTTTAAGAGTGATTTTGCTGCCTTTTTTGTTTCAATAAGTATTAAAACATTGGCATTTCCAAAAAAATTTTAAGATGAATTGACTAAAAAGACCAAAAACTCAAGAAACTTAAAAATGAAAATGGAAAATAAGATTAAAAACTGATGAAAATTGACACTTTTAAGAGTGTTTTTTCAAAACTTGTCTTTCCTTATGTCAAAAAAACGCTTAGAGTGTTATTGAGCCTAAGATGATGTTTTGGAGTATCCCAAAAGCAGTGTAACTGAGCATGTAGTGACTAACGTTCTTATCCATGTAAGTAAGATGTCATGTATTTTTGGAGTAAATACTTAAACACTTAAGATAATAGAAATTTGAGAAATCCACTAAAACCAGCAGTGAAAATCGCTTTAATTGATTAATCTGACAGAAACCTTCATGAACCAAAAGTTCCTCTGTAAATTCTCCTCAGCACTTCTGTTTGCCAACATCTCTGAGCTCCTCGTCTTAAGAAAATCCTCTTTTTCTCTTGAACACCAAACAAATAACCCCTCTGTGTGCGAGGGGGCAGAACTTTTAGATAGACTCGTCTTTTCTCGACACTGTATCTCCGCTCTGCATATCTCCAAAGTGCAGGCCGTGGCTGAATCTCAGAGGAGGAGAGCCCAGAAGAATGCCAAGACAGGATGGAAGTATCTGCTGGAAGCCATTTTGTATTCTGCTGCCAAAGTGTGCAACCTCGACTTGAACCATGAGGGATTTTATGGAGATGAAGATATCATCGCAGGCTTCTGACCACGAGAAGCACTTTGTCGGTGCAGAGATATCATGCAGACGCTGGGCTTTCTGCAGACGATGCTTCCTCAGCGATGCAAACAACGCTCATGTTTTATTCAGCGCAGAGTGATGAGAGAATAAATGAGATTATAGGAGCAGGTGATGGAGAGGAGGATGCTGGGAGGCACATTTCTGTTCACTTAGAGGAGTTTAATGCACAATTAAAGCCAAACAATATCACATGAACACATTCTGCAATTACGCCTGCTGGAAAGAGAAAGCTCTCTGCTCTGTTTCAGGAGTTTATTTTAATGGAGTCATTTGTGTTTCCTGCAGTGATTTAAGATCGTCCGTGTCTGATGTTTAGATTACAGTCGCTTCAAATAAAAGGGGGAAGAAACATCACCTGCAATGAATGAAAACTCAGACACTGGATGTTGTTTTTGTGGTTTATATTTTTTGAATCCCTTGCACAGACCCTTTCCGTCTTCCTGAAGATACAACGGAGGCCCACCAGGAGGTTTTTGTCCCACTTAAACCCAGCAAAGAAGGATGCAGACCTGATTGTGCGAGCTCCATTTAAAGATGAGGTTCATGATGATTGACTTCTGCCTCTTTGCAATAAACACACATTTCTTTACTTTATTACACTCATTGACAATAACAGCAGCTGATTTACGAACAGGCACATATTCTTGGGGTCAAAAAGGAGCCAAAACAAAGAGATTGGAAATATATGAAAACTTACAAAAGGGTTATATTGTATGGAAGCGTGTTGCATTGAGTAATTTTTTTCTGTTCTGTTCTTCCGACCAATTTTTGGTTTGTGTATTTTTCAGATTAATTTTTCTGGTTTTCAGACTAGTTGTTTTCCCTGTTCTTTGGGATCATGATCATTTAAAAACAGATGCTTTCATCCCCCTCTGCTCGATTTATTGGAAGCAAACATGGCCCACTTGTTTAGTTAAATCAAGTTTTACTTTCTTTTGGGTTTGAGACGCTGGGATATACTCTGTTCTTTAAGTCAGATAGATGGAATCGTCATAAGTTTGTCTACTTTGCACAGGCTCCTCAGGATTTGCATACCTTATGCTTATCTTATCACATGCTTCACTCTTATTGACCCTGAAGTTGAAGTTATCTTGGAGCTGGAGAATCCGTTGATTTGGAGCAGCCGAGGTGGTTAACGTTATTTGATTTTATGAGATTCTCGCAGGATTTTGAAGTATCTCGCTTGGATAAAATAGTCCGAAAAACAAAAAGACGAAAAAAAAACAGTCCAAAAACAGAATAAAAATGTGTCCAAAAAATTAGAAAAAGGAGAAAAAATATTTGTACAAAAAACAGCAGAAAAAAATATAGTCAGAAAAACAGAAGAAAAAAGGCTTTTTTTTTTTTTTTCTTTGTAAAGGAATGCAATACACTTCTGTAAAATTAAAGGCTCATTGATTTCTATCTTTGATGGGGTTGTAAAACATTACATTCTGACAAAATAGTTTTCTTTTTCCTCTATCTTAGACATGTAATCTTTTTCACGTACCTTGACAAGTTTCCACAGAAACTTCAGCCTTCCTCAGAAGTGTCACTTTGTGGTAGGTGTGACACATCATGCCAGCTGGTATTACAGAGGTGTGACCCTCCTGTCAATTTTTTATTTTTTTTTGACAGGACAGTCACACCTCCGGGGGCGGCACAGTGGTGTAGTGGTTAGCACTGTCGCCTCACAGCAAAAATGTCCTGATTCGAATCCGGGTCAGGGCATCTCTGTGTGGAGTTTGCATGTCCTTCCTGTGTCTGCGTGGCTTTCCTCCAGGTACTCCGGTTTCCTCACACACCCAAAAAACATGCATAAGTGGGGTTAGGTTAATTGGCCACTTTCAGATTGGCCATAGCGAGTGTGGATGGTTGTTCATCTCTATATGTCAGCCCTGCGATGAACTGGCGACTTGTCCAGGGTGTCCCCTACCTTCACCCGAAAATGCTGGGATAGGCTCCAGAATTCATGGATTGATGGTCATGCCTCCCGCTGCCTGTTTACCTCTGCGGGGGTCGCTATGGGTGTGTGAGAGCATTTCTAAGAAACTGAAGACATAATCAGCATAATTCAACATTACATTCTGACTATCATTTGACGTCAAGATCAGCCTTCTCCTTTGTGAACAGTTCAGTCAGGTGATCTTCCAGGTTAGAGAGGTGAGTGTATGTCTAAAAGCAGCTCTACAGTTTCTCTAAATAACCTTTTTTTTCCTACTGCTGTGTTCTCTGCTCTGTGCTGTAGTGGGTTTGTGCTCAGTGTGTTGTTTTATCCTGACTGCGTGTGTGCTCGACGTGAAAACAATGTTTGATTCTGAGGACAGATGGAGCTGCTTTCATGTGGAGAGTGTCAATTTTCCTGCAAAATAAGAGTTTTTTTTTTTTCTTTTTTAAATGTAGTTTGAAAACTGGATTCTGTGTTCAGGGTTAAGAGAAAACATTGGAGGGTTTGCAATAATGAAAAAAAAACTTTTATCCATTATGTCATTTTTTTAACCTTATTTTCAAGGTTGAAACATTTCCATGCACCCATCCTCCACTGCTTATCTGGAGTCGGGCCATCCTGCGCTTCCGGGGGGAATCTGTGAAGGCGTTCCTAGCCAGCTTGTCCTAGGTCTTCCCCGTGGTCTCTTACCGTTGGGATGTGCCCTGAAGACCTCACCTGGTTAGATGTCTAAGCCACCTCATCTCACCCCTCTCAACACGGAGGAGAAATTCTACTCTGAGCCCCTCCTAGATGACCGAGCTTCTCACCCTATCTCTGAGGGAGAGCCCAGCCACCCTGTCGAGGAAACTCATTTCAGCCACTTGTACCCAGGGTCTTGCTCATTCAATCAGAAAAGAACAAGAAAGGTCACTACCCACAGCAGTGCCTCTGCATTGTCCGGAAGTTGTTCTCCATGGTCTCATTGAACTCCTCCCATGTCTGGGTCTTATCCACAGCAACCGCCAAAGCCACATTCTACTTGGCCTGCTGATACCTATCAGTTGCCTCCAGAGTCCCACAGGCCAAAAAGACCTGATAAGACTCTGTCTTCAGCTTGACGGCATCCCTCACCACTGTTGTCCACCAATGGGTTCAGGTATTACCACCACAACAGGCGCAGACCACATTATGGCAACAGCTCTGATCAGCCGACTCAACGATTGAGGTATGGAACTCACATAACCACTGAAGGGGGTCCCATGTTGCTTCTTTGGGCCCCATGGGCAGCATGCCTCACCACTGTTGTCCACCAATTGGTTCAGGTATTACCACCCCAACAGGCCCGACCACCAGGTGCTCGACATCCAGCCCCCCATCCTGATACGTGAGTCCGGGTGATCCTTATTCATCATAGGGATTTTGTGAGCTACATTTTGTCTGGTCCCTACCCCAGGACCTGTTCGCCTCCTTGGGTGACCCGACCAGAGGCATAAAGCCCCCTAACAACTGGTGGTATCATGGGTTGGTTGAAACATTTTGCATGTTTATTTACTCTCATTTCAAACTCTTTTACAGTGTTTCTCACTGACTGAATGGATGCTTTGTAAGTAAGTATTAATGTTAAATGTTACCTTTGTAAAACTGACTGCAGAGTGATGCAGATATGATCATATTTTGAAGCTTCAGTCAGCTTTGGACATGGACTACGCTCTTGAACATCATAGTTCAGGGTTCAAACCTGTTGTGTTTCCATTATCTCCTATTTTACTCTTTAATACTTTTGAATGCTTTTAATTGAGCCCGCTCTCACCTGTTGAATTATTCATCTCAGGTATTGATTCTGACTTAACCTGAAATCGCTGAAATATTTATTCCACTTTACTTTCACCTGTACGCCACAGCGAGTGTTAAACAGGCGAGGGAATATTCTTTTAGGTACGCTCCAGCAGCGATATCCCACCTCGGCACATTACTGCTGTTCTCTCTGCTCAGAGTCAACAGTGATCTAATGCAGGGAGGAAAATGTGAGTAAAAAGGAGTGCATGAATACTTTACAAAGGCTTTCCTGCAGCGACAAACCAGCTAACAACAGACCACACACCCTCTCTGCTTCGTTTTATCTCTTTCTCAGAATCTTTTCCTCCTTCTGAGAGGTTTTGAAGCTCCTTTGAACCAGCAGAGTGCACCAATAAGTGTCCTACCATCCCTGAACATGAGCACCGCTTCACACAGTCCTCCCTGCTACAGCTGCAATAAAAGCAAATGAAATATAAATGTATGCAGTGCAGCAGATCCTGCAGCTTAAAGGAAACAAATGATGCAGTAAAAGGCGGACTGGGTTCAATAAAAAAAGAGCCCCTGGCTTTGTGCTCTACACATCGGAGAGCTGCTCCACCTTGATTTCCTGAATTATGGATGTGGGCAACAGTCTGAGGTGGAGGGGGCAACATTTCCATCCTACTATAGTGATAAACTGAATACACAACCGCACACTTCAGCTCAGTCTGCAGACGTCAGTGTTGGTCTGCAATCCTGGGTGAAAGAGGGAAACGTCATAACTGTCTCTTAGTGTATGGCCGACTTTTTATCCCATCTTTCTGTCTTTGCAAATCTCTACTTTTAAACTTCAGGCGGAGTTTGTTGGAGTGTTTCCCTTTGCATTGCAGTCCTTGACCCAAACTGGATTATTTTCATGCTGAGGGAGGACATATTTACTGCTGCAGATGGATGTAGCCAGTTTTTCAACTAGCAAAAACTCAGCAAAGCTACAAAAATTCACACCATGATAGTCTGCAGAATCTGACGTCGCACAGGACACAATTTTTGCAGTTTGAGATCTCTGTGTTTACTTACTTAGTTTAATTTCTTAACTCTTCATAACAGCAACTTTAACGCAGTAAAAAACTAAACTGTTTGCCTGCAGTGTTAAGAAGTAGGACTGTATGCTGCCGTCCTATGACCAAAGTCTGCAGCTGCCTGTGGTGACCCAGTGAGTGACTTAACAATACCACCAAAGAATATTTGCATTCACTATATAGAGATTTTACAGCAATAATGAGTCAGAATGTCTACCACCTGGTTACCATGGTGATGCAAACGTTTTACTTCGCAGCAGGTGTAGCCCTTAAGGTTCTTACACACCAGGAATGACGCAAATATATGGCTTGTCTGTTCTTGGAGGATCCTATAGACCTCAGTGCTCGCATTGTCCGAGGAGCACTCCAGCGTGCAAGAGTTTTCAGGGACCACACGGACCCACTTACATTTCCGGATGACCACCTTTATGAAAGGCTCATATGGCTTACATATCACACAAAAATGTAAACACAATAGGAATGAACAAATGAATGAATTCATCTTGGAAATGAATCAGACATGTCTGGTGCATGTTAAAAGTGCATGTTGAACAGTGCTATTTCAGGGTGATAATGGCATCAAAAATATATTTACGCATTGAGACTGTCTGCAATTTTCTGCCAGCATTCCTTCCGTACTTTTGCAGCGGCGACGGTGTTACTTTTGAGGTTTATGATAGATTTGAATTCTTCATACTTTCTCATGATCGTCTCCAGCTCCTCGTTTGTAAAGTCTGCGGTCCTTCACTCTCTGGTCTGCTCTGACGCTCCAGACTGGTCCATGTTCGCGATTGGTCAGATGCGGCAGGCTCCGCCTTACATGCGTGCACATGCTCATAGCAAAGCTGGATCCACTTACGAGGTTGATAACCAGCGTCGTAAGACTGTTTAGCGAGACTGCTGGCTACCATGGTAAGTTAAGCGAGGTAGCTCCAAGGCTAGGTTGAACTTGCTTTGTAGAACAGACCCCTAATGGTGCTGTGACAGCAACGCAATTGAGTTGTACTGAGTCGGGGCCAGTACCAGATAAGCACATTAAACTATAATCCATAAACGTAAGGTACAACCGAGACTTAATGGTGCTGTGACAGCAACACAATTGAGTTTGAGACAGTGAAAATACATATGGTATGTTGTATCTGAACAGGTTAGCTTATGAGCTAAAGTTACTTAGCACAGATGAAAGTTAAAACAAAGACGTTTAGCAAACTGTTAAAGCACACAAACCATCGTTATATGAGAAATCCGACGCTATGACTCTCCACAAGTTGTCCTTCAAGTCGTTATCTTTGTAATATTTGTGTCTTTTATCAAAAAGCACTCTGTTCTCCAACACATAAACAATCAGCCGGTCGGCCATGTTGGATAAACCAGTGAATCTGACGTTGTAACAACACAAAATCTGATTGGTCAGAAGTGGACACACAGTATGCGAAACTTTAGAAAAATCGGCTGTGATCCGAAAAAATAAATGCCGCATATTGCAGGACGGGGAAAACGTCACTGATGTGAACGCTTGTATTGACAGGATACGGGTTCAAAAAAAAAAATATTGACGTCCAAAATAATCGCACGAAAAAACGGTCCCAGTGTGAAAGGAGCTTTAAATGAAGACAAAAAAAAAAAGCCATGTCTAAGTTCATTAGTCCATGCTCATTTAAATCCGATACTGTGTGTTTTAGACAGATTTTTACTGACTTCATCACAAAAGAATTTATAGGTTTGCATCACAGCCATTTAACCTTGTCGCTACCTGATCCATCCCAGAAAGATGTTTAGCAAACTGTTAAATTTATTATTTTTGTAATATTTGTGTCTTTTATCAGAAAGCACTCTGTTCTCCGACACGTATACAATCAGCCTCTCAGCTGTGTTGGATATACCTGTGAATCTGAGGTCGCAACAACACGCATTCTGATTGGTCAGAAGTGGACACACAGTATGCAAAACTTTTGAATATTCGACTGTGAGCCGAAAAAATAGATGCCGCAATATCGCAGGTTGGGAAAACGTTGCTGATGTGAACGCTTGACAAGATACGGGTTCGAGAAATAATTTTGACCCCCGAAATAATCGCATGAATAAAATGCTCCCCATGTGTAAAAAGGACCTTAATCATTTCAGGTGATTGTTTACATGCAGATATCCAAAGTATTTGCAACTGTTGATTAATTTTTTTTCAGTTTACTTTCTTGTGTTGCACACACATGTTCAAAAATATATATATAAAATAAAAATAAATTAAAATAAAAGTTTGTGTTTGGATCAGAAACCTCTGTCACAAGATTCCTCACACATTTATGCACTTTAGCAGCGACTCTGGTCTCGTCTCTGCTATTTGAGATATGATGATTTCAGTCCTGTTCATTGCAGGTTATTGATAGACTTTGTTGGTAGTCTATCAATGCAGAGTGCAGAGTATGCACAATTTCTGCAAGTGATGGTTCAAACTGCTCCCTGTATGCTGTGTCTGAACCTCAGTGTCAAACAGTCCATGATGCACTGTAGTTAGGATTTTATACAAAAAATTAAATGCATTAAAATGAGATCTTTGCATGAACAGTATTTGCAAAAATGCTAATTATATTTAAGCTAGCTGAAAAATGGTCGAAATAAGGACTTGGATGTTTAAAGCTGATTTTATCCACTGTAATTTAAAATCTCTGGTATTAAATAAGCTTGAGTATCTGAGGTGTTCTGCTGAAACTCTCAAATCTTTCCGTCTATATTCAAAGCTTTACTCTCCAAAACTTTTCCCTACCAGTTGCCAAACCACAGATGCAACAAAGTTTGCAGATATTTGATTCTGATTAGTCCAAACCACATTGTGACAGTAACTGATTGGACTAAAATCATACTGCTGTAGTTCCTCTGTGCCTTGCCTCTCGCTCTTTGAGTTCTGATCCGACTCTGAGCATCATGTCGGCGCTGTGGGAGCCGGCTGGGTCGATGGAAGCGTTTTTCTTCTGGACCGTCACCTGCAAAGACGTCAATACACACGACACGAAATAACCCCTGCTGTTTGTGCTAAAGACCCACTCTGCAACACATTAATGCTGTTTAATTTTATTCATAGTGGTGTGTGTAGAGTTTTATAATCAGGGTGAGGGAGGAGAGCCAAAGACAAGAACAGCAGAGTTACAGTTTGTCTCCAGAGGAGCTGAACTCTCTTCAGTCTGCAGATATCTGCGCACAGCTCAGAGAGGAAATCTTCCTGTATTATAGCGCAGGGAAATAAGAACTTTATAAGTTTAATATCCGGAGGCTCAGTTAAAGATTAAAATACTGTAAAACTGTAAGAAAAAAAAAGTGCAGAGAAGAGGGAGATGAAAAGTAAGATTGTGACAAGAGTTTTAACATTGTGGTAACAAGAAAGAAAAGACCAGAGACAGACTTTTATTTTGGAAAAAAAAGCAACAAAAACTGTCAAAGTTTTGTTGGTTTTGAAATCATGATAACCTTTCACTTTATTTCCAAAACCATTGAGGAAAAGCTGGCAGGGATCATTGGGGAATCCCTCCTGAGCGGTGTGGTGACCGAGGCAGAGGGGGACATACAAGCACCAAATGTTCCAGGATGAAGATAAACGTATTCGCTTGTTTAAAATAGTAAAAATGAACTTGTACAGTAGGAACACATTTGGAACATAATTCACAATAATTTACTTTATTCAAGACTAAATGATATTCTTTTCAGTTCCTGGGTGTTCCAGTTGGTTCGGTGGTACTGCAGCTGTGCCAGGAGAGAGTGAGGCCGGTGACTTCACAGCACTTGGTGCGCCCTCCTGATGTAGCCGTGTTCTCACAGACACAGTCCAGCAAGCCCAGAGGGACACAATCACATCCAATAATGAAAAGGTCAAGTTTCCAGACATCAAAAGCGTCTTGACAGACATTAATATCATCAAGTGTTCTATTTATACAAGTTTTCTCTTGGTTTTATTTGGGTGCATTTTGTATGTTTCCCCAAGTGTCCCTGTCCCCCTGTAGTCCAGTCTTATGAGTTTTCAGTTTGTGTTTTCCTGTTTTCCTCTTGTTCTCAGTGTTTTATTCTTTCAATCAGTTTTCAGTGTTTATTTTTCTGTTTTATTTTGTAGTAGTTGATTCCTTGTGTTTCTAGTCTGGTTTTACTTCCCTAGTTTTCCCTCCTTCGTTAATTAGGTGAGTTTCACCTGTGTCTCGTTTGCCTCGCCTGATGCTCGTTTGCCTCACCTGTTGCTCGTTTCCCAGTGTGTATATATAGTCCCTGTCTTCCCCTTCTGTCTTTGTTGGTTCATTCTGCCATGGTCCAGGGTTAAACAAAAAGAAAAAGGACCCAAATGCAGAGCAAAGGATTTATTTAAAAAATAAATAGGTAAATGAAAAAAACCACAAAAATATTTTTCAAAATGTCCAATTAAAAAATCACAAAGGCAAAATCAAACGACAAAACACTTGGGAAAAAATCCCAAGGAGACTTGGGACTTAAAGATCCAGGATCACGTGGAACAGGCAGACATGACACACATACACACACAATGAACCAACCAAGACAGAGGGGAAGACTATACACACTGGGAAACTCACCCACTCACTCATGACAATTAATGCAACACTGGTGAACAAATAAACATTTTTTTGCCTCTACCTTTTCTGTTTCACATGTGATGTATCACCTCCAGCAGCTGGCATACAGCAGCAGTATTTCCTTCAAACACAAAAGGATGGGGGTCGACATCAGATGCAACATTAAAATCAGGTAGTAGCAGCACATTCTCCTTTTGTGCCATGTTGTGAAGCACAGCACGCGCTCTCTCTATCTAACACACATATGCAGGTGTGTGGTTAAAGGTGGGGTAGGCAGGATTCCCTGAAAGAAGCATCTTTTTTGTGGTGTATATACAAAAAAGCTTTTAGTATCAGTCAATAGCTATGAGTTATTGATGACATTTGGTACATGACATTTGATATCACTGTGTTTTGTTATGTCTGTGTAGTCAACGGCTGTGTCCGAAATGGAGCCCTAACCACTATATAGGCGACTATATGGGGGTTAGCGCCATTTTTAGGGGTGTAGAGTGGCCATACGTCTTCTACTCAGACACTTTTTTTGGGGGGCTGTCTGGTCTTGTCCAGGAGTATATAAAATCCTTCAAATGTCCGAGGTTTTGTATGAAAGATTTTAGGTTGTGTAGCGTTTTTTGCTTTAAAATTTACCATGCGCGACTCCACGACTCTGCCCCGCATAGTAGTGTCCTCTTGTTGGGGATTCAGAATATGGTCATCCTACCAGAGGGCCCACTGTGTCCTTGTTTGGCTGACACATCCTGTCAGGTTAGGGGGAATTAGGACGCCAATGCTGACCTTGAGGCTCTACAAGTTATTCCAAAGAAATCGCTTGAGCAACCAGGGGAAAAAAAATAACCCGAAATAAAAATGAAAAATGACTACGCTCCTTTTATTGAATCAGGTTTTGCAAGAAATACAAGGAAATATAACCACCGCTGCCAAGCAACAAAAAAAATAATTTGGACATTTTTAAGAAATAAAACACTTTTTAAAGAGAACTCAAAAAACAAATTCTTGTGTTGCCTATGGTTGTCATTCCAACATATAAAAGAAAGAGAGAGATCCACTCTCAGCCACAGGAAGCAGGGAAATGAGTCACACCTGCTCCCAGTCAGGGGCAGTCAGGCTCACACACTTGATTCTGCTCTGTGCTGACTCGTGGGCCAAAATGAGTGTCCATCACACATAAGTGTAATACTAGGAAGATTTCAGCTCCCTGCAGACTCTTGTGTATGTTTTCTGTCTGTGAGTCGGCAGCTGCAGAGCAGACCGGCTCTCTGTCTGCAGGGGGTTCAGGTCTAAACAAACAGTTTGATCATGTAGAGACGATCTGATGATCTCTCAGAGGAGGAGAAGAGCGTTTCGGCACTAAGAGCATACACGTTAAATTATACAAACTTTGCTTTCCATTGTGAGAAATAAAGCACCAAAAGAAATGGAGGAAAATCTCCAGAGTCCCCGCTGCAATAAAAGCTCCAGTATTATTTAAGACTGCGTGTTGGACGGCCAGACTTTTAGTTTGAGTCTTTTCCCAGCTGGATCCAAAACACCGGGTGGTACAGAAGAATAAAAACCTTTTCTGTTTTTATTCTCCCCTCTTCTTTCTGAACTCCATCACAGTCTGCGGGGAGAGTCAGCACATGAAAACACTCCTCTTTTCATGGACAAAGTGTTTGATTGAGCTTCTATGTGGTGAGAATTTCTGTCTTCAGGGCTCCCTGTGTAAATATGAAAGAAAAACATTTAACTGTGTTCGATGGAAATGCACACCGATGTTACAAGTAGTGCAAATAAATACGGTTTTAGGATTTGTATAGTGACTTTAAATTGGAGGTGTGTTTAGATGAATACAACATTTATTCACTGCTATTGTCCCTTGGATGTACTTCTTTGAAACAAGATAATTTTACTGCTTAGTGCGTAAAAACGAGGATTTTACAGTCAATAAAGATGTTTCACATGAGCAGATTTAATATTTTTCTTGAGTGATTATCAGACACAACCATTTTTCTGTGGTGGATGATTTGCAAAGATTCAATGAGGTGAGTCGTGCTGCAAAAGTTGAAACAATAACAATTCAAACACATACAAAAGACCAAAGAAAGGCACTTTTTGGTTTACACTGGTGTTTTTGGCTTTTTGCAGCACTTTTTTACTTTGCAGTGCATATCAACAATTGCATTTATCCTGGACCCATGCATGTGTTTTTCAGTTGTATTTTTTTCTACATTTGCAGCACCGACACAGATTGCTCAGGCTGTTGCAGATTATGAACTAAGATAACTTGACTAATGGATCGTTTTGACAAAAGAGCATTTTTTAAACATGTTGGCATTAAGGTCCTTACACACCGGGGCCGACGCGAATGTAGAACGCGAAATTACGAAATATTCTGAGGCGAATTTTCACATCAAGTCCAATGCCTTCGCCTCTGATTGGCTAGAAAAGCTGGAAACGTCATCACACACTTGAGCCAAATGGTCAGCACTTATGGCCAATCAGAGGCGATAAGATAAGCACTATAACAACCGTTAGCTTACGTTAGCACAGATGAAAGTTAAAACAAAGACGTTTAGCAAACTGTTAAAGCACACTGTTTAAAAGTGGGCGGGAGTACTTTCCTTGATAGACAGACTACTGTAACCAATCACCGTAACCAAACATCTGACGTCATCACAGTGCGCAACTGTGTTCCCTGCTGGGCTCTCAAGCATCAAGTAAAGGTTTGGTAATATTTCAACGCGTGCAAGCAAACAATGTCTTTTTTGTCTTCTTCTGCGGATAAAAACGATTTCTGCTGACTTTGCAAAGTCAACTGCAGAATTAACGGCGTTCTGAATTAATGGCACTTTGAAAAGTGGGAGGGAACGGCAAGTGATTCACGCAACTGGACGGTCCGGCCAGGCTAGAGAATTCAAGCATCTTCCCCTGAATGTTCTTCTTTCTGACTGGCCAATTTTGATCACATGGTCAAAAGTGAGGGCAGCCATTTTGCTCTGAAGTTTGTTTTCTAGCAGGAAGGTGCAGCAGAACTCTCTCTGTTTGCCCGTATGGAGCATCAGAAACTCTCTGACAGCTAGTTTATATTTCGTGTTCAGAGGGGGATTTATTCAGGATCAGGAGGGATTTATGGAGTTTTACTGAACTCTTAAATGCAGTTACTTGTTCATTTCTACATTCTGCTGATAATATGAAAAACATTTCCTGAGTATTTACCTTCAGTTTTATCTCACAAAACAAAGCAAGACACACAAGTTTTTTCTTTTTTTTTTTCAGCTCACTGCAGACGGCTCTGCTTTTGCTTTGATGTCAGACTATTGGGTTAATCATTTATCTGAAACTTTTCAGTTTGCAGAGTAAAAAAAAGTTTTACCCTTAAAAGTTTTCTTTCTGAAACACCTGGGACATGAAGGTATTATTAGTCTGATGGTAATCTTTTGAAACAAACTTAGATTTATTTAGATTTTAGATATATTCTAGATAGGAAGTATTAGTTTTGGCATTTGGGATCTTGACATAATCAACATTTTTATGAGACTCTGCAGATTTTAAACAGCTCTCGCTTCTGTTAAATAAGAAAACTTCATTCAGACTCTTGTGGTTGATTCCCAGGTTGCTGGTCACGCCCCTTGTCTACTTCTACTTGTCATCATCTATCCCGGTCATTGAGTTATGGTCATGTGACCATGCAAGTTTGCGCCGCACATGCAAACACACACAAATGCTCCAACAGTCAGAGCAGCTGTTGAACTCTGCAGGCAGAATAATGAAAAAGCTGTTTACTGAACTTTTAATAATTCAACTCACCGATTATAGAATCAATATCATGTTGAATCCATAATATGAAATTAAAAAACATGTATTAAAATTGAGCATTGAAGCTTTAACTCACAGTCCGTCTGTGTCACTGCAGCTCTGCATGTTTTATTCAGTACCTGTGTTTGCAAAATCTCCACAAAAATCCAGTTTTCTCTTTTTTTTTTCATCATTTATTACATTTCCTCTGTTCTTTTCTCTCCTCTGTCCTTGATTATGCAAACTCAACACAGTGCTGCTCAGTTGATTGGCGGCATACTTTGGACGCTTGCATGTATCAAGGGCTTCATCTGAATACTCAGGGGGGGTTTGTGGCCGAGTTTGAATGCTTGTCATGGGTTTATTTTGAGGTTTTGTTTAAGGATGTTTATTTGGCATGTTGACATGGTAATTAAGATAAAAACGTCATTGAATGAACAGCCTTTGATGAGGAAATTAGCCTTCAACATTTTGATCTACCATTGGGTTATTTTCTTTTACTTTAAAATCATGTTTTGAGTTAGAATCCACCCGCGTGTGACAAGTTTATAAGACTCACTCAGAAGTTTGACAAGGTTCAAAGTCTGTCAACTCTCCGTTGACCCTGCAGTCTGCGGTTTTTGAGAGTATTCACTGAGCTGCAGTGCTGTGAACAGTGGTGATCAGAGATGTCATGACTCAGCACAACATACTCATGCCAGTGAAGAGGAGTGTGTGCATGTGCGTATGTGTGTGTTTGCATCAGTGCTGCAGCAGTTGAATTATGAATTTCCACAGAGGTGACTTCTTATGTCTCCTGTGTACGCAGCTGATGCATTGATTATAGCTTTACTCCTCAAGGAGGAGCACAAGATGTCACATTAAAGCTGGAATCATTACTACTGCTTTACATTTGACTCCTACACATGACTGAAATAATATTTTTGCAGCATGAGGAGGTTTTTCAAGTTTGATGCATGAAAAAAGCAGAGGAGGTGTGCATAAGGATAACTTTAATCTCTGAACTCATGAGGAGAAACGTGCTGCGACTTTGAAAATGATTGTAAATGTATGCAAACATCTGAATGGAAAATATTGCTAATGAAAGGCTGTGCTGCAAAAACATAATACAAACACACTGCAAATACAAAGTAAATGCAAATTTTAAAAAATGCACAAGCACAAAAAGCACATGCAAAAAAACAACAACTCTTAAGGTCCTTTCACACCAGGAGCATTTTTTTTTTGCGATTATTTGTGTTGTGTCAGTCTTCTGGCTTCCACCTGGGACACGTCTTTTTTCGTCTTGTGTATGGTCAGGCACGTCAAAATTTGCCTCTAAATATTTCGAAAATTTCGCGTTCGATATTTGCGTTGGGCCCGGTGTATAAGGACCTTTTTAAAATAAAGGGTTTCAAGAACATTTTACAAGTGACATTATTTTTTATTTTTATTTTTTTCATTAAAACTTAATTTAGATAGCAAATAAACTGAATATACTAAAAGTTTCTGAGGAACAGTGATGTTATATTTGAAGTACAGAGGACGGAGACAGACAGAATAAAATATATGAATACATCTTTAAATAAATACTTCAATATGTCTGTAACTAATAAAAATGGGAATTAAATAAATAAATGTGTCATTAAATATGTCATTAATTAATTAAAATGGGGATTAAATTAATAAATGTGTCCTTAATTTATTAATATGGGAATGAATAAATAACTGTGTTACTAAATGTGTCATCAATTAATTAAAATTGAATTAAATAAATGTGCCGTAAATTGATTAAAATACTAGTTCATTCAATGTAAAAACATATATATGTATTTCACTATTTAATCATTTATTTCATGGACTGCAGTGCTTCATGAATTTATTTCATCCGTCAAACTCACCCATCAAAGTCAGTGGGCGGATCCTAACACCTGATTGGTTACCCAGCACATCAAGTCAAGACAGATTGACTCCACATAATGGATTGATGCAGCCACTCTAAGGTCAATATCTTGGTCTGAGGTTGTGGGAATAACTCCAAAAATTTCACTTAATTCCTCTGCTTTACCCACTTCATCCTCTTTAACCATTGTCAGCCTCACTCTCTTCTTTGATGGGGAAATTAGCCTTCAACATTTTGATCTACCATTGGGTTATTTTCTTTTACTTTAAAATCATGTTTTGAGTTAGAATCAGTTAGAATCCTCTTCTGTCAGCCATGAAAAAAAATTTAAAGCTGTTCTGCTCAGCGCCTCCTACAGACCTGGAGCTCCCCTGTTATCACAGTCTGTTCATTCATACAACTCATTAAAGTCAGGATGCTGCAGCACACTAGAAAGGAGTTAGAAGACCTAGCTGTCATGTTACAAACGTGTTCATTTGGAGTCAAATTCGGGGCTATTATTCAATAAATTCAGGGCTCGTGCTTTTAAATGGAATTAAAGCAGAAATAGAAACTCATTCATGGTTGTTATGTTTCCCTGGAAGGATTTACTCTGAATTTTCTGCAGCGCACGGTTAAATTCAGTTCATTCCAGGAATAAAAGCCAATTATAACTCCCCCATGTGCGCCCTGGTGAGGCTCAGCATGTGGTAACTCGACAGAAAGGAATTATTCCAGGATCAAATGAAGTCAAAGCCCCAACAGGCTGACATTTGGTGACTCCAACAGGGGATCCGCTGTTCTACCCAGAGACCCCATCGTATATGTCAGGAACCAAATCACCTGAGGGAAGACCAGGAAAGAAGAACAAGGAGGGCGACGCATGGATCAGGAACTTCAGGAAAGGATTTTAATAAGACGCAGAAGTACAAATCACCGTGGCCCAAGATTTTTTTTTTAAAGAAGCAGAATCTGAACCTTTGAGGGTCCTGACTAGAAACCTGTGAGTAGAGGAGACTTAGGGTGGGTCCAGTATAAACGTCCTTACACACCAGGAGAGTTTTTTTTCGTGTGATTATTTCTGACGTCAATATTTTATTTCAAACCCTCCTTCGCCTCTGATTGGCTATAAGTGCTGACCGTTTGGCTTGAGCGTATGATGACGTTTCCAGCTTTTCTAGCCAATCAGAGGCGAAGGAGGCAGAACTTTCCCTGGGAAAAGTCTTCCTCAGGATGCGTCTTTTCCCCCCGGAAAGTCGCAAAATCGCATTGGGCTTGATGTGTACAGTCAGGCGAATCAAAATACACCTCTGAATAGTTCATAATTTCGCGCTCTATATTTGCGTTGGCCCCGGTATGTAAGGACCTTTAGGGTAATTCCCGTATAAGCCCAGCTCTGGCAATGTTTGACCATCAAGCACATTACAGAAGCAAGAAGCAATCTTAAAAGGGATGCTGTCTTTTCAAACTTCAAGTTTAAAGGTCTTATTTTGACCCTGGTAGTAAATGACTTCAATCTACGGCCATGAACTAACTGGAGTTGTTGCAAATCCTTGGCCCTGTGAAAGTCAAGAAACTTGCAAATCCAATCCAGGGCAGGTGCTGAGTGGAATATCATGGAAAAGACGCAAATAAAAATATCTCACAGGAAGGCTCCAATTGTGAAATTTCTAAAAAAATATATTACTGGATTCCCACAGAGATGGACATTGTTGTATCCTGTTTTTAAAGAACCACTCTTGTGAAAGTCATGTTTTTGTATTTGTCCACATGTTCATGTGGCATTTTTCTGATGCTACAGGACACATCATGAGAAAACTAAGTGCAACATTGCATTTCTGAGTATCTTTTCATTCAAATCGCTGTTAATCTCTGGCAGACCCAAATGGCAGGTTCAGATACAGTGAGATTTCCTACATAGCAAATCCAAGCTCCGCCCCCGGAGCCCTGCAATGCTCATAAGAAAGCTAACCTACTTCTTCCACTAAACCGGCAATGTTAGGCGTTAGCTAGCGTGAAGAGGAGTGTGCAGAGCAGCGCTGTCTTTGCCCACGACTCAGAGGCGAATTGATAATGAGCTACTGGAGCTCTACAGAAAGAAAACCCTTGAAAATGACACGCGATTTTGGCTAAAATCTTCATAATCACACTTTAAAGAGCACTGATAACACTTTGAATAGTACAAAAAAATATGACTGGAGTGGGACTTTAATTGGATCCAGACGTCATGTCACTCTGCAACTTTAAAAGCTTCAAATCCAAAAAAAAGATTGAGCTTATCGTTACTGAGTTTGTCTCATGTGCCTTATGTCTTGTTCGGTCTAATTTCACTCCCTCGAAATAGTGTTTTCCCCGAGTAACTGCCCTTTCTGAACTGTGTTGAGAGCTGAGTTCTTCTCATTTTCCTCCTCTTTTTTATTTTAAACTCTCACCCCACTCGTGTGTAACCGTCTTATTTCCAATCAGATTTCTGCATTAGAAAAAAATCATGTATTTGCTGAGGCAGCTGTCATGATAATTGGCCTTTTAGAAGGAGTTGGCCCTTCAGAGGAGAGCTATCGATTTCATGATCACAGCTGTACTTCTCCCGCTGACCTCTACTGTACGAGGCGAAGGCCGAGCCACCGTGTTTCCAAGAGCATAATTAGAATGGATCTAATATCTTTTTTATATGCGCTCACGGCTCGGCTGTAGCGCTCGGAAGCTGCCCCCCCCTCTGCTCTGCAAGACCTTTATTTACCCAAGTAGGCCTGCTGCATTTTGATAAGAACCTCTGTCTGGAAGAATTAATGTAATGCCCACTCGAGGAGAGGGTTTCAATTAGGGAGCAGGACATGTCGGAATGGGAGGAATTCAAGCAAAATACACCAGCACTTCATCCAAACCTGAGGAGAATATCGACTCCTCCACACCCCTGTACCCTTCTGTTCATTTCTGCCTCAGCGGCCCTGAACGCGTCCACATTCAGAGCATCGTTTCCATGCAAAGTGTCCATCTGCCTCCTCCTGTGCGATGGACTGTCAGCGCATACAGACTGCCGCTCATTTGTGCGCATTACCCACTTATTTCCAAGTGTTGTTGAATTCAGAACAAAGTCCACACAAGCCAAACAAAGCGGTGATGCATCTGCAGGAGTTGTTCATTTTTTTTAGAGAAGTGGAGGTTTGGTGCAGCAGAGAGGAGGCTGGAGTCGCTCCTGACGGATGTTTCCAGACTTTCTCATGAATTCTAAATCAGCTTTGGCTAATTAATGTGGAAAGGGCAGACGTTTTCTGTGAGAGGCAGACTGAAGTGTACAGAGGAGGAGGCTGTTCACAGCTTTCACATGACAAAAAAAAACAACAACAAGGACACAAGAGGCGAGAAATGGCTGGATTTGAAGAAAAAGATTGCCCCGTATCATGTTGCACAGAATTCTTCCTTTTCTTCTTTTACAACCTTGAATCCAGAAAAGTTGAAATATTGTAAAAAATGTTAACGAAAACATGATATGGATGGAGCAAAGACAACACGCTCGATGTTGAAACTTGTTGAAAAGCTTGTTGATGTTGAAAAACGAAAAAAAATGAGTGAACCCATCATCTTTAGTTTTTTCTGTCCCAATGTGTGATAAATCGAAATATGACGCTCTTTTTGGAAATTCAGTCCCCGGTTGGAAATACAGTTCAAAGCCAGCATCCCGACACAAATATATGACGCGAAATTACGAAATATTCAGAGGAGAATTTTGACGCGCCTGACTATACACATCAAGCCCGATGTGATTTTGCGACTTTCCGGGGGGAAAAAGACACGTCCCGGGTGGAAGCGAGAAGACTGACTCAACAGCAGACTGACTGTTTTTCAGCTCTGATTAGACACTAGTGTTGAGATGTCTGTCTGTCATGACAGCATGTACTGAGTCGGGGCCAGTACCAGATAAGCACATTAAACTATCATCCATAAACGTAAGGTAACAACCAAGACCTAATGGTGCCGTGACAGCAACGCCATTGAGTTTGAGACAGTGAAAATACATATGGTATGTTGTATCTGAACAGGTTAGCTTACGAGCTAAAGTTACGTAGCACAGATGAAAGTTAAAACAAAGACGTTTAGCAAACTGTTAAAGAACACAAACCATCATCATATGAGAAATTTGACGCTATGACTCTCCACAAATTGTCCTTCAGGTCGTTATCTTTGTAATGTTTGTGTCTTTTATCAAAAAGCACTCTGTTCTCCGACATATAAACAATCAGCCGGTCAGCCATGTTGGATATACCGGTGAATCAGACGTCGCAACAACACGAAATCTGATTGGTCAGAAGTGGACACAGTATGCGAAAATTTAGAAAAATCGACCATGATCGCATGACGGGAAAACGTTGCTGATGTGAACGCTTGTATTGTATTGGGTTCGAAAAAAAAATATCAATGTCCGAAATAATCGCACGAAAAAAAAGCTCCCTGTGTGAAAGGACCTTAACTGAGCATAGGCTAGTAGTTGAGGCTAGCAGCAGTCCTCTGATGCTCAGAGTCCATGTCATGGGTATCTTCCACATCAATGAAGGCTTAATGCTGAACAATATCTACAGGTTTAGGAGCAACATCCGCTGACATCCAGACAAAGAGACCTTCATATTTCAGCAAGACAGTGACAAACCACATTCTGACAACAGGGATTACAACAGCATGGCTCTGTAGTACAAGAGTGCTGCTGATAAACTGGTCCGACTACTTCTTTAACTATTTCCAGTTCAATAAAAGAAAGAACCGATCAGCAAAGCATCAAATTATGTTTTATTAGCATTTTACACAACGCCCTCACTTTTTTTTAAACAAGTGTTGGATTGTAAAATGTAAACATGAACGAGCTCACCACCTGAAAACTCCAAATGTAAAGAATCTCAGAGGGGGATTGATGCAAAAATGGATATGATCACTTTAATCTTTGCTTTATTTGGAGCTGTTTTGCTTTTTCTGAATGACCTAATTCCAGATTTTGATCAGTTTAAATAATTTTGCTTTTTCTTCCATATTTTCAGCGAGTTTCATACATATTTATTCAGTCTACTTGAAGCCTGAACACTGCATTTAAACCCAAACTGCTCCAGTGTTTGGATTCATTTTTACTGGCTGTGAATTCATGAAAAATGGATGACACTGAAATCCTCATGACTCAGAAAAGCTGTATAAAGATAGATTTATATGAAGTGATATGATAAGGGTGCTGCTTTAAATCTAAAGAGTACATTTTAATGCACAGTCTGGCTCTTACAAATCTTTACCTCACATTGCCTTGAGTCTTTTCTCGGTTCACACTAAATTCCCCTCACTCACTCACGCTGCTCTTATTCAATTTAAAGGTGAATTAAAGTTTAAAATCTACATTTGTATAATTTTTTGCTGGGTTTTGTCTTTTTATAACTGCAAAGATTTGTCGGGTTTTATCGGGAAATGAGCCGTTACGGATATATTAGTCAGGAAAAAAAGACTCTCACACAATACAGATTTGACTGGGTATACTTTTTACACAATTTGGGTCCAATAAAAAGAGACCTGTTTTCCGTACACCTGTGCAGCCACAGCAGCATAATAACAGCTTTTCTACCTCACATGGTCATAATTATGCATTTGGAGAAAACAGTGATATTCATTTTAGTAAATAAACCCTGTGGGGTACTGCTTTGACTCAAAAGACTCTTAATTTAAGAAAAAAATGACCATTGAGGGGGGCGGTGCAACTTTGATTGGACTGGTTGAAGTAGCATGTCTGCAGACCAAGACGCTGCAGATTTAGGACCACATTCTAAGACTCTTTTACACCATCTTCTACATTTTATCACCAAGAAGTGCATTTTTAGTGTATGCATCTGTAACACCAACCTTAGGTATAACTGTTGTATCAAAACACAGGTCCTAAAACTGCAGTCGCATTAAGCTCTCGTAACTATTGCTGTTGGTTGAGCTCAGCTACTTTACAGGTAAACTCCTCAGGTTCAAGACAAAGGATTTTAACTCATTCAGTGCCAATGACGGATTTGAATGGATTTTTTTTATTTGCCTTGAGTGCCATTGATGGATTTTGACAGAGTCCTCCGTTTTTTGTTTCCCGCCAGAAGGCGCTTCTCCCCAACATGCGACTAAGTTTGGGGTCATTGTGAGCGCAGAGAAGCCGATAAATACATCATAACATGTTACAATAACAAAAACAAGTACTTTCCAGTGAGAAATGTCCCATCAAGTGTGCCAATTAGCCTAGTTGTGGAGTGTTTTTCTCTATGAGAAGAGTAGGAAAAGGCCAGAGTCATAGAACAAGTGCAAACAGTCTTGGCAAATTGACTCCCGTGGGCGCGGTGCTGCCATTTCTGGATCCAGTGGAGATCCCATTACAAGACCTTCACATTGTCAGCAGACAATCAACGAAACAATTTTCCAGCATGATGTTGTGCTGCTGGTGCTGGTACTGGTGAGCGAGACTGAGCCGGAATTCAGCAACAGTCCCAGTGAGGAGGACGCAAGCAGTCTGTGTTATGTATGTCACAGCGTTAGGTTCTCAAGTGCCAATACGACTCCCAGCCGTCACAAAATGATCTATCACAATCGGATCTTGAGAGTGCTGAGGAGTGGCGTCTAAGGAGGGAGGACCTTGATGCCACCAGTAAAGTAGTTTGAAGTGACATGAAATAGACAATCCGAGTTCTGCTTTAGAGTCTCTCCTTCGTCTTAATGTATTTTTCCCAGGTTTCTTTTTCCAGATCGGCAAAGATGATATGACCATGCTGCATTGAGCAAGCATTAACCAAACACGGGAGTGGGTTAGAGACTTTTTTTTTTTTGGTGAAAGAAGATAATCCCCCCTTTCTTTTAAAATATTGAACTTTAATTTTATTCCAAGCACAAGATATTCTGTAGGTCCTGAAAGATATGGAAATTTCTATTGCTGTCAATGGTGGCGCTGGGTGAAAATTGCATCAATGAACCTGGCATTGAATGAGTTTAAAAAAAGCTACACAGCTGCATACAAACTGCACATTGCTGACCATAAAGAATCGTCACACACTCTTCTGCAAATTCTTGACACCTCTCACTCATACAGATAAAAGAGGTGTAGTGATGTTGAACAAGAGAATCTATGGAAGGTAGTTACTGACTGCATAAATGTTCTTCCTTGAGCTGCGTAACCCCGCAGCAGTCCATAATGGATTGGTCCAAGGTCTCGCTACAAACAAGCGGCTGCTGGAAGAGAGTAGGTGAGTTGTGTTTAGTCTCTCTGCTTAAGAAATCAGGCAAAGTTAAAAAGATGTTTGGTGGGTAGTGTTATGGCTGGGGCCCTATATGTACTGTTGATGAAGTTAGGTGCTGTTCTGAACATTGTTTGTGGCTATAGAGTGGCGTTTTCATTGAGGTTTGTGTGTGGTTCCATAGACCGCTATGTATCACTGTCAGTACTTAAGTTGGTATAATTAGAGAAGCAAGCAGTCGGCAACATTCATCTCTTGGGGGGGTGTCTAACTTGGTGTTAAGGCGTGTTTAACCCTAAATTAATTTTACACAGGAATATCACTTTAAGTTTGACCCTTGCATGAAACCAAAGTCAGATCTGTAAAATGGTCTTAACTTGGTCAACATAACTCTAGGTTTTGAAGTATGATATTTCTGTTATCCGCTGCTGCTGCTCAGAGGGACGCAGGACTGCAGCAGAGGTGGTGCGAGAGGCGTGAGGATAAAAACAAGCCTTTCTTTCTTCATTTGCTCACTGAGGCGAACCAGCCGCAGGTTTTCTGTTTGATGACGAGTGCGAGTCTCTGCGAGCTAATGCTGAAACCGTGTAGGGTTAATTGATGCAGGAAGAGGAGCCCTCTCTTACAGCTCCGTCACATTGGGCAGAAAGAGCCCTCATCAATAATTTAAGAATTATCTTTAATGGCATCGCACGGCGATCGTTTTAATTGGAGCGATTACAGTCTGCTTCAAGTAATCTGAGGGAGAGCGAAGGACAGTATCTGAGAGAGCTTTGTTTAACTGTTGAAGTTGTGATTAAATATTGTTTTTTATTGTACTTAGAAATCTTTTATTCTGTAGAAACTTAAAGTCCAAAAAACTTGTACCTTCTTTTTTTAGTCATGCAGCTGGAGAGCACAATGAGATCCTTAAAACTGCTATATGTCTGCTAGCATCTACATACACTGGACATTTTAATGATTGTATTGTTAGATATGCAAGCTTACAGCCTGTGTAAATTTAGGGTCGTATGGTCAGATATGAATACATGTACTAAAACTAGTGTGAGACTAGCAGCAGGGCCTGCTGACTGTGCTGATGTAGTCTTAAAGGTAAAAACAAATCGTTTTTTTGAAGGACAAAAAGGAAATGAGAATAAAATACAGAAAATCCATGTTCTGCCTTAGCTCTGATCTGGATGTTCCAGGAGGAAATCAGATTCATTTTCAGCAAATTGATCAGAATTGGTGGTTCCCCCCCCCCACACACACACTCTGTAATGAAAAAAAAATCTGCCTGTGAAGATGCAAGAAAATAAAACAGATATAAGAGTCTGAGAAATCAAAGATACTGCTTTAAAGCTAAGTTAAATGTGAGAAGTGTAGTTTCTGGTAAATTTATGATGATGCAATAAAAGTCAGATCTACAAATAGATGTTTGAAAGCAGGCTGCAGTATTGAGATAAACTAAATGCTGACTCATCTAATGTTTCTTGTTTGTAAAAGGCAAAAATCTGTGCTGTCTAAGTATCGGTTTTTCACACTTTCGGCAGATGTTCCTATATTTTGATCACCATAGTCTTCTGACTAAAACATAGACATATTCAGTATAATGTCCACTGGCCTCTGAAGGCTCCTATACATACTTCTTCATCGTCTAATTTTTGGAAATACCTACTTTTCTGTTTTAGAAATCAGTATTTTAGATCTGTGGCAGTAGTCTGGGAACATGAACTCATTTCCATGCTTTATTTTTAATTTTCAATACTTTTCAAGACCTGGAAATGTATCAAATTTATTTTCTTACTTTTCAATGCTTTCCATACTTGCCAAGGAACCCTGGAAGTGTCATGAAATCCAAAGATGGTGGTCCCAATGTTAGAATTACTGTGATTATTTCGTGCGATTATTTCGGACGTCAAGATTTTTTTTTTCCTGTCAATACAAGCGTTCACATCAGCGATGTTTTTCCGTCCTGCGATATTGCGGCATTTATTTTTTCGGATCATGGTCAATTTTCTAAAGTTTCGCATAATGTGTGTCCACTTCTGACCAATCAGATTGTGTGTTGTTGCGACGTCAGATTCACCGGTATATCCAACATGGCCGACCGGCTGATTGTTTACGTGTCGGAGAGCAGAGTGCTTTTTGATAAAAAACACAAATATTACAAAGATAACAAAGGACAACATAGTGTCGGATCTCTCATATGATGATGGTTTGTGTACTTTAACAGTTTGCTTAACGTCTTTGTTTTAACTTTCATCTGTGCTAACGTATGCTAATGATTGTTACCATAGTTTCATGTGTTTATCTTATCCCTTCTGATTAGCTATAAGTGCTGACCGTTTGATGGCGTTTCCAGCTTATCTGGTCAATCAGAGGCAAAGGAGGCGGGACTGTCCCGGGGAAAAGTCTTCCCCTGGACGCGTCCCCCCGCCCAGACCTTTTGATGAAGTGCATCATAACATAGATTCACTGTTTTTTTTACGGACAGCCTCCTGTGGACATTTGCAGTTTTTCTGCACATCCTCAGTGTCTTTTGTTCTGATTAAAAAGTACTCTGGGTCTTTCATGAAACGGACTGATTTTTAGATTTTTGTCTCAAGTTTGATGAGAAATAAACTCAGATTTTTTTTTTCTACCATGTTGAAGGACTCTTTGTCCTCTGTGTTTAAGCTCTTTGTCGAGACTTAAACAGAGAAGACGTCCTCGTTTGTATCTGCTCCTCAGATTATTTACCGCCTGTCTTCCTGGTGTCGGTCTCTCCCTCATTGAGTGTCACCGCACGCCCTCGCCCCTCCTGTAACATGAGGCAGGACAAAGTCATCTTCAGTCACAGGTTAGAGGAAAAACGGCTGCTGTGCCAGTGTGCGAGTGTGTGTGAGGAGATAGAGTTTCTAAGCTGTATGTGGAGTGTTTCTGTACAAAGTGGGATCGAATTAGACAAGCTCCACTGTAGAGAGAGCTGAATTTCAAGAGGCTTCATGCATGCAGAACAATGCTGCAATAGCCGCGAAGGCTTGAATGTATTCAGATGAAGAGAATCTAATGAATCATAATTAAAAAAGTACCTCAGTCGAGCAGTGCTGTAATTGGATAGCTCATATGAAGAGCTGTGAGGCGGTCTTCAAAGCTCAACCAGCCGCTGGATTTCGTGTAAAATCTCTGGACTGAGAGGATTTCCGGCTACAGCTGGAAGAGCAGAGAGCGAAATGAATTTACTCAGAGAGCGCTGACAGGCATGAGATCAATAGTAATTATACCACTAATATGTTTCATTTTGAACAAGTTTGTTTAAGCAGCACAAGTTTGGATGTGAACTCCCAACAGTTTAAAAGAAACTATCCAGAAGAGAGAAGACGTGCAAGATGAAAACTTATCTTCCTGTCGTCTTCAAATGGGGAATTTTCTCATTTCCAAAATGAGATCTAATTATAAAACTCTATTACCAAGGAGTTGTAGGATGTGTAAAATGTAAGTAACAAGTTGAGTGTTGTGCTATTTAAAGCTGATGTGAAAAGACAACTCATCAGATGTTGATGTGAGAGTCTCTTTCTCTTTCACAACTTTTGACCTGTTTGGTTGTTCCTCTATAACAACTTTTTAAATCTTCGGTTGTTCCTCTTTCAACTTTTTTGAAAGTTGATATAAGCTTTGATTTATTGCGAAACAATCAATTTCTATTTTTTTTTTCAACATTTATCAGGGCGCCCCAAACAGGGGTTGTATTTGTCATTTAGCGCTGAAATTTACCAACATACAGTTTAGGTCTTAAGTGTAAGCTTTCAGCACCTCCAGCTGTATGTATGGGTTGTTTGATGGAGTCCTGTCATCCGTTGAAATGCTGCACTTTAATTCAGAGCTGCGTTCGTCTCCATTTGCATGTGACATTGCCCCCTGGAATTGTTTTGACATCGGCGTCTCATTTGCTTTTATTCATTTTCATTACAGTTATAAGCTAATGGGAGATTTGTAAATGTGCCGTGACATGCTGCGTGTGATTACCGCTCCGCTAAGGATTGCCTGAGAAGAGCGCCGGCCCCTCGCCCCTGCACGCCTCTGCAGCAGATAAGGGAAACCAGAGCTGTCACTAAAAGGTATGCTAATTCAAGGAGTTCCAGGTAGGATCCTCTGCTGTTTAAAATAAAAAACACCGGCTCAAATGATGAAGAAATTACCCACATGAGAACAAACAGCAGGTAATGTAGAGAGTCCGTCTTTACTCTGCAGGTGATCTGGTTTCACAGAACCTTTAACAGGTGGTGCATTCAAGGGGCTTATGCTCATCTGCTCTAGTGCTTTGGTTTTGAACATGCAGAGTGGAAGGAACATGGCGTTTCATTCAATTCGGACCATTTAATTCAACAAAATATTGCAGAAAATCAAAGTGATCATTTTCAGCTTTAGGAAATTGCCACGGCTGTTCCTGCCAATTTTTGCTACTTGAGTGACATCCTTGAAAAGTGAAGGACCATGAAGGTTTTTTGTTGTACTTGTTTAACCACCACCAAAAACCAATCCAGTTTGACTCAGTCAGGGGCATTTTTGATTGTGTTTTATAGAGTATGCAGGAGTTGATCTGGCCTTAAAGAGAGGGTATTATGTGGTTCTTTTAGACTCGATACTTCCTTTCAGACTCCATACTTCCTTGCAGACTCTATACATCCTTTCAGACTCTATACTTCTTTTAGACTTCCTTTCAGACTCTATACATCCTTTCAGACTCTATGCTTCTTTCAGACTTCTTTTCAGACTCCATACTTCTTTTCACACTCTATACTTCCATTCAGACTCCATACTTCTTTTCAGACTCCATACTTCTTTTCACACTCTATACTTCCATTCAGACTCCATACTTCCTTGAGACTTGCTTTCAGACTCCATACTTTCTTTCAGACTCTATGCTTCCTTTTAGACTCCATACTTCCTTTCAGACTTTAAACTATCTAGGACTCTATTCTTTCTCAATCTCCATACTTCCTTTCAGACTCCATACTTTCTTCGGACTCCATATGTCACTTATACTTCCTTTCAGACTTTAAACTATCTCAGACTCTATACTTCTTTTCAGATTTCATACTTCCTTTCAGACTCCATACTTTCTTCGGACTTCCTTTCAGACTCCATATGTGACTTATACTTCCTTTCAGACTTTAAACTATCTCAGACTATACTTCTTTTCAGACTCCATACTAACTTTCAGACTCCATACTTCCTTTCAGACTCCATACTTTCTTCGGACTTCCTTTCAGACTCCATATGTCACTTATACTTCCTTTCAGACTTTAAACTATCTCAGACTCTATACTTCTTTTCAGACTCCATACTTCCTTTCAGACTTTAAACTATCTCAGACTCTATACTTCTTTTCAGACTCCATACTTCCTTTCAGACTCCATACTTCCTTTTAGACTCTATAGCAGGGGTTCTCAATTAGAAATGTAAAAGGTCCAGAAAATACATTTTGAGGAAGTCATGCGTGGTGGCGAAAAATTGTAACCTTTTTTAATGTTTTTATATAGTTTTATGATGGGTGTACTGCACTGTAATAATCAGGAGTTATTGGAAGGCACAAAAACATTCATTTCCAGCATCTCACTGATATTCTTTCTTACTAAGTATTACTCTATAAAATAAAATAAGCTTTTTATTTTATCTGTTTGTAGCTCAGATTTATCTCTATCAATATCGCTTCTCATAATGGCTTTTTATGTTTTCACTTTTTATCAGAGCAACAGTGCTTTGCACAAAAGACACATTGGCTTTGTGCTTGAAGGAGGTAAGATAATCATATATTTGTCAGTACGTTCGTCAGTGAATCAGCGATTTTCAATGTCCACCTTTCTCTGATTTGCCATTTTGATGTCGGGTGCTGGGTGTGAGCATTGCTCCTGCTGCAAAGACGTAACCGAAGGAGGAAGATGTGTGACTGCCGGTTTGCGTAGTTATCAGCCAATCAGCGCATCGTTGTCATGGGAATGGCAGCCCATAATGCAAGCACACACACACACAAGCTCTCTCTCTCTCTCTCTCTCTCTCTCTGTCGGCCAGTCTAACCTCGCGTCAGTCAGTCAGAGAGAGTGCTGTGCCGTGTTTTTTTTTCTTCTTTTTGCTCTGGGACCACAAAGAGGTGGTCTGCGGTCCGGATGTGGACCGCGGTCCGCCTATTGCAGACCCTGGCGCTATACTTCCTTTCAGACTCCATACTTCCTTCAGACATTCTTTCGAACTCTACACTTCTTTTCAGACTCTATACTTTCTCAGACTCTATACTTCTTTTCAGATTCCTTTTAGATTCTCTAGCTCCTTCAGATGCCATACTTTCCTTTTAGAGTCTATACTTCCTATCAGACTCTATACATTGTTTCATACTTTATACTATCTCAGACTCTTTACTCTTTTAGGCTCCATACTTTCTTTCAGACTCTATACTTACTTGTGTTTCTCACTCTAGTGTATTAAAATATTATTTTAGCCTCAGTCTGAAACACTTTGTTTGAACAAGCTTTTTCCATACTAAAGAATCCACTTCACAGTTTTCCCACACATTTGATCCACTCTTAGTAAGAAAATCTCAGTTTTTCACATTTTCCTACATCTGTAAGAAGAACTGCTGACGGTTGACTTTCTGAGTTTGTCCAGTTGATCAGTCAGACATTGAGAGAGATGATTTGGTGAGTTTGATGAACATATGTCACAACAGAGAGCGGGAGTCATTTGTTCACAGCATGGTGTGACTCTGATATGAGCTCTCATTATCACCTCTGTGATGTGGATGGAGGTCCCGCAGCTCCCCACAGGAAGCCTCCTCATCATTTGAGTGCCTTCATTCAGGTCAATTTGCCCTCATTGTCATCTCCAGCACCAGCAAAGTGCTAAATCAATTTCAGGGTCACATTTATCCTGGGGTAATCGTGCGCTGCTAATTGGCCCCGCAGCTGAAACCTGTCAGTCACCGAGGGGCGAACGGGAGGGGGAGGTAGGGTTAGGGGATCACCGACACCAGCTGCTGCGCCGCAGCGTTCACCGCCTGCCCCATGGTGTGATGTCAGACATTTTTTATTATTTTTTTATTTCAATGACTTCATCATAGCAAGACTGGTTTGATGCCAAATCGGAGAAGGCCGCTCTGATTTGACCCCCAGCAGGGGCGCTGGTCTCATGAACCTGTGGGGGTTGATGAGCTCACAGCGGGGGAGATCTGCTGCACGAAGCCGAGGCTCTGATGTGCGGAGGCCTGAGGTCGATTTCTGCCTCAGATGCTTTAATGTAAAGCTCCATATGTCAGGCCTGTCTGTTTGTGTTGACATGATCCCTCTGAGTTAAATTTAAACTCAGCTCAGGCTGCTGCTGTGAAGATACTCCTCTGTGCTGGTCCTCATTTAAATATCTGACTTTAGTACACGTCTTTAACGCCACATAAAACAGCTCCACTGCTTTTTGAAACCTGCTTCTGTGACTGACGGGGCTGGAAACTAACAAAGGGTGTCCAGATAGCAGAAATGTAAGCTTTAAAACAACAAATATTGATAACATAGACAATAATGACACTGGAAGCTGCAATTAGTGGTATATAGCAGTAATTACTTGTAAAAATTGATCATGGTTTTTAAAATATACCGTTGATGTAAAGTTCAGGTCCCCTTTCACAGAGGTCCTGTTCACAGCCCTGTTTCTACAGTAGCCTAGAGCGGACAAACTAGTAACAAGCGCTTTTTTGTTGTGAACACAAAATCCGCCAGCAGCAGGAAGAAAAAGAAGAAGACAGTGGTTGTTATTGTTATTCGTACCTTTAATGGTAAAAACCTGACACATGTAGGATCATACTTATGATCACTTCACTGACTTGAGGGGTTAGAAAGGGAGAGTTTTAATCTATTATCTGGTGCTATCTGTCACGATATGTTCTGTTAATTTAGTTTTTCTGTTTTTGTTATCTGAGTGCATTTTATTTTATTTTTTTCCCCATAGTGTTTCTGTTCCCTATTGTTCCTGTGATCTTGTCTTGTGAGTTTTCAGTTTGTGTTTGACCCTGTTTCTCTCGTGTTCTCAGTGTTTTATTTTTTAGAATCAGTTTTCAGTGTTTATTTCCTGTTTTATTTTGTAGTAGTTGATTCCTTGTGTTTCTAGTCTAGTTTTACTCCCCTAGTTTTCCCTCCTTCGTTAAGCACTCATAAGTTTCACCTGTCTCCTCTGCCTCACCTGTTGCTCGTTAGAGCTCGTTACCCTGTGTGTGTATATAGTCCCTGTCTTCCCCTGTTTCTTGGTTCGGTTCATTGCGTGCGTGCGTCTGCCCATTAAAACGGAACATATCATGACACCGTTGCTGAATACTCCACTTTCTATATACTGTATTTTAATTTTGAAAGCCCCAAAAACAGCCATTGTGAGCTAATGTCTGTCTATCCATCCATATTTTCTCCTCAAGACTGATTGACACAGATATCTGTATTTTAAGTGCTCAGAAATGATTAAAATGTTCAATAACATTAATATACTTATAACCATCCAAAAAGGTTCATTCATTCTGACTATAAAACACATTAAAAGATTCATGTATCTGGACCACTTAGACATGTTTCCACTACACACTTCCTTCAGTCTTCCCTGCAAGAGTCACATGGTGATGTTTTGACGTTGTCTGTCATCCTCTATTAATCAGCTGAGAGGCATCGTCACAATGTCACATGACTCTAGTAGTCAAAATATATCAAGTTAAAAAGGAAAAACACACCGGTCTGGGTAAGAAGATGACAAATCACTGCACTGAAACTTACACTGTGTTGTTTCCAGTGATACAGAACTACAGTAACAACACTCAAATACACATCACAGGGTATATTTACTTCATGAACAGTATATAAAAGTATTGACCCTGTTTTAACCCCATCATGGGCCTCATGCTGTGTGTCAGATCACTTTAGTTATTTCTGAAAGCATTAGAGCTTTATTTCTGCCAGCTTTTGTCAATGTAAATGAGTCACAGCTTCATATTGATCATAGAGTTGTGTATTGATCTCTTGCTGTGAGTAAGAGTGGTTTTCCACATGAGGAGCTCAGCGTGGGTCTGGCTGTGTGTGTGCTGGAGAGATCTGTATGATCAGCATCATACAGCCTAAAGAGTGCGAGTGTCTGTACGGATCTGAGGGTTCGCTTTAAGGCGTTTAAGACTGATGAGGACAGAGGCTCTGGTTTGTCGTCTTCATAATCCAGCTGAATGATCTCTAACAAAGCTTAATGAAGCATGAAGCTTTAACTCTTCTCTCCTCTAACTCCTCCATCCTTCATCCCTCCATCTGTGATCATACTGCCATTAGAGATTCAAGTCCTGCCCATGTAATGTAGATGAACTCTTTATCAATAACTGTTATCAGGATCAAACTCATGAGAAAGGCGTTCATATCAGAGTGACGTTAAACGATGGATGATACCAGCCTAAGGCTGGTTCAATACCTAATTTACCCTCCCTCCCTCCCCTCTGTCTTAAATGATGGATCAATCAAACATGGCTGTCTGTTTGATTTATGCAGCAGGAGGAACAGAAACAGTCTCTCTGCTTTAAAGGGAAGCACTCCTGCCCTAAATACTCTGAATTTCACCTAAACAGGGCTGTAAAGTGGAGTTCAGTGGCATCGTCAAGCATTTAGACCTATCAAATATTTAAGAATTGGCAGTTTTTCACTTTTATTCCAAAAAGTTAAAACGTTTTGTTTTGAAGGATTGCAACTCACTTAAAACCTGTATTTAACTGTAAATAGTGCAAAGACTTACCATCAGGGATGCCGGCTGTTGAGGTGTGTAAAGCCAAATGGCTGTTTTTTTCAGTAGAGTGAAGGATAGGATGTCCAAGAATTTCAAATTATGAGCCAGGCTCGGGTCCAGAAAAAATTCTGGTGTTCTGGATCATGTTTCTATCTGGTTTCCTCTTCGCATGATTAACCTTCATTTCTGTATGCAGTGATGAACTGTTTTCACATGTGTTCACGGAGGAAAGTTGTTAGAAGATATTTGAGCCACTAGTCCACGTATTCTTTCACATAAAACAATAACATCTTCAGTTTCAACATGCTTTGCACAATTTTCAATCGAATTGCATGTTGTTCCATTGTCTGATTCACCGGTATATCCAACATGGCTGACTGGCTGATTGTTCATATGTCGGAGAACAGAGTGCTTTTTGATAAAAGACACAAATATTACAAAGATAACGACCTGAAGGACAACTTGTGGAGAGTCAGAGCGTCAGATTTCTCATATGACGATGTTTTATGTGCTTGAACAGTTTGCTAAACGTCTTTGTTTTAACTTTCATCTGTGCTAACGTAAGCTAACGGTTGTTACCATAGTTTCATGTGCTTATCTGGTACTGGCCCTGACTCAGTACATGCTACCATGACAGAAAGCCATCTCAACATTAGTGTCTAGTGTCTAGTCCTCTGCCTCTTCAAACTTGAGGCTAATTGTTTCAGCAGAACTTCAATTTGTTCAATGGACATCCGAAAAAATGCTTCTGAAGCGACGGTGAGCTTCACTGTTTGGTTCAGGAGCTGAAACTGTACCACAAAGTTCTCTTTTTTTTGTAATATTGGATGCACCCATTGAGAAAGCAAAAGGAGTACCAATTCGCCATCACTTGAAGTTGAAGTAGACTCCATTTTTGTCTTCTCGCATCCACCCGGGACACTGTAGGATGGTATGGGAAAGTCCTGCCCTCCTTTGCCAAACGGTCAGCACTTATAGCCAATAAGTGCTGACCGTTTGGCTTGAGCATGTGATGACATTTCCAGCTTTTCCAGCCAATCAGAGGCAAAGGAGGCGGGACTTTCCCCGGGAAAATTCTTCCCTGGGATGTGTCTTTTTCCCCCCGGAAAGTCGCAAAATCGCATCGGGCTTGATGTGTATAGTCAGGCACATCAAAATTTGTCTCTGAATATTTCGTAATTTCGCGTTCTATATTTATGTCGGCCCCGGTGTAGCTTTAATGTTGATTAAATATAGTCTGCACAGGAACCTCAGATTGATAACACAGCATAGCAGGACCCTTAAGAGTGTTAGATAAGTTTTGCTGAAATAAACCAAGAGTAAAGAACTTCTGTTGGGAAACTTTTGGTACTTTTTATCCTTGGCTCATGAAAAGATGATGAAAAAAGGGAACAATATCTATCAGATTATCCTGCTGTATACTTTGATGATATTAGGGTCATATTTTGTTTAAAAACCTCTTGTACAGCAGATGAAACTCGTCTTGATATTTCTGTTTTTTCTCCGTAGACCCTTCATTTTCACTCATTACCCACAATGCAAAGAAAGATGCTGGGTTCAGAGGGAATTTTCTCACTAATATCTACACGCCAAGACACAAATCAATTGCAGGGGGGCAAATAGCTTTTTGATTAAGATTCCCTGAGCGCCTAATGAAGAAAGCTCTCTGTATATACCCTCCTCCTGCTCCTCTTCTTCCTCAGTGTGCTTATTGAAGGGGAAGTTGGAATCTATTAGGATGAAGAGCTCTCGTCTGGTTAGTGGGAAACATGTAGACCTCTAGACGTGAGAGATGGAGCGAGCCAGGCATTACAGATGGATGGCGGGCAGTGGGCGTATTGATCGCGCCCCAAAACTCATCAAGCCGTTCTGAGAAAATGTCCAATGGATCCGGCAGCAGGTCTGCTCAGCCTCTCGGCCTCTGTGGTTCTCTGGGTGGCTAACGACAAATCTGCAGATATATGTCATCCAAACATACGGCAGGCTGCAGCATTAGTCATCAACTCCTGTTACAAGCTGTTTTTCCTCCCATTAAAATACTGATAGTGTTCATCTGGAGTCCGTGAGGCTGATACATGAGGGGAGCTGAGATGGAGATGAAGGTCAGGAAAAGAGAGGGAGATGTCTTCATGCAGTGTGTATGAGTACAGAATAAGAGATGGAAAAGTGAGGGGAGGATGTTCATGACTTTATCAAACTGAACGAAAGTTCACAAAACTGTTAGCGAGAAAGTAAAACAAAGTCAAGTTCAACCTACAGTGCAATAGCTGATATTATGACTAGCTCATAACAGCTAAGGGGGGCTTTCACACTTACATCATTTGGTTTGGACTTTCAGACTTTTCTTTTTAGTCTATACCAAAATAATAGGTGTAAAACCACCCCAGGACCTTCATCCGACTAAACGAGGTGGTTTCAGTCAGTACCAAACTGAACCAAGGTCTGATTAATGTCCGGCATGAAAGCATTATTTTGAAAGGTTCGGACCTTCAGACCAAAGACAGGAAATGATGAGAGGAGTAGAAGTATCTGTATTTATGTTGAATGGAGATTGTCTAATAATGGGTTTTCAAGAGTTTTACAACACAGACTTTTCTTCCAGTGACTTGCAGGATTGTATACTTTCTTTTCCTTTCCTGTCGATGTCGATATAGTTGTCGTCTAATGATCATATTCATGAGACTTCCTCAGACCAGCCTCATGCACAGCTCCTCAGGTTATTGCTGTTGGTAGAATGATAATTTCATCCATGTTTACACCATTCAAGCCCCGCGCTTTTCAACGTGTTGATGTCAGACACCAACCTGCCTAATAACCAATCAATTTAAACTACAGAGACACACAAAGCACATAGTTGATGACGCTATCACGTAGGTTCGTAATGTAAAGTCTGTTAGTCCATTTTCAGTAATGACAGTGTGAAACCCTAAACAGACCAAACCAAATGTATATAATGTGACAACTCGCACCTTGGTCTGGACTTGCAGGTGTGAAAACACCCTTAGTTAACAAGTAACAGACTCCTGGTTTATTAGAGAGATTATTGTCATTTTGACATGATCAACATCATTTGGCATCAGCTCCTTAAATGCTAATATCACTTAGATCTTCTCTAAATGATAATACATCCACATTAACAGAAAATTATATCTAACAGTCATTGACTAGTGCTTTTATAGTGTATTATTTATTTTACATGTAGTATGAACAACAATATCAGCCATGTTCACCACTTTTGTAAAACTTGTGGATTGACTTAATCTTGGCTAATCTTGACCTGTTGTTTGGTGCCCTGCAATTAATGACTATTTCATGAGTGACCTTTGAGTGACCTTTGTAAATGAAATAATGGGAAAATAACCTCATATCCTTAAAACGTAGTAAAACAGATCTGTTAAAAAGCTCTACACAGTACCCATCATTCACTGAGGCCCTTATGCTCATGAAAAAGGTAGAAAAAGGCCCCCAACTCATCGAGCTCATGTCTGCAATATAATGAATATCACTTATGTAATAAAGATTGGGGGCTCTATTTTCGTGCCCGCCGGCAGTGCGGTGGAGGGTGGCGCACCCCTCGCAGTGGTATTTTCGTCTTGTGGAGCCCAGTGCACTGCCAGTTTGGTATTTTTGTAGACTGAGGTGCACCAAGCTGGGCGTAGTGGTGCAGTAGGGGGGGATGTCAACAGAATCAGTTGGTGCAGTGACATTTGCGTGCTCGCCGGGGACATGGAAAGTGGACGCTTTCCCTTTTGGTTGAATTTCTGACCATGACAATACCAAGTGGTCTTTGCTGCTGCTGCTCCTCCTGCCTTGGCTTTTCATGTATTCATATGAAACAGAGGATGATTGCTCTACCCGCCTTAAACTTCTGCACTCCTTATGTGCATGTGGAAGATGCAAATAATTAATTTTCTCTGACAAAAGTGGTCCTGATTTAGGTGGTTTTTTGTAGAACTGTGAAACATGTAACTACTAGGAATTTTTATGCACTGCTTGGACCTCTTCCACCAAAATCAATAGAGAGTTTTGGATTAGGAGGCTTAAAGTGATGGGGGCTCTCTGGTCAGATATTTTTCTGGCTTTATTTTTCACTTGAATGAAATTACAGTACAGAAAACATTTGTCATTTTCCTGGAGATCTTCTTGAACCTCTCCACTCGTCCCTGCCTGTCCCTGGACCTGTCTCTGAGAGCCTCTGCAGTATCCATCATCCTCTCCATGTGTCCAGCAGAGCCTCTCCTCTCCGCCTGCCCTCTCTGCTTTCATAAGAGGCTTTCTGTGTCAGTGAATTTTCTGCACCCATGCCTCCCGTCCACACACTAACCCCAGGGGCGCTGCCTTGTTTTATGCATGTCCTCTTCCCGTCGCCAGGCCCATAAATGGTCTCTCAGCAGGGGAAAGTGGGCCAGGGCTGCTGCCTGCCACTCACATGGGAAGTGCAGGGCAGCTGAATGCCACTGATGGTCTGCCCCGAGTCTCTCTGACTGTGGCTGATTAACCTCCACCCCCCTCCTCTCCAACCTCCCTCCTCCATGCCAGCTCCCGTCCTTAATACACTCACATACTGCTCTCTCTGACTCCAGGAAACTGACTGTAAAACTCTGATTGCACGGGTCATCTGCTCACAAACTGCTTGGTTGTGAGGGAAGCAAACATCCCCGATAAATACACGACGACGGCGAGTCCCTCATAGCCTGAGGAAAATTTGAGTGCAGAAGAAAAAAGTTTGGCAGGAGTCTGAGAAATCCTTGAAATAATTGGAGATACTCTATTCCATGACATCCAAACAGATGGTCAAGGAGTGAAACAGAAGCTCAATTTGAATTCCTCAAACACCAACTCATCTTCATGTCTCTAGGCAGAAAGACTCATCAAGTTCCCAAAAGCTTAGACGGATAAACAAACACTTTAAAAGGAATGTGTCATATCTTGGTATAAATGCCTATATATGGAGAAACCTAGATCCTTGAGGCTGCCTCCAAGTGAACCTGATTACTGCTCTTTTTAAAATGCTGAGTTTAAAGGATGATTTCACATTTATAGTGCAGAAGATGTGGTTTCTTTATGTCCTTTTTTAATTTAAGCAAGGTCAAAAGTTAGGTTGAGGTGATTGATAAAATTTCCAAAGATAGATTAAGGAGAACACTTTGAATTTAAAATCCTTTATTTCAACTTTCTCTTTAGTTTTGCACCAGACGAGCTTCAAACTAAAGATCTCCACACCCCCAAACAGTGAGCGAGACATTAAAGCTTCTCCATTACTGCATGACATGGATTTTTTAAAATCTCTTAACCCTGGAACACTATCACTAAAATTAGTAACATCATCACTATCGCCAGGTGATTTTTACCCGAAATAATATACCCAAGAAAAAGTACTTGTCATCAAAATAGGACAATCCATGACAAAATATAACTGAAATCATTCATGAACAAAAAAATCCCCCCCCCCCCCCCCCCACACACACACACACACACACATTTTCCCATATTTTTTCCAAATATTCACACTTATGTCACTCAAAACATATTTTGGTTAAACATTTGGGCTAAAGTTAGCTGATAGCATTGGGGAAACAGATACAATTAGCTGGTCCAGTGTGTTCAAATGTTAATATTAAGCAACATTTAGAGGTTCGATTCTAAACTGAAGCACTCCCTTGCTCACCCCTCTTATCTGTGCAGCAACGGTTGCCTTGAATGTCCCTCAAGAAGTTCCTAAAACTCATCAAAAACATCTGTTAGTGGATGTTCTGTTGTACTCCTTCTGCCACTAAAACCTCACTAAAAACAAAAATCCCTGTAAAAATATGTTTTTGTTACAAAACAGAGGTCTCTGTGATGGGAGATCCACTCTAACGTAGATAAAGGGTCTTTATGTGTTAACAAAAACAAAACTAGGTGATTACCTACTACTGCAGACAGACTTATATTTAATGTCGGCTGAGTCTGCTCTGATAAATGCTGCTGGAAACCACACTCTGGACCCTTGAGGGAGCTTGGCGTTTGAACATCTGGTGAAAAAAAAATCACGCTCTCCGCTGTGGGGTCATTTTGAGATTCAGTATGTAAACTCTAAAGCCTGTCGTGTTGTTTCTCTAAAACTGAATGTCATGTCCTTCGTTGAGTCAAACCACCGACTACAGCTTTTCAGACTTCCAGGCTGGATTTTGTTACTAATCTCTGGACATGGAAATCTTTGGACTAAGGGGCACAAAAGTTTGCAAAGTGTTTTGACCAAGAAGGATCATGCTGAAAATGAACATGCTGCTCTTTCAAAATCTCTGAAGAATGAGCATCAACTCTTAAAGTTAAGCTGACTTTTCTCCTCATAAGCACTAAAACCAGTGAATGCGGGTCCTCCATACTGTTGACCAAGTAAGAATCATTGTTAATGGACACTGAGGAGAGCTGACAGCATGTTGAGAGTTAATCAGAGCACATGAGATGAAGACATGGACATGTCAGTCAATGTTCGGTCCCTCCCTTACTTTCCTGATAATGAAACAATTGCACAGTTTCTTGGTTGGAGCTGCTCTATAATGCTGGGGGTCCCCGGACGCTCCCTGAGATAGTCTTCGACAGACAAATTAGCTGCAGATTGCTTTGAGCCGACAGAGAGGAAAGCAGCAGAAAGAGGAATGAGTCTCCGTCTTACTGTATGCGCACTTTTGTTTGTTTGTATGCACTGACATTTCAAAGCTTTTCTATTCTCTGAATGTGCTCAGCATCAGAATCAGGACCTCCTCGTGTTTCCGCTGATGGACGGAAAGTTAGCAGTCTGAAACTTCTCTTGTTTGGATACATATACATCCACTGAGCTCAGCGGGGGGGGCTGTGAGGTGAGACCACTGGTTTTACATTTAGATGAAGCTTTTCCTAAAAGTTTTTGAGTGCTGTTTTGGTGTATACCAGACACAAACGCAGACTAGAAAAAAGAAATTGAAATACTTTTGAGTCTGTTCATGTCATTTTGGGTCATAAGGAAAGTGCAAAAAGTTGTAAAACCTCTCAACTACATTGCTCCAGCATGCAAACACTTAATGGACATTAAAGTCAGTGGGGTAAATGGGCCCACCAGAGTACGTTCACTTCAGGTGTGTGCTTTTTTCAGGCCTTACTTGCACAAAAACAGCCGCATTAGAGTCATCAGTCTTTCCTTTGAATGAAGGAATAACATCATTGCATATAGATGTGTAAAAACGACTGAAACACTAGAGCACAGACACCGCTTAGTCGTCTGCCATTGCTGTTAATGTCCTCCTACTTGTGCAAGACTCTTGAACGAGGCTGTAACATCACTATCACTACAGAATATGTTCTTAAGTGGAAAACATACAGCATCTGTACTGATTGTTTTGTGTTACTGATAAATCCATAACCAAGAAGTATTTTATCTACATGACCTGATACACAGTCGGGAGTCTGCATATGGTGTTTTATTTTGAAACTTACCGGATGACATGCGCGGTTTTTCGTGCTTGACTTCCTGTCTAGAATGATCTTCTCTTGTGGCTTGACATGTGTTGGAAGCGTAGAGCAGCAAAAACAGACTTGGTGCGAATCTTTAGCAGAGCTGCGCTTGATACGCTTCTAAAGGTCCTTACATGCCAGGAACGACGCAAATATACGACACAAAATTATGAAAATTTCGGAGGTGAATTTTGACATGCCTGACTGTACACATCAAGCACGATGCGATTTTGCGTCTTTCCGGGGGGAAAAAAGATGCGTCCCGTGAATACATATGGTATGTTGTATCTGAACAGGTTAGCTTACGAGCTAAAGTTACTTAGCACTAATGAAAGTCAAACAAAGACGTTTAGCAAACTGTTAAAGCACACAAACCATCATCATATGAGAAATCTAACGCTATGACTCTCCACAAGTTGTCCTTCAGGTCATTATCTTTGTAATGTTTGTGTTTTTTTATCAAAAAGCACTCTGTTCTCGTAAACAATCAGCCGGTCAGCCATGTTGGATATACCAGTGAATCTGACGTCACAACAACACGCAATCTGATTGGTCAGAAGTGGACACACAGTATGTGAAACTTTAGAAAATACGACCGTGATCTGAAAAAATTAAATGCCGCAATATCGCAGGATGGGAAAACGTCGCTGATATAAACGGCTGTATTGACAGGATACGGGTTCGAAAAAAATAGAATAGACATCCAAAATAATCGCACAACAAAAAAAAAAAACTAGCCTGGTGTGTAAGGACCGTCACTCGACGTTACGGTGTTTTGACCCTTAATTAATTTTACGCCGAAATATCCCTTTAATTGTTCAGTAGTTAGTTCGCCGTGTTAGGGGAGTGGAAGACATTAGCCTGGGGTTCCCACTCCGTTGACTCGCTCTTTCCGCGTTTTGACACACCCACACTGTCTTGCGAGGTTAGCCGACAGACAGAATGTGATTGTAAGGTACAATACCGAAATTTCACCAAAGTAACAGAACACCAGTAAGGGAGTGATTGGGACGGAAAAAACAACTAACCCAGACAACAGCTTTCACTGTTGATGAAACGCTAATGAAAGTTTCTATTTCTGACCTCTTTTGTTGGTTTCAGATAATTTATATGTTTAACGCTTGTCAGATGGCCCCTTGAGAATTTCTGGAATCATGCACTGGTTTGCAGAGATTAAAGTCCTCGAATAGGGTGGTCTGGGTTTGATTCCAGCTCTTTCTTCCTAGTTTCTGAATCTGTGCACTGTCCTCTCTGTGGATTAAAGCTTGAAAGCTCAGTACTCAACCAAAAGAAGTTGCACAACATCCCAAAGTAAGAATTTGTCACTGCAGAAGTAGACAAACCACTTTTTAGTAGAGTTTCATGGCATCAAAGAAAAAAATGTAACAGCTGATTCAAGGCAAAATAAGGTATCCCAGTCTCTAAGAAGATCTTTGTCTGCAAAATTCGACTGTGATACATAAAATAAATGCCGCAATATCGCAGGAAAACATTGCTTGTATTGACAGGATACAGGTTCGAAAAAAATATACAAGTCCAACAAAAAAGCTCCAGGTGTGTAAGGACCTTATGCAACGATGCTACAATGGAGCTGATACGTGTCATGTGTGATGCTGCATTGATTAGAATGGCAACCTAAGTGCTGCGTGACATGCGGCGCTGACAGAACACGCTCAACACGGATCCTGTATGTTTTAGGCTTTAGAGTTCATGACAGAACTGGTGGTGTTTCCATAATCCACTCTGCACTGTGGATTTAGGATTGTTTAACTTGGGCCTCGTTGACACAAAAACCTAACATTGTGATGCAGGAGTAGACCAACAGCTCCCGTGTCCTACAGGGCAAACTCGTGTTGTTTTTGTATTGAATTCAGAGACATTAAGGAGCAGTTCGTCGGGGTTTTGGGCTCTACTCTGCAGGGATCCTTTCTGTAATGTTGTCAAAGAAACAAGAACTTTACAAGGACGTACTTTCACCCCTGAAGCTTACACTGCAGCCATTACAGCCACTTCATAAAACAAGCAACCAAACTCAATCTGTTAGTGTTCTGTTCATCAAGTAGATCGCAGATAAAACAAAGTTGGTGCTTTATGTTTGTATGCATTCATGCTCTTGATGTTTTGTCTTCCTGCCTGTTCTTTTATAGTCTATTACTCATCCAGTGATATGATGTCAAAGGAAGATGTCTCTGCTTAAAACTGCAGGCTCTGAACTGGTTTGGATTTGGGAAACTGGGCTGTGCTCAGACAAAAAAAGTAAAATAAGCACTTGTACAAAACTCTGAACAAGTGAAAGCGCTCGCAGGTAGAGAAGTGGAGTCTCTCCAAAATGAACCCTTTTAAGTTGAGCCTTTAATGCTCCGGCTTTCAGATATTCTCTGCAGGGTTACAGCCGCTCTCAGGCCTGCCTGCTAAACTTTAGTGGACTAATAACCCTGTATGCTCCAGAGCAGCAGGAAGCCAGCTCCAGGGATGTGTGTGTGCCTTCAAAAAAATTAATTTATGGAGGTGAAAATGATGCTTCGAATCCTTGGCAGAGGGGGAAATATTTGTGCCTGCTGCAGTGAATGCTGAACGCTCCATCTCCAGTCTCTGCATTTCTTTTGTATGGGAAGTGATGGGGTCAGTGCAGACTGCTTTGAACCATAAGCAGAGTCCAGATTTAACTGTCAGGTAAATCCCTCTGAGCCGCAGATCAAAGTGCCAGATGACAGCTCGCTCTCTCTGTAGACCCAGCAGCAGAGAAATGTTGGGCTTGTTCCTGAGCTCACAGCTTTTTATCGGGGATATTTCAGACTTTGTGAACAGCCAGCATGCTTCAATTAACTTTAACATGTAGTGATCGTCTGTAATCCTCTGGTTTGCAAACATTAATGCTTTAAGTCTCCTCTTTTGGAGGTCCATTTTATTGTCGCTTTCACAGATTGGATATATTTGTTCACCTGTTCAGTGCCACGGCTTTATGAATTTGAAGATCTGGTTTCATCAGATTTGATTTTCCCTCTGAGAGATGCAAGGACAGAAAAACCCTGCACACATAATCTCATTTGGGGTTGATTTTCAGCTTTTAATTTTTAAAGATGTTTGCAGGTTTGCACAAAAACCATAATTTAGGTTTTAATTGAAATTTGTCTGTATTATATTTTAGAGCAAATGTGACTCATGAGCAGGCACGAATGAATTCATCATACAGGACTTTTCCCCAAACACAAGTCTGGTGTAGTCCTTGTCTATTTTCAGTTTATTTCTGAGCAAAAATCGTAAAAATGTAACCACTTTGTTCATAAAAAGTATGGTGTAATTTTTTTTCTCTGGTCTGAAGTAACCAAACCCAGATACGTGGCTGCCAATTTCACCCATTTTTGGACATCTTCTTTATCTGTTTGGTGAAACTTGTGAAGCAGAAGCAGTGTTTGGGTTTTAGTGCTGTGCCTTAGACACATTTTAAAACTTTCATTTTGTTCAGTTTCTTGTAGAGGTTGTTCTTGAGACGTGATGTGACTGGGCTGATTTCAACCAAAGCTGTCAGGTACCAGTTTGATGTAGTCGTTCAATCTTGCAGAGCTGGAGCTTGTCAACAGGTAAGGCAGGCAGTTGTTTGGGGCCCCAGGCCACTAGGGGGCCCCCAAGGGCTGTCAAACCTTTTTCCACAAAAATGTCCTGAAATACTGCAACCCCATTCAACAGCTAATGGTCAAAATGCAATGACATCTTAGACGGATACCCTCCTAAAGGGGCCCCATTAATTTAAGGTCAAACACACCGTAACACTACGTTAGACACCCCCTCGAGAGATGAATGTTGCCGATTGCTTTCTTCTCTAGTTATGCCAACTTTAGCAAAGACCACATACAGAGCCACACACAAACTTCAATCAAAACGCCACTCTATATCATTTCTTTATCGTTTCCTTGAAGTAATAATCACCATATTAATCATTTTGCACTGCAGACGCAGGAGTTCCTCTGCCTTCGTGTCCCAGGTGGAAGGTTGTTGCTTTACTTTCAACGTTAGGTAACAACCGAGACCTAATGGTGCTGTGACAGCAATGCAAATGAGTTTGAGAAAGTGAAAATACATATGGTATGTTGTATCTGAACAGGTGAGCTTACGAGCTAAAGTTACTTAGCGCCGATGAAAGTTAAAACAAAGACGTTTAGCAAACTGTTAAAGCACACAAACCATCGTCATATGAGAAATCCGACGCTATGACTCTCCAGAAGTTGTCCTTCAGGTCGTTATCTTTGTAATATTTGCGTTTTTTATCAAAAAGTACTCTGTTCTCCGACATGTAAACAATCAGCCGGTCGGCCATGTTGGATATACCAATGAATCTGACGTTGCAACAACACGAAATCTGATTGGTCAGAAGTGGACACACAGTATGCGAAACTTTAGATAATTCCACCATGATATGAAAAAATAAATAAATAAAAAGGATGGGAAAACGTTGTTGATGTGAACGCTTGTATTGACAGGATAAGGGTTCGAAAAAAAATATTGACGTCCAAAATAATCACACGAAAAAACTATCCCGGTGTGTAAGGACCTTAACTCGACGTCATGGTGTTTTTGACCCTAAATTAATTTTAAGCCGGAATATCCCTTTAATTGTTCGGTAGTTAGTTAGTTTGCCGTGTTAGTGAAGTGGAAGACATAAGCCTGGGGTTCCCACTTCGTTGACTCGCTGTTTCCGTGTGTTGAACATCCACACTGTCTTGCGAGGTTAGCCGACAGACAGAATGTGATTGTAAGGTACAATACTGAAATTTCAAGTAACAGAACACCAGTAAGGGAGTGATTGGGACGGAAAAAACAACTAACCCAGACAACAGTTTTCACTGTTGATGAAACGTTATTGAAAGTTTCTGTTTCGGACTTCTTTTGTTAGTTTCAGATAATTTATATGTTTAACGCTTGTCAGAGGGGCCCCTTGAGAATTTCTGGAATCATGCACTGGTTTGCAGAGATTAAAGGCCTCGAATAGGGTGGTCTGGGTTTGATTCCAGCTCTTTCTTCCTAGTTTCTGAATCTGTGCACTGTCCTCTCTGTGGATTAAAGCTTGAAAGCTCAGTACTCAACCAAAAGAAGTTGCACAACATCCCAAAGTAAGAATTCGTCACTGCAGAAGTAGACAAACCACTTTTTAGTAGAGTTTCATGGCATCAAAGAAAGAAATGTAACAGCTGATTCAAGTCAAAATAAGGTATCCCAGTCTCTAAGAAGATCTTTGTCTGCAGGGATCCCTTTTGTAATGTCAGACACTCACTTACTTGCTGACTTTAAGGTGAGTCCCTGAGTCTCTGTTAAGTCGGTGAGGGCTTAGGGGTGTCAGTGAGTACGAGACTTTTGAGCCCTTTATGCACTTTTTCCATAAGTGGGCATATCTGCAGATTTAGAGTGAGGGAATTACACCTAGTTCACAGCACTGTGACGTGAACTATGGGATCTCCAGGGGAAGCCTGCAAGCATGGAGGGGTGAGAGAGAGACTGTAAACAAGACGCAACAACCCCAGTTTCGTCTAAATACGAAAAAATGCCTATCACAGTCCTAGGTAGAAACAGCACTTTACATTTGCTACAGTTTCTTGCAGGCGTGGTCCACTCTGCAACATAATTTAGCTAATTCAGAGAGACTCATCCAAACACTCATCTCAGCCTGAATGTGAGCTCTGCCCAGAACATTTTCAGCACTTCACTTTGCATCAGAAAGCCCATTTGTTTGCAGTCAGGGTCACAGAGTGCTGTCCCATTACTATCTACACCATTTTGGGTCTGCAGCCTTTGCACTCAGTCACTTTCCAAGTGACATCAATTAAATCCCTAAGAGCTCAGGGTTTAAGGTGGAAATTGAGATTCAGCCTTTAAATAACAACCAGAGTTCGCCAGTGACAGAAATAATAACTTTGAAAGAATGGACTCTAATCTGCAGCCATCATTGCCCGTTTCTCTCGATCTGCCTCCGATGTCACTACACCTGCATATTTTTGTGAATGAATAAGTCTTGGATGAATCGTTCTCATGATTAGCCTTTAAATAGAACAAATCTGAATGAATGCATGCCAACCAGGAACCAGGACCAGCCCTTGGGACGTTCATCGTTTCCTTTTTATCATCAACGTTTCAAATTAGCCCAGACCTTAAACCATCCAAAACCCCTATTTTTGGAATAAAAGTATCTGGCATGATGATTAACATCCAGAAGTTATGTTGTCACAAGGACATTTAAGTCATGCAGAGATGAAATTTTACCAAGACACATAGTGGAAAGCTTCAAGTCCCACTCCAATCATTTTTTTTTTTAAACTACTTCAAGTGTTATCAGTGGTCTTGAAATTGTGATTATGGAGTTTTTAGCCAAAATCACTAAGCTGTGTCATTGTCAAGGACTTTTCTTCTCCAGTAGCTTATTAGCAAAATTCGCCTCTGAATCGTAGGCGGAGACAGTGCTGCTCTGTACAATCCTCTTCATGCTAGCTAGCAGCCTAATTTTGCTAGCTTAGAGGAAGTAGCAGGTAACATAGGAGCTATTCAGCCCTGCGACACTAATGTCTTTAGGGACATGATGGACGCAAATATCATAAATAACTTTCTTATGAGCAGTGCAATCAGCTAACACACACGCTTGTTCCGTGATCGTCCTCTGTGCTGGAGCTTGGATTTGCTACGTTGGCAACTGTGTCTGAGCCTGCCTTTTGGGTCTGCTCGCGATTCTCAGTGATTTAAATGCAGAAATACTCAGAAATACAATTTCGCACTTATTTTTCTCATGATATGTCCTGTAGCGTCAGAAAAATTCCATATGAACATGTAGACAACAAGAAAAACATGATTTTTATCGGAGATTAGTGTTTCACTGTCACAATTTTTTTAAATCAATATCCACAGAAAGACAATAAAATTAAATCAAAATAATGGAGAAAGGCTGTTTTTTTACATTTAATGTTTGTTCAGTCAGGATCACTTTAGTCAAGTTTTATTATTTATTACAAGCAAACATTTTTACATCGGCGGTATGGCTCTGTTCTGAGGGTTCCCTGCCCTTCCATGTGCTTGCACAGAATGCCACAGCTATACACCAATTCGGGTGAGCGGTTTGTGTACACCGCCATCTTGTGGTGGTGCCATTGCTGCAGTGTGTGACATCATGAAGTTGTCATGCTATCAACAAATAAACTAGTAAATAGTGTCTCAGAGCATCATTGACAGCATGAGTGAAGTCACCTGGTTTGATGATGTCAGACAGTGGCCTCCGGTTACTAATGAAGGTATCTTAAATTAATACCGATATTAATTTGGGAATTAATAAGATGAAAAGAATGAAGTATTTCATTGTGAAATACTGAAGTAGGAGGAAATGTGTGTGTAAACACTGGCTAGGCTACATTTATACTGACCCTCGCAAGCTAATCATTATGTACAAGCCTACGTGGTTAAAAAATAATGTAGGAATTAAGTATTTGTTTCGTGGGCGATCAGTGTTATGCCGAGAAATGCATGCCTGCCAAGATCTAAATGCGGGGCATGGGATCGTGCACAACTGAATGGATGTTACATTAGCTCAGCTCTCAGCAACATGGACAGTCTTCTTTCAGTAACGGCATGTGCGTCTCACATATCGACTTTTTCCACAACTGTAGTGTTTTACTGTTGTTGTAACAGCCGATGACGACACACGTCCTCCCAGACTGTCTTGACATAGTTGTGCAGGGTTGCTTGTGTCGCTGCTCGCTGCTTACAGCACTGCTTCTCGTTCGCTTCGCACACACCGCAGTAATGGCGGCCGTACTACTTCTGGTCATTTCACCGAATCAGTGTATAAGAGGGGAGAGCTCCTCCCCTCCCTTTCATGTGCATACATGAATGCTTCTTATTTGCTTTTTATGACCTTTATATCATAAAAATGACACTTTCTGTTGTTACAGGTTGTTACAAGTTAAACTGACCTTTGAGGTTATTCAGGATCATGGGGATGGTCTGAACTCAGTCTGGAGCTTGGTTTTATTTGAACTAATTTCATATAAAAAGTTATGCTGATACTAACTACAACGTTCCAATTTGTTTCAGATCACACTTCCAAATTTAATGTTTGTGGATAATTATGCGTTGTGCCAGATGCTTTTAGCAAGACCAAACAGCCCTGAGCTGGTAGAGGTCTTATCATCCTTAGATGGCCTACAGTCTGGGTTAACTAGGAACACTAGAGGAAAAAAGAAACAGACAAACCAAACCCCAGGGCCTACTTAAAAAAATACTTTTGTGAGTTTTTTAGTCATGTAGACCTCTCAGTGTGTAATAGGATTTCAGATATCAGAGTTTTGTCTGATAACAAAAGTAGGAAAGCAGACGAGGTCTTCTGAAATACGCTGCTCTTCTCTCTTTAGTTTACTCCATTTGTCGGGCTTTTACCTGACGTCTACATAAACCTGAAACCCACAGTGTGATAAGTCAGAGTATAAGGATGTTCACTCCCTGGTTTTTGTGTGATATCAGACTAATAACTCTGTTGTGTTGGTGCTTCAATTCACGTCTGGCTCTCGGAGAGAAGTTTCACCCACACTAATGGCAGAAAGCAGCTGAACAGGGTGAAAGGTAGAGAGATGGAGATGGGGCTTTCTGTGCACTCTATAACACACTGGGAGAAACCTCTGTGTGTATGTGTGTTTAATGGAGGGCATCCAACACTGACTGAAACACAAAATCCACAGAGATGATCGAGTTCGCTGCTTATATGTTTTTATAACAGAGTAAAAGAAATGTCAGGATGTCCTTTTATGGGCCTTACAGGAAGTTGGTTTAGCCATCCTGAGTTTGAGAAGTATGTGATCACCGCAAGACCGACCCAAGGTGTAAGCTGGAGACTCAGTACATGACCAGACAAAGGAGAAGACCCTGGAGATGTATTCATTGTTTGTTTCTTCTGTGAGATGATAAAAGTTTCTGAACCTGAGATCTGACCAAATCAGTGCAACTCTCATGTGCGTAACAGTCAGAGCAGAGGGAGATGCTTACAACAGTGTGGATCAGTGGCGGATTTATGGGGTGGCTACTTGGGCTCAAGCCCCGGATGTTTTCTCAAGAGCCCCAGGATCTTGGCTCTGAGCTGGTCTGGGTTTAATGTGCAGTATTTGAGGTCACCAGAGAGTGGCAGAATGCGCAGGAAAGCAGCCTGTAGCCTTCCTGTTTAGATGAAGAAGTGTTTCCCTCTGGTGGCTGTTACTACTCTTCTACTCTACTGCCAGCATCTAACGACGAGTCAAGTGACTCCACGGCAAATTTTAACCCATTTAAACCAGGACAGCTTGTGCGCATTTCAACGTTCCAAGCCGGGAGCGCGGATACGTCATTTTGTAACATTCTGTAGTTTTTCAATCATTTCTGGAGTCGTGGCGAATCAAATCATCATACCCGTCTACCTCTGACTCTGGCTAATAAATCTTAATAAAGTGATCGGGTTCATGCTCGGATCTTGCTACATGCTTTGTGAGGAAAGTAAACAGTGACGGAGGCAGAGAGCAGCTTTGGAGGAGAAGAATCCAGCAGTGCGAACAACCTCTCCATATTGAGTGTTTTGGCTCACACTTTAAGCGATTCCTGTGAGTGTTTCATGACTTTGGGTGAGCACAGACATGAACACGCTGTCAGCAAAGGCAAAGAAGATGAAAAAGGGTTGAGAATAAAAGATTGAAGAACAGAGCGGTAAAGGACAGCAGAGGTGCCAGCCAGGATCACGGGTATAGCAGTAAGGAAATAAGATTCATTTATCGTACTTTATTTTACATCTTTAGTTTGTGTCCTTTGTGTCTTTTGCCGGCTTTGAAATGGTGGTAAGTTGAAGTAAAAAAAAATTGTAGTTTTGTGTGCGTGGCAGCAAAAAAAGACTGAAAAAGTTAATCGGCATCTGCACCCTCAGGGCTGAGCCCCTAATCGCCTAGAATCCTCGATCCGCCCCTGGTGTGGATGTTCATGAATGTCTAAGATAAGCTGCTTTTCTTTCTCCTTTCTGTTGATCTTTGACAAATTATTTTTCTAGAAACTGAAAACAAAATAAAAACAAAAATCCCCCAAATCCCTCAATATTTTATGATTCACACTTACGTCAAACTCTGTTTTAACTTCAGCTCATCACATACTGACTTCTGATCTGTTTCAAGGCTCCCCTCAGTGACTGTTTCAAAGTCTGTCTCATCCCCGTTGTTCCCCAAGTGAGGTGAAGTCTGAGTGAAGTCCAGTGTGCCTCGGTGTCTAATCAGTGAGAGGACTGTTGTAAAAGCTGCTTTCATTCATCCTCTCTTATCGTTCCTTTGATTTCCCTCCTCTCACTTTGACCCTCTCCCAATCCGAGCTGAGTTCAAGTCTTTGGGGTGCAAGTTAGCGAGACGAGTTTGTAAGTGCTTACCGCTGGACGGTGGGAGGCAGCTGGAGTACCTGGAGGGATCCAGCTCATGCGAACAAGCATGTAAACTCCACATAGAGAGAACCAAGCCAAGATCAAAGCTCATTTATGCTCAACGTTACATACAGATCCGGATACGGACTGACCTCTCTGTACGTGCCTCACATTCTTTTTCTCTGTATTTCTGTTTACAGATTTGGGCTAGATGGAGCAGTACCACCGGAAACCATGGGGGCAGTGTTGCTACTGTCACTCCCCTATACGCATCTCTGTAGAGAAATGAAGAAGACAATGGTGGGGCTTTTTGAGGAAATGTTGTGTGAGCAGGTACTCAATTACAAACATATTGTCCGGGACACGGGGATAATAAACTCCGGAACAGCTGGGAGGAAATTTGGAGAGAGCTAATTGTTAGCTGGTCAGACGCGAAGGAGAAAATCCACAGTCGCCATGTTTCTTTTTGTTTGTTGTTGTCAGAAACTTTTAACTCCAGCCTGCCCTCTGGTGGATGTAATGTAATTAACATCCATGCCAACATAAAGGACGCATGGAAGTATGTAAGCAGTGACAGAACCATCATTTGAACTAGATGCGTACATTTTCATATGTACGGTGAGCATAAATGAGCCTTTAGAACCAGGACAACCCTTTTAAAAATACGTCAACCAGATATTCATAATGAGTCAGTTATGCATTCAATCCACAAACTAAGGAGGTTTTTTTTTTAATCAAAGCACACAACAGAGCACCAATCTTTGTCCACAGGGGGCGCCAAATTTAAACAAATTCAAATTCAAAAGAGCGTAAAGGTATAATCTGGTGTATATTTAAGTTATAGTCAACCACACCGTAAGACCTGGCGAGTCGATCACCAAGCGGAAAATTTATGATTATTACTTTATGGAAATGTAATTAGACCAAGACACTAAGACAGAAGAACTACCACGTCTGCAGTGCAAAATGATTGATATGATGATTATAACTTCAAGGAAATGATCTGCTGCACATGGTGATCGACTTGTCAGGGCTCCCCCCACAAATAAAAGGCTGCTGGAGGAGAGTGGGTGAGTTGTGTTTGGTCTTTTTGCCAAAGAAACCAGGCAAAGCTAAAAAGATATTTGGTGGCTAGTACTTTGGCTGGGACCCTATATGTACTGTTGATGAAGTTAGGTGCTGTTCTGAGCATTATTTGTGTCTATAGAGTGGCTTTTTGTTTGAGGTTTGCACGTGGAGATGTAGACCGCTGTGTATTGCTATCGTGTGGTCGTTACTAAAGTTGTTATAACTAAAGTAACAAGCAGTCCTCAACAATCATCTCTTGAGGGGGTGTCTAACTCGATGTTTCGGTGTGTTTGACAATAACAAATTTTCACCAGAATATCCCTTTAAATTGACATGCAAATACACAGTTTTTGATAAAGCATCCTTATTTGCAGCAGACTGCCTCTGAAAGTGTAAAAACGTAATCTTTTTGCAAGATTGAAACCTTATTTTGTCTGCCAATACCTTCATTTGAGGCCATTTCACTTCAAAGCTTTTACCGTCCTGTGGTGATTGCATTTTATTCTTCATCCATCGTTGTAGTGGTAATGGTACTACTTTCTGCTGTCTGGCTGTTCACTTCCAACAGCGTCTGCAAGAGCAAAGTTGCTGTTTCATGCAGATGCAACAAGAGATTTGATTGAAAGTGTTTGAATGGTTGCGTGATAGATTTTGTGTCCACACGCTGAGAAGAAATGACTTTATTCTCTCTGAAATATGAGCAAACGTCGCCCATTTCCAGATCTGAATCACTGCCTCCCCATGGTTTGAAAAATTCAAGCATATTAGAGCCTCTTGAAAGAAATTAGAAATAAAAGCTTTGGTCACAAGGACCCATTTTCATCCACCTGCATCTGTACTTTAAGTAGAATATATGCGATGGAAAAACATGGAGAGTAATCATCAGATATTATCCATTTACCCAATAATTGTAACAAAATTAGAGGTTTCTTTCTGCAAGGCTTTTTAAGACGGATGTAGAAAATTTCTCTGATGTTACCCACCGGAGAAAGACATCTTCAAAGAAAGCTGCAGTACAGATACAGAGTTGTGTATCTGTGTGTACATGTGTGTAAAAGTGTGCTGTGTAGAGGTCAGGGGGCATCAGTGAAAACCTGATCTCCTGTTATCCTCCAGCCAACCTTGTCTTGCTCTTCAAGAAGTGCCTGAAAAGCTCTGGTAGCGCAGCAGCGGGGTGGGAAGCTTTATTTGCATTAAGAGTGAGTAAAAAAAGAATTTAAGGCCGGCTGAAAAATCAGAAAGCGTTTCCATCACTCATGGTAATGAGACGGCACTGAGAGTGCAAACCTCCATACCAGATGAACTGCTCCTGAACTAGAGTTTCACCCACGAGCATCATTTCTTTCTCTTAGATTTCACTTAATTCGCCTTCTTGACCCTTAAAATGTTCCCCGAGGAGCTGGACTCTCTGCGAGCTTCAAAGATGAGATATTATTGTAGAAATATAGAAAAAAAAGATAACAAACCAATTCTGAGGGCAATTGTTCTTTGGCCTGAGATCTGTCTGTTAGATTTTACAGAAGTATAAATGCTTTTTTTAACCAAACTGTGGCAGAGAAGAAGAATAAAAGCTAAATCTATGCTTCTAACCTCTTAAAAAAAATCTGTTTTTATTTGACCTTTTTATCCTCACATGACAAAAACATGAAGAGACTGTAAGTTTGACTGTTAAAGTCCTCAGACAGTTGTCAGGATTAATGGGTCAAATTAAGGTTTGCTTCCTTATTTCTAATAACTATTTAGTCATTTTAGTCATCACACCGCATCTCTAGAATCAACGTTTCCTTTTGATCCACTTTCCTGGGGTCCGGGGGGTATCAAGCCAGTCGACCTAGAAACGTCTCTCTCTTTCTCCAGCAACATTTTCAAGCCCCCTCCTGAGGGATCCTGAGGTGTATTCAGACCAGATAGGATTCGTACGGTGGCATAAATGTTTCAGGAGTGTAATAATGAATACTTCAAAAACACAAAAACATTTTAAAAAATGCAACAGTATTCCTTTTTGTGATGCAAAGGATCAACAGCTTTACTCCAAAACTACTACTACTACTCCTCCAGGAGACTCATTCTGTCCACCTGCATTCACAATTTCAGTTTTCCTGTCACTAACCAGAGCCCAGATGGGAATCAAGAACTGGATTCAGATCAGAACAGGTATTAAACTACTTCAGGACATCAACGTATTTGCTGTTATGCTTGACAGTAGACAGGAGCCGCCCAAAACCCTGTAACACATAGACTCCAAACACACTTACGGCAAACTGAGTGACAGTCAAACAAAGGAAGCACTTCGCACATCTATGAAAACATGACAGGTGCGTTGGAGAAAAAAGACCAAAATACAAGATAATAGATAAAATACATAAAAAAACCAAAATAAAAAATAAAATAAATAAAAAGACAACATAATGGCTGCCTAATTTCTAAAAAATGTGGAAACTGCAAAGGTTTTTGTCATCCCCAAGATTTTTTTACTAATCAGTAGGGGCTTAAAAAATTGCAGCAAAAAAGCATACATATATAAATGGACATAATATGTTGTGGGTATCTGGATCACTTTTTCTGTTGTTGCCATTCACTCAGTGTGTGTAGTTCAAAATGCACAAAATGAACTTTGAATCATTATTATTAGATGTATATTTTGATGAGCGATGTGCCCTTTTGTACTGGATATGGAGATTTGTTAATTAAATATGTCTGTTTTTAACTTACAATGTAAACTTATCTCCTAATTTTTTTTTTTTTAAATACTGATTTATTTATAATCGATTCACGATGTTATGGATTTCTCTTCTGGACGTGTGGGTATTACTTTAGACTGATGTCACACAAAGTGTTTTGTTGTTTATTTGCTGTCTCTTTGGTTAAATTACCCGATGATGATGATGATTTTGTCCCTCTGTGTTTACACGTGAGAACGGGATTGGTCATGGAGAAACGACCACTCCCTGATGAAGGTCTAGCACCGAAACGTTGCAAATTAATGATTGATAGCAAGTTGGACAGTGTGCGGGAATCCCTTTGCTACAAACTGAGTGACAGTAAAATCTACTCGCTCTGTGAGCCCGACAGCTAAACCCTGTGTGTGTTTTTCTGCCACATCCAGGAGCTTTTCCACAGAGAAGATCATATTATTTCAGGGGCTGTTCCTCAAAAACAAAGGTTATCTGTGATAAGGAATCTCTGTCGTTAGCTGACTGTGCTGATCACAGACTTTGGTTTTCTCCATGTGGAAAATCCACATGAATTGATGTAGGATCAACAAATGGTTGGACCAATTTGCCTAATCAATAATGGCATTAGTATTGATAAAATCCAGTGAAGTAACATCCAGGTGTCGACTCTCTGCTGCTGCGATTTTTCCACCTCCCGCCTTTTGACTTTCAGCTCTCAGTGAACCAGAAGCGTCTGAAACTAATGGAGAGCTGATGCGGAATAAATAGAAACACAGTCGCGCTGTGATTGTTGACAGAATGACACCTTTCTCCTCACAACCGCCAATCATAACAGAGCCAGGCTGTGGCCAATCAGCAGTCAGCGTGGATTACTTTCCTGCCAAACAAATAATCCATCTTAATCCAGCGCGGCAGCTGTGTGACGATGGCCTCCCACCCTGCCACTTAGCGTGGGACAGAGCGAGCTCTAATGCAGCCGTAATGAAGCTCTGACACACTTTGTTTCCTCACTGTGCTGACTCATACAGCCGGGGACATGCGTGATTACACAAACTAATGCACAGCGCTTATGATTTTATGTGATTAAGACAAAAAACCTAAAACCAAGCGGGGAGAGCGGCGGTGCTCACGCTGTCTGCCAGCGGCTAATGGGCTGTGAGTGACCGCGGTCTGCCAGCGCTGCGAGGCGCGTCGGCTCTGCTCAGGTCAAGGTCATGGAATGGGTTGTTGTCCTCACAGCCAGGCTCTCACTCTGGGGTTTGTCGTTTTTGTCTGAGGTGAGCGTGTGGAGGGATACCTGAGGGATTTCTGTTTTGCATCTGCTGTTTGTAAAGCATTGTGAGTCTCTTTATCTGAGTGTTTTAGTTGCCTAACCTGCAAATTGAATTGTTTAGTGGGAAAGATTGTCTAGTTTTTAAGGGAATACTTCAAAAACAAATGTGCAAAAAAAACACAGTTAGACAAAATATTGAAGAGCACAAAACAAAGACAAAGACGAAACTGTTTATTTTTTCTGTAGAAACTTGTCTGTGCAAGATGGCTGCCACCACTCCTATATATAAAAAAACTATAACAAAAATAAACCATATTTATTTTACACATTCTTTGAACATGGTCCTGTTATTTCAGAGGCATTTTGTAAACAAGGAGGAAGATAATCAGCATGTTATTTTAAAGAGAAGTGAGACGTCATTAGCCTGCGTGTGGAAGTTATGAAGCCGGTCATGGTTGTTCAAGAGAATGAAAGTTTGTAAATGCACGCTACTCTTCCTGAATGAATGAAGGGGCCAAATTGAAACACCCATGAAGAGACGAGGACTCATGGGTACACTATCGCGCCTTCCTGTCCTGCTTTCTCTTGGATATCTAACTGGATGTTGTTTATTTGTTATCTTGAACTCTTGTCAGCTTGTCTGCATAACCAAGACCAAGACCCAGATGAGGTCATTAGGAGTTTTGAGTTAAAACGACCCAAATCGAATCGTCTCCACACACCAAGCACGAGTAGAATCATTCGCTAAGTCAATGCAAAGACGCAATTGCAGTACTTGAGATCGGTCTTGGTCTTGAGACCAATTTTTTTAGGGTCTTGGTGTTGTCTCGGAATCAAAGGCATTTTTACTCGGTCTTGGAGTGAGCAGACTCTGGTTTTTGAACAGCGGTCGAGCTTATAACTTCACATCATTGGTAGTAATGATTACCTGCCCAGTGTCACACAGTCTGACTGACTGACACACCCCCTCCATACAGAGAGAGGGCGGAGACGACAGGAGTAGAGGCTGTCTTCATGCTCGGCACCCGGTGAACTCGTCATGAAAGATGTCTACCAACTCAGCAATACTTTGGTTTCCATTAAGTTTGGTTTCCTAAACCACAAGGAGTTTATTTGTAAAACAACATACAAGCGAAAACACTTGTCAGTGTGCAAATTCTGCAGTGCACAACTCACAGAAACAGCTGGTACAACTTTAAACTTTTACTGTCACCTCGAGAGGAAGCATAGAGACAGGTAAGCTAATGGTTACCATACAGTACTGTTGTAGTACTCAAGATCGGTCTTGGTCTCGAGACCATTTTTTGAGGGTCTTGGTGTCCTTTTGGAATCAAAGGCATTTTTCACTCGGTCTTGTCTCGGTCTCGGTCCTCTCTGGTCTCGGTTGGTTTGGTCTTGACTACAACACTACGTTTTACTCTGACGGCACGAATGACGCATGTGGGCATGAGCTGAAAATGTCTCAGCTGGAGCAGATATTCACTTTGTGATAGCCAACCAGCATGAAGGTTGCAAGGTGACATGAAAACAGACTTTTGTTCACTGGTATCTAAAATGGAGGACAAACTGATCATGTTGGTGTGGGGGTTCCCATAATTATACAAAACCTTTTCTTTCAATTACCCAAACCGGAGTAAAAAGGAACTCGCCTGGAGGAAAGTGAATGAAGAGGTCAAATTACCTGGTAAATTGTAAAAAAAAAAATTGTGTATCACTTGATCCAACCAGTTGAATTGGCAGGAATTACCGTTGAAATTACCGTTGACGCACGAATGAAGTGAGTAAAGACTATTCATTCTCACGTCTAGATTTGTGCGAATTAAGAGAGTAGATGATTTTACTTGCGCTTGGTGTGAGCGCCCCATAAAAGGCTAACCTCAGTTTGACCCTTCAGATCCCAAACACACTGATATTGCAGCTAAATTGAATAGAATTTATTCCTGTGAGGATTTTCATTCATGTCCACACACCTTTCCGCTACCTGTCAGGTGCTCAAATTAAAGCCAATTTAGCTGTTTGGACGTCCTGAGAGACTGTCAGGTGGATCTGATGCAATGGTATACAATAGCAAAAGAAAAAAAAAGCAAAATACGGACATGCATGATGAAAGAGCTGATTCAAAGAGACAGAAAAACAGTCATGACGGAGGATTTCAGGACTGCTGATACTCTAGCTCGGTTTTACTTAAAAACATGAATTAAACTCCAACAAACAGCAGCTGCAGCTCTGAAGTCTGCTCCTCACTTTATGATATTTATTTCATATTGCAATCCATGACACCCCATCTGTCTATCTCCCCGACACTGTGGCAGCTGTCGTTCATGATCTGGATCAAAAAGCTCTCTTGGTCAGCGGATCGCTCAGAGATTTCTGCGTGCGTCCCAAGGTTGGAGAGAAACTGAGGGGGGACATCAATCCAAATTCATGAAGTTCAGGAGTGACGGGAGACATCTGCAAGGTGCACTTCTCCGTTTGAGGAGTGAGGATCACTGACAGGTCAAGGAGAGAGGAGGGAGGAGATATCTTTGCAAAACAGAAGCTGGAAACACTGTCGGCACTCCAAAATAGAGAAGAGGAGGATAGGAAAGAGGAAAATGAATAAAAGAAACAAGGGTCAGAACTCGGAAAGAACGAACAGCACAACAAACTCTCGTCTAACTCCTACTCACTGCTCTTATTACAACCTTCTACAGGCCAAAAGCAGCATTTTACAGCCGCTCTTCAGCCGCATTCCCTTTGAACTCAGAAAACATGAAACCAATTTACAGATGAACCATAAAAAAGAAAGAAATGACACTCATGTTAAATAGCATTTTATTGAAACGTCTCCAGAAAGGTCAAAGGTTATTGAGTGGGAGGTTCGAGTTGTTGATCCACCGCGTCAACAGTAAGTTTTTCATCGCTGTTTTTTAGTGACTTTATTGGCTTTTTTGGCCCCTGACCCCCAGTCCATTTTTGATATTGGAGTCCAAGTCTGATACTTATGAGCTGCAGCTAGTTTTAAAACAAAAAAATCCAAAGATGTCTTCTGTTTATTCTGATAGAATACTCACATGCCGTACCAAACTTTCCATTTACAGGATGATTGTGCTGACTGTTTAAGTCATGTTGTGTGTGTCTATGTGTTCAAACTTTGTTCAAGTTTGTTATTTAAGTAAAAAAATGAAAGTGATAACTGAAAAGGGGAAAATCAATTCTTGCCTGGTGCTTTTAGACCAACTAGGTCCTTACAGGTCCTTACACACCGGGAATGACGCAAATATAAGACGCAAAATTACGGAATATTTGGAGGTGAATTTTAATGCACCTGACTATACACATCAAGCGAAATGCATTTCGTGACTTTCTGGGTGGAAAAAAGGCGCAGTGGAAGCAAGAAGACTGACACAACATCAGACTGACTGTTTCTCAGTTCTGATTAGACACTAGTGTTGAGATGTCTGTCTGTCATGATAGCATGTACTGAGTCAGGGCCAGTACCAGATAAGCAGATTAAACTATAATCCATAAACGTAAGGTAACAACAGAGACCTAATGGTGCTGTGAAAGCAATGCGATTGAGTTTGAGACAGTGAAAATACATATGGTATGTTGTATCTGAACAGGTTAGCTTTCAAGCTAAAGTTACTTAGCACAGATGAAAGTTCAAACAAAGACGTTGAGCAAACTGTTAAAGCCCACAAACCATCGTCATATGAGAAATCCGACGCTATGACTCTCCACAAGTTGTCCTTCAGGTCGTTATCTTTGTAATGTTTGTTTTTTTTATCAAGAAGCACTCTGTTCTCCGACACGTAAACAATTAGCCGGTCGGCCATGTTGTGATATACCGGTGAATCTGATGTGGCAACAACACGAAATCTGATTGGTCAGAAGTGGACACACAGTATGTGAAACTTAAATTGAAATTCGACCATGATGTGAAAAATTAAATGCCGCAATATCGCAGGACGGGAAAATGTTGCTGATGAGAACGCTTGTATTGACAGGATACAGGTTCGAAAAAAAATATTGATGTCCGAAATAATCACACAAAATAAACCCCTCCCAGTGTGTAAGGACCTTACATCTTGAAATTTTCCAATGTTACTCATAGCAAGTGTTGCCAGATCTTGTGAGAGAAACAAGCAACAAGTTCTATAAAAACAAGCTCAGGTAGTGCCACATTACAAAAAATAAAATGAAAAATAAAACCCACTCATTTTAAAAGTGTGGCAGCTAATTTCATGTTAGGGACCTAGTTACATTATGCATTAGCAAAATTATGATAAACACAGTTAACATAAAAACTTTGAATAACTTACATTTTTAAACTTTGATTTAAAGAAAAGGGTTTGGGTGTATATATATATATATATATATATATATATATATATATATACAGTATATCACAAAAGTGAGTACACCCTTTAGATTTTTGCAAATATTCTGTTATATCCTTTCAGGGGATAACACTATCTTAATGAAACTTTGAAATAATGCAAAGTAGTCAGTGTGCTGCTTGAATAACAGTATAGATTTATTGTCAATTGAAAATTACTCTGTACACAGCTGTTAACGTCTAAACAGCTGGCAACAAAAATGAGTACACCCCGTAGTGAACATGTCTAAATTGTGCCCAAAGTGTCAATATTTTGTGTGACCACCATTGTTATCTAGCACTGCTTTAACCCTCCTGGGCATGGAATTCACCAGAGCTGCACAGGTTGCTTCTGGAATCTTCTTCCACTCCTCCATGACGACATCACGGAGCTCATGGATGTTGGACACCTTGCACTCCTCCACCTGCCTCTTGAGGATGCCCCACATGTGCTCAATTGGGTTTAGGTCTGGAGACATACTCGGCCAGTCCATCACTTTAACCTTCAGCTTCTTCAGCAAGGCTGTTGTCATCTTGGAGGTGTGTTTAGGGTCATTATCATGTTGGAAAACCGCCCTACGGCCCAGTTTCCGGAGAGAAGGGTCATGCTCTTCTGCAGGATGTCACAGTATATAGTGGAATTCATGTGTCCCTCAATGAACTGCAGCTCCCCAGTGCCGGCTGCACTCATGCAGCCCCAGACCATGATGCTGCCACCACCATGCTTGACTGTAGGCAAAACACATTTGTCTTGGTACTCCTCACCAGGGTGCCGCCACACACGCCGGACACCATCTGATCCAAACAGGTTTATTTTGGTCTCATCAGACCACAGGACATGGTTCCAGTAACTCATGTTCTTCGATTCATTGTCTTTAGCAAACTGTTTGCGGGCTTTCTTATGCAGCGGTTTCAGAAGAGGCTTCTGTCTGGGGCGACGGCCATACAAACCAATTTGATGCAGTGTGCGGCGTATGGTCTGGGCACTGACAGGCTGACATCCCACTTCTGCAACCTCTGCAGCAATGCTGGAAGCACTCACACGTTTATTTTAGGAAACCAACCTCTGGATATGACGCTGAGCACGTGGACTCAACTTCTTAGGTCGACCCTGGCGAGGCCTGTTGCGAGTGGAACCTGTCCTGGAAAACCGCTGTATGATCTTTGCCACTGTGCTGCAACTCATTTTCAGGATGTTGGCAATCTTCTCATAGCCAAGGCCATCTTTGTGAAGCGCAATAATCCTTTTTTTCAGCTGCTCAAAGAGTTCCTTGCCATGAGGTGCCATGTTGTCCAGCGTTCAGAGAGAATTGTGCCCAAAACACCAAATTTAACAGCCTTGCTTATCATTTACACCTGAATCCTTTTAACACTAACGAGTCACATGACACCAGGGCGGGAAAACAACATCATTGGGCACAATTAGGACATGTTCACTGCGGGGTGTACTCACTTTTGTTGCCAGCTGTTTAGACATTAACAGCTGTGTACTGAGTAATTTTCAAAGGACAATAAATCTATACTGTTATTCAAGCAGCACACTGACTACTTTAAGTTATATCAAAGTTTCAGTAGGATAATGTTATCCCCTGAAAGGATATAACAGAATATTTGCAAAAATCTAAAGGGTGTACTCACTTTTGTGATATACTGTATATATATATATATATACAGTATATATATATATATATATATATATATATAAATTTAAAAAAAAATTTTTTTTTTGTATTTTCCTCACTTACTACCACTCGCTCTTATGCTATCTCCTTGCTTATTTCTCTGTAGCTCTGGCGTACATGAGCATGATGAGGGCACAAGCAGGCACGATTCTGGAAACAGTGGTCTGGAAATGTCAAACTACCTTCCGCACTTTCGTTTTGCTTTGCTTTTGTGGGGAGCTGTGAGATAATTGGGGGGATTTATGAAGACAAAAAAGAAAGCCCAAATGAGCAACTACTAATTAAAAACAAGCCCAAAAAAACACAACCTGTGACTCACAAGTTTTACAGGTGACTTCTGAGAAATACAAGCCCAAAGTCACTTTTAATAAGCAGACTTGGCAACTATGCTCATATCTATGCATACAGACACCCCAAATTTAAGGATCTGTCAGACTTCATTATGAATTGACGTGAAGGATTGAATCGGGGAGTTTGGGGTTGGTTTACAGCACTTTTTTTTTAATTTTCATTATTCTTTGAAAAGAAACCGACAGCACAGATTTCAGATTTCAGTTCCTCACAGCATCCATGTTGAACGTAGGCGGGGTGCCATAAACCTGACAGCCGCTGCTGTAAAACACAGTTGCTCATTGTGTCCAGAATTAACTACATTCATGTTCCTGGGTCTTTTTAACAGCAGCTTTTTCATCATTAAAACACAGCAGCCTCAATAAATGATGTATTCAGATGTGTTTAGGAGGTTGTAAATGCTGGATTGAACATACATTCTGTTGTAGTGGAGGTATTTTACCCCTCTTGATGTAGTTTGGCTGGTCTGATCAGACAGCAGCATTAGAGCTAACAGCAGTCTCTCCTACTGTTTAAAGCCTGGTCATTATTTGCATACCTGCTGTCTGGATTTGGCAATGGAAACAGTGATTATATGGACGCTTTAGTCTAGTGTTGTTTGTCTAACAGCAGGGTAAAATCTGCAGAGGGATCTCTGGACAGACCCTGTTCATGGGCTTTGGAATGTTTGGACATTAATGGCTGCAGAAACATTTCGCTGAACGCTATCGAACAGCCATTCAAGCAAGGGTACAATTGTTTTGGCAATTTTTCCAAGTTCAGCTGTCATAAAAGAAGACGAATCTTTTGTTAAAGCACAAAGACGAATTTCTGCAGCAACAGAAGCCTCATTGAAGCCTGCAGACACATGACAGGTTGTGTTTTAAGTTGAGGGCTTGTTTTTGTCTTCAAGGACCAATTAATGTTTTTTTTTTCACCACAATATATTCAGCTCATATTGTAATATTAAGCTGAACTACTTTGAAAATGTGTGCTGTTTTCAGATTTGTTTGCCTTGATTGACAGGTGTCTCATCCTGTTATATTCACAGCTCCAGCTAGACTCTGTCAGATTTGGACTTGCTGCCGTCAAACTGCTGCCAAACAGTGAATCGAAGCGCTGAAAACACAATAAAATAAATGTTAGTGGGCCAAGGACAGTCTGACCAATGCTTTTAGGGGGAATTTTGAATCATTAAAGGTCAGAAAGGCTCAAGTTAAAATGACAGATATGGTTGGCGGAGAGTACCGTCCCAAATTTCTGACTTCCCATGCTTTGAAGGAGTCTCTCTGCGGGTTTAAAATGAGACGTATCTAAATAGTGATCCTTCACCTTCAAGCTTTTTTATTTGAGAGTACAGCAGGGACTCATGCTCGGAAAGTCGGCCAATCCTCACCAACCCCAACTTATAGACAACATCATAATTCAAGATGGCAGCGCAGTGCATCAACAGTAAAGAGTAACAGTGTAAGCTCTTCTAATGTATTATTTATTAGCACTTCTGTTTTGTTTTTGTGAAATTGAATAAGTGGTATATGTTGTACTGCCCAAAGTCTAACTGTAAACATGGTGCTATAGCTAACTACAACCAACAACAGCTAACAACGGCTAACAGTAGGCGTCCATCTTGGTTTTACGACTTGTTTACTGGAACGCCGTCAACTCTGGTGTAACGTCACTCCCAGTTTCGACATATGACTTCCGAGGTAACTGGAACGCAGCATAGGAGTAATGTAATTGCAAAGTGATTGGTTGAACACCAGTGCATTAGGTTGTCATTTAGAGACAAAAGTGGACACTTGAACCTCTCTTCCGTGCAAAAATGTCATATTTCTGCTCTATCAGTAATGGATATTTAGTGTCTTTTTTTAACTTTGTAGTGTCTTAAATC